GCTTGTCTTGTTAATAGTGGCCAATCTAATAGATATGAGGTAGTATCTCATTGTAATTTTGATTTGCATTTCCCTAATTGTCACTGACGTTGAACATCCTTTTATATATCTACTAGAGGCCTAGTGCACGGATTTATCCCTTGGCCTGATCTGTGGGGATCAGGCCAAAACCAGCTCTTTGACATCCCTCAAGGGGTTCTGGATTGCAAGGGACCCCACCAGTGCATGATTGGGGCCGGAGAGGGCTCCGGGGTGTGACAGGCCTGTCTCACCCAGTCCCAATTGGCTGGACCTCAGCAGCAAGCTAACCTACTGGTCAGAGCATCTGCCCCCTGGTGGTCAGTGCATGTCATAGTGACTAGTTGAACAAATAATGAATAGTCAGACACTTAGAATATTAGGCTTTTATTATATAGGAGTGGCTGTTCATATGTTTTCTTGGCAAAGGTGTATATTTTTAGCTCCTCTGCCCATTTTTTGATTGGATTGTTTGGTATTGAGTTTTATTAGTTCTTTATATATTTTGGAAATTAAACCTTTGTCAGAGCTACTATTTGCAAATATCTCCATCTGGTTTTGTTGTCAGTTTCTTTTTTTTTTTTTTTACTGTTTTTTTATTTTTTATTGAGATATAATTGACAATATAACATTATGTTAGTTTCAGGTGTACAACATAATCATTCAATATTTGCATATATTGTTTGTAGAGGTGTTAATCTCTTTTCTGAGTCCAGCACGGAAAATGAACGGGTTCAGGTGCTGAGTGGTTGTTGTCAGTTTCTTTGGCTGTGCAGAAGCTTTTTAGTTTAATATAGTCCCATTCATTTATTTTTGCCTTTACTTCCCTTGCTTTTGGGGTCAAGTTCATAAAATGTTCTCTATGACCGAGGTCCATAAGTTTGGTATCTATATTTTCTTCCTTGTAACTTATTATTTGGGTCTTATAGTTAGGACTTTGATGCATTTTGAATTAATTTTTGTACACAGGGACAAACTGTAATCCAGTTTCATTCATTTGCATGTGGCCTTCCAGTTTTCCCAGCACTATTTATTTACTTATTTTTAATTAAAAAATATTTTTATTGATTTCAAGAAAAAGGGAGTGGGGGAGGGGAAGAAAGAGAAAGAGAGAGAGAAAGAGAGATATCAGTGATGAAAGAGAATCATGGATTGGCTGCCTCCTGCGTGCCCATACTGGAACTGAGCCTGCAACCCAGTCATGTGCCCCGACCTGGAATTGAACTGCAATCTTCTGGTTCATAGGTCAATGCTCAACCATTGAGCTACACTGGCTGGGCACCATTTATTGAAGCGACTATCTACTCCATTGTGTGAGTCTGGCTAAATGGATATTGTATAATATCTTACCAAATGCCTTTTCTGCATCCATTGCATCTATTGATAAGATCATATGCTTTATATCCTTCCTTTTGTTAATGTGGTATATTACATTGCTTGATTTGCATATATTGAACCAACCTTGTGCCCCTGGAATGAACCCCACTTCTCTATAAATATTGTGTCAATTTACACTGTCATCAGTGATATATAAGAATGCTAAGTTAGCCGAAACCAGTTTGGCTCAGTGGATAGAGCCTTAGTCTGCAGACTCAAAGGTCCCAGGTTCGATTCAGGTCAAGGGCATGTACATTGGTTGTGAGCACATCCCCAGTAGGATGTGTGCAAGAGGCAGCTGGTCGATGTTTCTCTCTCATCGATGTTTCTAGCTCTCTATCCTTCTCCCTTCCTCTCTGTGAAAAATCAATAAAATATATTTTTAAAAAAAAGAATGCTAAGTTATATATCCAACTATTTTATCTTTGCCAATGTGATGATTAAAAAATGGTATTCAGTGTTTTTTTTAAAATTTGTATTCTAAATGGTGAGATTGAATATTTTTAAATCTATTTAAAATCTATATATATGAAATATACATATCTTTGCCAATTTTTCTAGTAGGGTATTTTCCTTTTTTATTTATACAAATTATTTACATACTAGGGAAGTCCTTTGTGATATGGATAGCAAACATTTTTGTTAATATACAAAAGCAACAATAAATAGGTAGTGAATAGTGACCATATTGGAAAACACAGGCCTAGCGTGTTTAATTTGCTGCTGACCTGTATTTCCTTAGTAGAGTGATTACCAAGAGGATGGGATGGGGTATGTATTTTTTTAAACGCATGTTTAATATTATAGTTTTATATTTGAAAAACACACAAAAAAATTATAACATAAAATTTCAAGAAAGTAAAGCTTGCTGAAATCTTCTTTGCTGTAACAAGGTTAAAAATAATTAAAAATGTATCTAAGAATGCTATTAATTTTCAAAACTTGTGAGAAATTACAAGACTGTTTTATTTTTATTATTTTTACATTAAATATATCTTATTTATTTATTTTAATCTCTATTGTTGAAAGTAATTCATGTCTCTCCCTCCCCCTCCTCCCCCATTGACCTTTTCTAGACTGCCCCTGTCCTGCACCCCAGGCTTTCCTTGACTGTGTGCCTCAGTATTATGCCCATTCTTTCCACTAGGTTACCAACAAAGAACATGATTTTGATCTATGGACTCCAGTTTCTGAAACTGTAAAACACCAGAATACTCTCAGGCTAGAACAAGAAGTCAGAAATCAAGATACATTCATCTCAACACTGAAATTACAGGTTACACTTAATTTATATATATGTATTTCTCAGAATTACTTTGGACTCGGATGTATTTTAAATTAAGGAGAATAAATATTAATTCAGTGCTGGTTTTATGTTTTTTTATGGGTCTAAAATAATTTCATTTTTATCTTAACCATTTTGATACACATAGATTCAGAGTCAGTGAGTGCAAACTATGTGCCAAGTGTTATATTGGGTGCTTTGAAGTTCATAATCTTACTTCATCCCAGCCTGTGAAACAGTGATGCTACTTCTATTTTTACAGACACGGAAGCTGAAGTTCCAAGAGGTTAAAGAATTATGATACTGGAGTAATGAGCGATAGAGCTAGGATTCCTCTGAACTCCTAAGTTAGCTAGGATTTGAACCCAGTTCTCTGAACTGCAAGTTCAGTATTGTTTCTCTTCTCCTGTTGCCTGATCTGTGGTGTAGCTCTTAATACATGCCATTTAATTAAACGGCTTCTAAGAAGAAAGAATAGACTTACTTTTTCCTACTAAGTACAGCTAAAAGCCCCAAACATTAAGTATAAAACAGACATAACAGTGAGAAGTGAAAAGAAGAAAGTCTGGCTAGGGACCTCAACACACAATGAATGACGCATTCGTGAGTTCCTGGATTTTCTTTTTGATCCATATATTCCAGACGGAGTGCTGGAAGCACTGGCACTCAAAACCATAGGTGCAGACAAAGGTATCAGAAAAGCCATCTTTTTCTTTATCCACAGGACTGGGAAAGGGACAGCCTAACAAGGCAGACTACTTTAGACAATAACTGCCTGCCCTAAGCAACAAAATGGAGAAAACTATTCCTGCCAGCAAGGGCTGAACAAAGAGCCTAGACTTCTTTTTAAAAAAATATATTTTATTGATTTTTTTACAGAGAGGAAAGGAGAGGGATAGAGAGCTAGAAACATAGATGAGAAAGAAACATTGACCAGCTGCTTCCTGCACACCCCCCACCGCAACCAATGTACATGCCCTTGACTGGAATTGAACCTGGGACCCTTCAGTCCTCAGACCAATGCTTTATCCACTGAGCCAAACCGGTTTCAGCCTAGACTTCTACCCTTGCCACGCTGTAATAAGGGGCTCCAGCTGCACCTCAAGAGTCCTTCCCAACCCCCGCCAGCTTCTCCATCCCCACAAGGAGGTGTCACAGAAGAAGGCTGAGCTGAGAACTAACACTGTTGTGCCCACAAGGCAGTGAGGGAAGTTCCCAACTCCACCCTGCCAGTGTAAAGGACACGGGGAGCCTACAGTCTACTCCCAAGATGTAGTAAGAGGCGGCCCCTTTCCTCCTTGTGGAGTGGTGTCAGAGGAGACATACTGCAGAGTTAGGGCTTTTACCAGACCCAATAGTAACAAGCTCACCCACTCACAGTGGCTGTGGAGGACTCATCAGAGCAGTAACGAGGCATCTCTGCTCTTCCTGGCTGTTGTATCAGCAGAGGCCCAGTGAGGAGCCTGAACTTGCATCCCTGCCTAGCAGGAACAAGGAGCCCCACCTTCCGTAGGTGCCCCTAAAAGCCTCAGGCAGAAATGGGACTTCAATCCCACCCAGCAGGATCAAGGCAGCGTCCCCCTTTTCTAGCTGGAGCAGTGACACAGGAAGCTTACTAAAACCCAAGAGCCAAATGGAAAGTTTGAAAACAACTAAGTTATTCTTCAATAAGCAAATGGCTGAACAAACGGTGGTACATCCATACAATGGAACTATAAAAATAATAAATGCGTTATCAAGCCACAAAACAATGTAAAGGAAACTTGAAAGCATATTAGTGAAAAAAAAGCCAATATGAAAAGGTTACATACCCTGTGATTCCAACTTTCTGACCTAGAAAAGGTCTCTATGCTTTATCTCTTACGTCTTTGCTGAGATTTTTCTGGTTTCTTTTGCGTGTCTGAGGCATGCCCAAAATTACTTGCCGAAGCATTTATAAGATAGCCGATTTAAAATCCTTGTCAGATAAGTGTCATACCTAATTCATCTCTGTGTTGGCATATCTTGATTGTCTTTTTTCACTGAAATTGAAATCCTCCAGATTCTTGGGATGAGGAATGATTTTATTTAAACTAAAACCTGCCAGTCTAAGGCTCTGGCTCTTGTTCTAAGTCGCCTTTGAGACAGCCCTTCCCAGTGGTCACTCCTGTTTGACCTCATGCTGTTCCCAATCTATATGGGTGCTTCTGGAAGGCCCCAGGCCACAGTGGCCAGTGTGCATATTGGCCAAGCCATGTCCATCATCACCACGCTGCAGAATAAAGAGCACAAAATTCATAAAGCAGAAAAAGACTTATAGCTCAGCCTCCTTGCCAGGGAAGCAAACCTGCCTTCTGATTCCTGGCACCTGGTTATTCTCAGAGGGAAGCCAAAGGCATGTTTTAATATGATTATTTCCTTTCTAATGATAACAGATTGAAGATCTCAACCAGTCAAATCATGGCTTGGAAGATATGATAGGAAACTCTTGGATAGTGAGGAGGTGGTAAGCTGTCAAATAGACAATTTAATGAGCCACAATGAACATCTTTGTAAAGAACTGACTAAAATTGACCAACTAGAAAAAGAGAAAGTTTTGTGGTGGATATCCTCAATAAGGAACTTGAAGAAGCAAAGGTATTAGTTTTACCACTGATAGGTTTAAAAAATTGACATATACTTGACTTATAACATTATATTAGTTTTAGGTGTACAACATAATGATTCTTCCTGTCTCTCTCTCTCTCTCTCTCTCTCTCTCTCTCTCTCTCTCTCTCTCTCTATATATATATATATATATATATATATATATATATATAGTGAAATGACCATAATCATCCTAGTTAATATCTGTTGTCCATTCTGTGGTTTTAGACAAATGTAAAATGACATTTATCCACCATTACACTATCAGAGTAGTTTCACAGCTCTAAAAATCCTCTGTACTTTGCCTCATTTTGATTCTTGTTTAGAAAGAAAGGCCTTCTCACTTCAAGAAACTATTTTCTTGTTTTCTTTTAATACTTTAAAAAATATTTTTATTGATTTCAGAGAAGAGGGGAGAGGGAGAGATTGAAGCATCAATGATGAGAGAGAATCATTGATTGGCTGCCTCCTGCATGCCCCCTACTGAGGATTGCGCCCCCAACCTGAGCATATGCCCTTAACTGGAATCGAACATGGGACCCTTTAGTCTGCAGGCTGATGCTTTATCCACTGAGAAAAACCAGCCATAACTCTTTTAATACTTTTTAATAACTTTTTAAAAGTGTTAATACTCTGGCATTTCTTTTTGTTCTATGAGTTTGGGTTAACTAGTCCTTTCTTTAGTCACTGATTTGAAGTGCCATTTTAACAGCTACTGAATTCACATATGTGAGTGGATAAAAATTCTGTACTGTTTGGTTTCATTAATTCTTGTGTGCCATTACCACCTTATTTTAATTACTGTAGCTCTGACATGATAACATTTTATTTCTTGATTGAGTTTTAGTACACTGCCATGAAATTTAGAAACTGAGAAATTCAACACTATTATAAAGTGGAGACAGTTTCATTTCTAATTGCTGATGGTTTATAAGGAAGATATAGAGTGGATTTTAAAACTGAAAAGCAACCCATTCAATTTTTAATGTGCTTATTTTACTTGATTTCATTAGACACCAAATTAGTAAATGTGTCTGTAGTAAGGTAGTTTCCCCCAAAGCTAATTGCCTTTACCTGTTATTTCTTAAAAATCCTTTTAATATAATATTGGTAGCATATGATAAAGCACTTAATTAAATGATTAGGCTTAGAACATGAGTGTTACTGAAGGTATTATTTGTTACAGTAATATAAGAAGCTCATTTAATGAACTTGGTGGTGTTTATATTGCAGTAACGTCACTTATTTAGAAAGTATAAGTAAGTTTATCTTAGTGAAAAGTCTGAATATTTAAATATGTGAAGTTTACTATTTTAATGTAAGGACACCATCTTTTTTTTTTTTTTTTTTTTTTTTTTTTTTTTTTTTTTTTTTTTAACAATACTGCCTTGAGTAGGTTCTTAGAACTACTTGAGAGAGTAGGTAAGAATGATATGCTTTTAACCTGTGGATTTTATTTATCTTGTCATGGATGCTACTAAAGTATTTGAAGGACATTGAAAAGCAGCTGAGGGATACAAGATGGCTGCAGCTTAGCTGGAGACTGCGTGTATCTGCTCCCAGCACAGTACAGAGCAATCAACTTGAAAAACTTGAAGAGTAGCTGATCTGAAATATTATATCTCAGGAGCACTGAAGAAGCCGCAGAGAGACTGGTAAGAGGAGCAGAGACACTGAAAGAGAAAGCCCTTCTCCAGCAGGTGTGGCAGCTGAGAGGCCAGAGGGATATTGCAGCTGCAAAGCTTCCTCTGCCTGGGAGTGTGGGGTCTCAACACAGGGCTCTCGAGCTCAGAGGGAGAGACTGGAAGCAGAGCCCGGGAAGCATTGCGCAAAGGGAATTGTGTGTGTGTGTGTGTGTGTGTGTGTGTGTGTGTGTGTGGCGGGTGTTGGGCGGGGGAGTGTTTCTGTCTGCCTGGGAGACTTGGACCTCGCCTTCTAAGTGAAGAAGCACTCCTATTGTTAGCAGCCCCAGCCAGAGAAGTTTGCTCTACACTCCAACTGCTGCACAGCCATGTTTGGGTCTAGCGAAGAAGTCTATGGGCTGCACCCAGCAGCAACTTTTAGAGAGCCTCTATTTTCTGGGAAGGCATTGGGCAGAGCCCTAGGCAGTGACTAAACTGTATAGATTGGGGGGAAATGGAACAGTCTCTCCCACCTTGAGTACAAGGTCAGAGCACCTCCCCCCACGTGTGGAGCCACCATGCTTGCCCCGTCCTGGTGGGGACAGGAAAGCAGTGCAGGTCTGGGATTTTGGCCAGCACTGAAGGGTTCAGAGCCCAAGCAGAACCGGCTGAAACCGGTTTGGCTCAATGGATAGAGCATTGGCTTGGGGACTGAAGGGTCCCGGGTTCGATTCCGGTCAAGGGCATGTACCTTGGTTGCGGGCATATCCCCAGTAGGGGGTGTGCAAGAGGCAGCTGATCGATGACACTCTCTCATCAATGATTCTAACTCTCTATCTCTCTCCCTTCCTGTCTGTACAAAATCAATAAAATATATTAAAAATAAATAAATAAAATAAAAGTTAATTAACTTGGTTTTTTTAAAAAGCAGGAGGATAATTGAAGGGAATTTTGGGACACTATGAAATAACATCTGTATCATAGGGGTGCCAAAGGAGAAAAAAGTAAGCAAGTGAAAGAACCCTTTGAAGAAATAATGACAGAAAACTTCTCTAGCTTAATTCAGGAAAGTATCACACAAGTTCAGGAAGCATAGAGAGTCCCAATCAATATGAACCCAAACAGACACACACAAAAACCATCACAATTAAAACAGACAAGGTTAAAGACAGAGAAAATCCTAAAGGCAGCAAGAGAGAAATGGCCATTCACCTAAAAGGGAGTTTCCATAAAGCTCTTCGCTGATTTCTCAATAGAAATACTTAAGGCCAGAAGGCATTGGCATGAAGTATTAGAAGTAATGAAAAGCAAGTACCTGCAATCAAGACTGCTCTATCCAGCAAGACTGTAATTTGAAATCAAAGGCGAAATAAAGAGCTTCCCCCTTCAAAGTACATGCACACACACAACTACCCTGTTTCCCCGAAAATAAGATAGTGTCTTATATTAATTTTTTCTCCCAAAGTTGTCTTATTTTCGGGGAAACACGGCGTTTCTGGCTGGGTGCACAAGGGTGCCCTCATTTGTAAGAGCAATGCTGTTGTTGCTTCATTTCATCATTACTCCTAGAGGTGGGGAGAGCGTTTTTTTTGTGTGTGTGTGTGTTTGCCTTTAGCTGTTAATCGATTTAAAATGGTAACTGTGAGTAATTTAATTCTCACGGTGTTTCCCCAAAAATAAGACATCCTCCGAAAATAAGACCTAGTGCAACTTTGGGAGAAAAAATTAATATAAGACACTGTTATTTTGGGGGAAACAGGGAAACAGGGTATTACTATCATCCCCTCTCTCCTTTTCTTTTGTAAAATATTCACAGTCTGCATGTTTTTATTTTTAAGTGGTTTACTTTTTTGATGCTCTCTTTCTAGTTAAGCCAACTCAACTATTTAATTTTTTTTTAAAAGTATTTTCTTTTTGGCTCAATTTTCAGATTGAATTCACTTGCCAACAAAATAATATGATAGTATTGGAAGAGACAATAGGGAGACTTAGATCTGTAAGTACATTTTTCTTAAGTAGATGTAAAGGAATAATTTTTATTTTGTAAAATTACAAAAAATTGTACATATGTTTTGATTCTTGTGAATTTTGTGAGCAATAAAAGTGTTTGTGTTCTATGATCAGCCCTCTCTGCCTGGGTGCACAAGGGTACCCCCATTTGTAAGAGCAATGCTGTTGCTTCATTTCATCGTTACTCCTGGGAAGAGCTTTTTTTTGTTGTTGTTGTTGTTTTGTTTTTTGCCTTTAGCTGTTACTTGATTTAAAATGATAACTGTGAGTAATTTAATTCTCAAAATATAACATGAGTTTGTCTCCACATTAACTTTTATTCTTAGTAATAAATTTCTATAAGTCAAATTTTTAGTTTAATTTTAAGTAATATGTTTTCTTTAACAATGTGAAATGAAAGCTCTGTTTAGACATTTTAGTGTTATTATTTAAAATATTTAAAACACCTCTGTAAATATATTTGTCATTCCTCCCAATATAGCTTTGGTAAAATAAATGTTGTGAAAGAAATGTTTCCAGTATTCATTTAATTTATTCATCCCTTGAATACTTAGTGAACAAAACTTAATTGCTATACAAGTTATTCTAAGTACATTAATTTTGCTTCTAGGATTTGTAACCATATCTGTGGGCATTTCTGGCCTCTCTGAAATATCTTTACCATTTTTTCTTTAAAATTATTGAGTAAATTTAGAGGTACGTTCAGTTTAATAAAAATATAGGACATTCTGGGAGGGGAGGTAAGAGATCAACCAAAGAGCTTGTATGCATACATATGAGCATAACTAATGGACATAGACAGTAGGGGTGTAAGAAGGACATGTGCGGGGGATGGGAGCGGCCTGGGAGAGGTCAATGGGGGGGAAAGGAGACTTATGTAATACTATAAACAATAAAGAATTTAAATTAAAAAATGTCAAATGTTATGTCACAATAAAAACATACAAAACATTCAGAAATGCTGGAAAAAGATATCTAATTGCTTTTTTAAAATTGCGATTTTTAAAAAGCATTTTTAAAACTCACCTCATTTATTGTTTTTAAGGATTCTTTTTGTGTTCGACTTCATGTAGTAAATGATGCTGAAGTTTAGCTTGAAATAATGGCCTAATTTTTTCCTTCTTGACAAGATAATCTTAGAGACTGAAAAAGCACAAAATAAATCTCCTTCCAGACTTGATTCCTTTGTCAAGACTTTAGAAGCAGACAGAAACTACTACAGGAGTGAAGCTCAGAATTTGAGAAAGATGATCAAAAGCACATCTGAAGGTCCAAGACGCCTGTCTCCCTCTTCTCGGGTAGGTTTTGGAAAGTTATAAATAATTTGGAGTTTGTTGCTCAAACTGACTTTTATTCTTTGAAGTAATTCAGTTTGATTAGCATGAATTGTTATATCAAAGAGAGGTCTCTTTGATGGACAGTGGATCATTGAAACTGGTTCTCTATCCCTAGCATTTGTCATCCTTAGGAGGTAATCAGACAAATGTGGAGCAATTTGGGGGAAGTTGTTTAAAAGAGGTGATTTGGCCTGGGTCAGCTAGCTCAGTTGGTTTGAGCGACATCCCTTTACACTAGGGTTGTGGTTTAGATCTCCTGTCAAGGCACATACAAGAAGCAACCAACGAATGCATTAAATGGATTAATAGATTGATCTCTGCCTCCCTCTCCCTCTCCCTCTCCCTCTCCCTCTCCCCCTCCCCCTCTCTCTCTCTTTCCATCTCCCTTTCCCTCCATCCATCTATCTATTCTTTTTTCTCTCTCTAATGCCAATCAATACGAATTTAAAAGAGTTGAATTTTAAACTTTTATCATTTCTTTTCCTTATATAGTCACTAGAGACCTGGTGCATGACATTCATGAATGGGAGGGGGTCACTAGGGGGATTCCTCAGCCCAAACTGTGCCCTTTCACGTCCAGGACCCCTCAGGGGATGTCCAGCAAGGGGTTCTTAGTGCTGCATGATGGCGGGAGAAGCTCCTGCCTCTGCTGCTGCTCTTGCCAGCTGTCAGCCCAGCTTCTGGCTGAGCGGTGCATCCCCTGTGGGAGTGTACTGACCAGCAGGGGGCAGCTCCTGCATTGAGCATCTGCCTCGTGGTGGTCAGTGTGCATCATAGCAACTGGTTGTTCTGCAGTTAGGTAGATTTGCATATTAGGGTTTTATTATATAGGATGTTTGCTTAAGTGGAGACTGTGTACTGCCATCAGTAGTACTTTTCTATTCATACTACAGGTCAAAGAAGAGTTTCAAATTTCTTATATAATAATTGTAGGGTACAAACTGTGATGTAGAGCTTTTGAAGACAAGAGACCGTGAAGAACTTAAAGACATGCTGGAAAAATATGAGCGTCATTTGGCAGAAATTCAGGATAATATCAAGATTCTTACATCTGAGAGAGACAAGACCTTTCTTCTTTATGAACAGGTAAAGTTGTTTTCAAGGAAACCATATATGTAAGTAGTAACAGTTAATTGTAGAGAAATATAATTCTTTAATCTGCCAATCAAATTAACTTACCATTTGGAAATTACCTTTGCTTTTAAGATATTTTTAATGAAATGTAATATATTTCCAATACAGTATATGTGCACACAAACACATATATATGATATCCCCATGCCCATAAGAAATTGGGGATTTAAAAACGCTGACACATCATTTTGAAATACTATCAGTCACTTTAGAAACTACCATATAATTTGTTTAACTTTAGAGAGTAAAATCAGTTTATAGTTTATCTCTATTTTTAGCTTAAAATTCATTCCTTCACCCAGCAGATATTAAATTCCATACATTACCAACATAATTTCATTTAAAATATCAAATTTTATTAAGAATTACAGCAAATTTGTACAAGTTATGAGCTTGCTACTCTAAGGGAATAAAGTGATAAGATGCAGATACTGTGGTGGTGATTTTTTGTTTGTTTTTTAAAAAATATATTTTATTGATTTTTCTTACAGAGAGAAAGGGAGAGAGAGATAGAGAGCTAGAAATGTCAATGGGATAGAAACGTCGATAAGAGAGAAACATCGACCAGTTGCCTCTTGCACATCCCCTATTGGGGATGTGCCCACAACCAATGTACATGCCCCTGACCAGAATCGAACCTGGAACCTTTCAGTCTGCAGACTGACGCTCTACCGCTGAGCCAAACCGGTTTTTGGCTTTTTTTTTTGTTTTAAAGTTTGCCTCAGTAGATTTTACTTTAGTTTGAAGTCAAGATTAAAAATCTATTTTTAAATAACCAAAGTGACTTCAGATACCATGATTGTATGGCCTATTTGCTTCATATTATATATGAGGAGGGAGAGCTAATAAGGTTAACTGATTTGCCCTAGAACAGCAGGATTTAGAGTCCAGATTTTCTGACTCCTATTTGTGTCTGCTCTTTGCCGTTTAGTTAAGCTTGTTGATGAATTGGCCCATGTGGAAATGGATCAGTCTGGGAATATCCTATATAATAAAACCCTAATATGCAAATAAACCCAACAGCGGAATGACTGGTCACAATGACACACACTGACCACCAGGGGGCAGATGCTCAATGCAGTAGCTGCTCCCTGGTGGTCAGTGCACTCCCATAGGGGGAGCACCGCTCAGCCAGAAGCTGGGTGGTGGCAGGAACCATATGGACCCCTTGGGGGATGTCTGACTGCTGGCTTAGGGTGCAGGCCGGCTTAAGGGAGCCCCCCTCCAGTGCACAAATGTCATGCACCGGGCCTCTAGTATCTTAATATATAAAATAAATGCCCAGTGTATACTAGGTAATAGCATGGAATCCTTTTGGTTAAATCACAATACTGTTTTCTTTTTAATCTCAGTCTTGCTCATTTCTTTTCTTCTCAGCTTTTTAATAAGATTTTATTATATTTAAAATGTTAAACATATTAGCTATTTAGAGACTACTCTTTTATAATTAGCTTTCTTATATGTAGTTTGAGCAGTTTAAAAATCAAGTACCACTTCTAAGTGTTTAGGTGATTACTTTGCTTTGAATTCCCTGGTATCTTTCTGTGCTATGAAACCTGAGCCAATGTATGTATGCAGAATTATAAGACCACTGCTGGGGGGGGGTGGGGGGGGGAGACACAGGAAAGTCCCTTAATGAGAAACCTGTGTGCATTAGTGTAGGTACGAGATTATTTTTCTGAAACCTCTGCCTTGTAAATTCTATACTTGCATATAGTATAAGTGATTTTTAAATCTATGCCATATTCTTTTTCTTCAGACAGTTTTATATTGAGATTTGAAATGTAGAATAGTTAATGAAAAGCTGCTGTGATCCATCCCACTGTCAAACCATGGAGTACCATGGAGCACAGTTTAAAACATTCACAGACATTGTTTTCTATGTTTGCAATCTAATTAGGGAGATAAAGTATATTATTGCCTTGTATTTTTTTATTTTTCTTATTTTAGTATAAATAGTCTAAAAGATATTGTAAAATGAAAACAAGTTGATATTTTTATTTATGGTGATAAAGGGAATCTTTCCTGGACTCAGTAGAGTTTGAGCACTGAGGGATGGATGAATGGGGTTGGATTTGCCCTATGTGCCAGTGTAGTTGACCAGCTTCTGGACTATATAGAGAAGGCTGTTCATTGGGCCTTACAAAGGGTTTATAATTTGCTTTATAAGCAATAGGCAGTTTATATATTTAAAGCAGTAGAAAAATGACCAAAGCCACATTTTTACAATTTCAATAATTTTGTATTATCTCATACATTATATATGTTATCTTTTTACATAACAATCTCTGTCAAAAGAACTAGAATGAGGAAGAAAACATGAACTTTTTAATTTTTTAAAAAATGTTTTATTGATATTTTTACAGAGAGGAAGAAAGAGGGATAGAATGTTAGATATATCAATCAGCTGCCTCCTGCACACTCCCTACTGGGTATGTGCCCACAATCAAGGTACATGCCCTTGACTGGAATTGAACCTGAGACCCTTGAGTCTGCAGGCCAATGTTCTGTCCACTGAGCCAAACTGGTTAAGACAAAACATGGAATTTTTAGAAGGCTATTATAGTTGTCCATGGGAGGCATCAGGAACTAAGCTAGAATGCTATCAAGGAAGACTTGACAAGATTTGATGAGTAGAAATATTTGAAGTTCTGTTTTTGAGTGGCTGAAGAATTATGATAGTAGAAAAATAATAAGGAAAGTCATTGACGGAAAAGATGTATTTGGTTTCAGAAAGATGGAGGACTTTTAGGTAGTAATGGCCATCAGGTAGTAAGAAATGTAGGACTGGAGTGAGGAGAAAGGCAAGAGCCGAATAGGTAAATTTACAAGTCATTGCTTAGAGTTAAGTTTTGAGGCTTCAAAATGGGTGAAGTCTCTAAATGAGAGCTAGGGAAGTTTTATTCAATGGGTAGAGTAAACTGAAAGAAGACAGGAAACTAAGGCAGAACTATGGTATAAGACCAAGGGAGGAAGAAATCTTAAGAATTGTGTTGAAGAAAATGTCACATGTTGCCAAAATATTAAGAATAGGAACTGAGAAAGAGCCATCAGATTAGATGAGGTCCTTAGTTGTAATTCTGCAAAGTGATGGGTGTGGGATCCAAGTTAGAGTGGATGAGAAAGTGTGTAGTAAAGAACAAGCTATGGTAGGTAGACACTTAAAAGAGAGAAAAAGATAGTCATAGGATGGTAAATGGACACAAGAGAATTAAGTGTTAGTTTTCCAAGCTATGAGAGCCTGTTGCATAGTTGAAGGCAGCAGAGAAAGAGCCAGGGGAGAGCGTGCTATTTAAAGTGAGAGGAAACAATCATAACTGAGTCAGGGATATCTTAGAAGAAACTTCAGGAGATGAAGTCCAGAAATCTGGTGAAGGCTTATGGAAATTGGGAAGTAATTTATCTTCTCTGAGACTTGGAGACCAGCTGAGTAGATAGTGATTGCAATTGGGAGGAAGGAAGATAAGTATTTAAGCCACAAGGTAGTATGTGAAATCATCTGCAAATATAGAATAGATTTGAAACTGAGGGTGGTTGAACAGTATGTAGAGAGTTTTTTGGGTTGTCTGTAAGGATTTGTGGGCCTTTCTGTCAAGGTAAAGGTAGCTAGGAATGACTTTGGTATGTACAGAAAGACTGGAACACTATGATAATATTTCTTAAACCAGTAAGTAGTCTACCTGAATTGTACTGAATTCATGTTTATATCTCAAAGAGAATCGAGTATACCATATATATTTAGTAAATAATTTTCTCTTGCATTGACTGCCTCCAAATGAATTAAAACTTCTTTTCTTTGTGAAGCAAACCTCTATTTGTATACATCATTTGCGTTTGGGGGCATTGCTGGCATTTATTTGTATAAGTCAAAATTATGCCATTATCCTATTCCATACGTATTGATCATAGATTTGGATTTTAACTGGCTGGATGTCAGATAGCTATATTTATGTTTGTTCTAAAGCTTGTTAAATAGGAGTTCATCTATTTAAATAATAGGCACAGGAAGAAATTGCTCGACTTCGACGAGAAATGATGAAAAGCTGTAAATCTCCTAAATCAACAACAGCACATGCCATCCTTCGGCCAGTGGAGACTGAAAGAGATACAGCCTTCACTGATTTACGAAGAATGACCATAGAACGAGATAGTCTGAGGGAAAGGCTAAAGGTTTGAAAGAGTTTTATCTATACGAACATTTGTGAAATTCAGTGCAGTGACATTGAAAGCACTGTGTTTTGTTTATGTTTTTTAACCAGATTGCCCAAGACACAGCATTTCATGAGAAAGCTCACTTGGAACAAAGGATAGAGGATCTGAAGTGTCCAGTTAATAATGTAAAGAAAAATCTCTTTTGCACTTTTGGCTATAAACTGTCAATGGCTTTCCCCTTTTCCTTTTTTCCCCTATGTTCAGAGAAGTTACTTTATTTTTCTAAATAAGGTTTGTAGTCCTAAAATATTGAAGGTGGTATATATGGTGTAAATTGTCAATTCTTTGTTGTTTATTTTCTTTTAAAAATCTTTTTTATGTTAGAGTGCTTTTTAAAAAAATCATTAGGGCTGCATTCTCAGAGATTTTAGCATTTTTTTTCCCATCTCCCTATTTCATTCAAGATAACAATGCCAGAAGCAGGGAATCTGGATTATTCTACCTAAAGAGTAGCTAGGGTAGAAAAAATTATGAAATAAAAATTAAAGAGAAAAATATATGTAATGAATTAAAATGTGAAACATCATCTTTTTTTGGTAATCAAAGATTTAAGATACTATGAATATATATTTGAGACATTATGACTATACTAGAGGCCTGGTGCATGAAATTCATGAGTGGGTGTCCCTCAGCCCAGCCTGCTCACTCTTCAATTTAAGATACTATGAATATATATTTGAGACATTATGACTATACTAGAGGCCTGGTGCATGAAATTCATGCATGGGTGTTCCTCACCCCAGCCTGCTCACTCTTCAATCTGGGACCCCTATCGGGATCGGACTGGACCTAAATGGGCAGTCAGACATCCCTCTCACAATCCAGGACTGCTGGCTCTAAATTGCTCACCTGCCTTCCTTCCTGATTGCCTCTAACTGCTTCTGCCTGCCAGCTTGATCACCCTTTAACCCCTCCCCTGCCAGCCTGATTGATGCCTAACTGCTCCTTTGCCTGCCTGATTGCCCCTAACTGCCCTCCCCTGTAAGCCTGGTCACTCCTAATTGCCCTCCCCTGCAGGCCTGGTCCCTCCCAACTACCCTCCCTTGCAGGTCTGGTCACCCCTAATTGCTATCCCCTGCAGGCCTGCCTCCCCCCACCCCAAACTGCCCTTCCCTGTAGGCCTGGTCCCTTTCAACTGTCCTCCCTTGCTGGCCATCTTATGGTGGCCATCTTGTGTCCACATGGGGGCAGCCATCTTGTGTGTTGGAGTGATGGTCAATTTGCATATTACTCTTTTATTAGATAGGATAGAGGCCAGGTGCATGGGTGGGGGCCAGCTGGTTTGCCCGAAGATGTTCCAGATCAGGGTGGGGGTTCTCTTTTGGCATGGCACGGCCTGTGTGCGGGGCCTGTGGTGGTTTGTAGGTTGGCCATTGCCCCCCCCCCCCCCCCCCCCCCCCCCCCCCCGCCCCCCCCCCCCCCAGGGACCCAAGCAGAAGCCTTGGTATCTGGGATTTATTTATCTTCTATAATTGAAACTTTATAGCCTTAAGTGGAGGCCAGGGCTGGCAGGTTGGGTGGGAAGCTTGGCTTCCTCCATCTCCGGGGACAACCCAAACCTCCTATTCTCTCCAGCTCTGTGGCTGCCTCCATTTTTGTTGGGTTTTATTTATCTTCTATAATTGAAACTTTGTAGCCTTGAATGGAGGCCAGGGCCAGCCAGGGCAGGCAGGAAGCTTGGCTTCCTCCATCGCCTCCAGCTCTGTGGCTCCCACCACATTTGTTGGGTTAATTTGCATACTCGCTCCTGATTGGCTGGTGAGCCAATTGGTCTTTCAGCATGGCTTGTCTGTGTAGCAGATGTACAGTCAATTTGCATGTTTCTCTTATTAGATAGGATAAACAAGGGAATTTGATTTTCTGTTACCAAATTTAATAGGATATGTATATATATATGATTCTGTATTATAATTGTTACTGAACAAAAAAAAAAAATGGAGGTTTGGCTTCCTAGCTCAATAAAAGCCAAATTCTTGAGACAGGTGCCGATACAAAAGGAAAGGGCTTTTATTCACGAGCTACATGACCTGAGAGAATAGCAGAGTCCCATCTGAAAGACCAATCTCTCTTCCTGCCCAAGCCTGTGGTTCTGGTAGGGATAGGAAGGGGATGGCTTTTTTAATTTATTTTTTTTTTTGTCTAATTATCTTGGTAACTTTTGGTGCGTTTGGGGCCCATCCATTCATCTGTCTAGCTTGTGGTTCTATCCATTCATATTTCTAGCTTTTGGTGGTTCAGTGTAAGAACCTTTTCCTGCTGCCATCTTGGCCAATGGGGAAGAATCTATGTAACATAATGACTAAAAAAACACACACACAAGGAATAGATAGGGGAAAAATAATTGTCTTTAAAAAATTCCACTCTGTATCTATAATTAGTTAATGTTGAGCAACAAATAAATTATTTTATTATACATATCCTATACTAAAATCAAATTGAACCAGATTGAAAATGTAAATGGATATGCTATTCTTGGTCCTACTCCACAATGCTTTGTCCATACAGCCTCCACAGTATTCAAGTCTAATCTGATCATCTTATTGTATAAATCTTGTCATATACCAGTTTTTACAAAGAGGGGATGTCTCTTTAGGAAGATCACTTTTAGTGATGGTAACTTTGTCATTCTCCTTGTATAGCTTGATGATGAACTTATGGAACAAATGTCAAGTATGACTTTGATGAAGAAAACAGTAACCACTGTGGGAAAAGAAATGAAATCGCTAGCAAGAAAGGCAATAGATACAAAAAGTGAACTTGGCAGACAAAAAGCAGAGAATAATTCTTTGAGGTAAACTAAATTGCCTTTGAACAACTTAATTGTTTATAATAAGTAACTCTGCTCTTTGTAGCATATTTTATAATGATAATTAAGTTATTTGTTGACTTGAATTTTGGAGAGGATTATTAAGAAGCAGTTGTAGGAAACTCAGCATACATTAAATGATTTCCCCAAGATCAATCATAGATTGATAGTGTCACACTTAGCCAGGACTTAAAACTTTTAGTAATCTCAATCTTAAACTTGGAGAAAGTCTCAATGTTTAGCAAAAAATAGCTTCTACAAAGTCATTCAGGGTACAGAGCATCTTTGATTTTGGTATTTGATTATTAATTTACCTTTATAACTTAAACTATGTTCTGTGGTCTGAACAGTGTAGGAAGACATAAAGCATAGATTTTACAGTAGCTTAGTAAAGGTATGGTTTAAAATATAGTAAAAAGTCATAGAGAAATAGGAACATGTAATGGAATTTATTAACTGAATGTCAAGTTACTGTGCTCAGCACTTCCTACATACTAATATTGTAGCAGAAGAAATTCCAGGCAAATAAGAGTAAGTGAATTTGAAGACCTCCATACTAGTGGTTTTGTTTTACTTTTAGTATCTATTGATTTGAAAAATAGAATTTCTCTAGATTCAGTAAGGTTGAATTTTAGGGCATCTATGAACATTTGAAAAATAGTAAATCATGTGAATGTGAAACCAGTTACAGAGAATACTTGGTTTACATGAGTTCCTGGAGTCTTCTCTTTGATCTTTCAAGGGTCTGTGAAGCATACATTGGAATCACTATCGGGACAGAAATTTACTCAACTCCTTCCCTTTATTTATTTTTAATTGCTGCTTAAAAGGATATTGCAATCTTGGGTAAAAATTAAAAAGTAATAAAATAAAACCTTAATAACAACAACAACAACAAAAAACAACCTTGGAAAATAGATAAAACTAAAGAAAATTTAAATCACGCACGCTTCCATAACCCAGGGAAAACTTTTTAAAATGTAGATCATTTTCTAATCAGAGATATTTTTATCTCTATGTATATAGGCTTTCTATGTATTAATTGACATCATATTGAGTGATATATTTAAGCGATTTCACTTAATTGTATACAATAAGCATTTCCCCATGTCATTAGAGGTTTTTCAATAGCCTTTTAGTAGTTTATTAAAATATTTTAACAGATAGATATATAATTGGAAATTTTTTTGGTAACATTTATGGGTTTTTTTTTTGGTATGTTTTTGTTTTTTAAATTTAAGTATAAACGTTTTTAAACATATGTTTTTATTGTTTTCAGAGAGGACGGTAGAGAGTGATAGAAACATCAATGATGAGAGATAATCATTGATCAGCTGTCTCCTGCAGGCCTTCCACTAGGGATCGAGCCTGCAATCTCCGTATGTGCCCTTGTCCAGAATCCAACCTGGGACCCTTCAGTCCACAGGCTGACACTCCACTGAACCAAACTATAATATGTTTAACTTTTTAAAAAAATATATATTTTATTGATTTTTTGCAGAGAGGAAGAGAGAGGGATAGAGAGAAACATCGGTGAGAGAGAATCATCCATCAGCTGCCTCTTGCACACCCCCTACTGGGGATGTGCCCGCAACCACATGCCCTTGACTGGAATTGAACCCGGGACCTTTGGGTCTGCAGGCTGATGCTCTATCCATTGAGCCAAACCAGTTTCGGCGATATGTTTAACTTTTAAAGAACACATAAACTGTTGTATTGTTTTGTTCTAACAGATTTATAGTTCAGCTCTTATATTTAGGTCTATGAACCTTTTTTGAAGTAATGTTTATGCAAGGTCTGAGATTAAAAGTAGGGGTTTGTTTTTGTATATGGGTATCCATTGCTTCTTACTTATTAAGATTATCCATTCACCCTTTAAATTGCCTTGGCATCTTAGTGAAAAGTTGACTGACCATATATGTGTGAGTCTATTTCTGAACTCTATTCTGTTTCATTGATCTGTTTTTCCATATTTATGCTGATATCACTCTGTCTTGATAATTGAAGCTTTATAATAAGTCTTGAAGTAAGTCTTCAAGACTTCAAGTCTGTAAGTCTTCTAACTTTATTCCATTTAAAAATTGTTTTGACTGTCCTATGCCCTTCACATTTCCATATAAATTTTATAATCATCTTTATTAGAACCATTTATCTACAAAATGTTTATTGGGATTTTGATTAGAATTATGTTGAACCTATAGATTCAAAATTTTTCAAAATTTTGGAAGAATTGTTAAACATATTGATCCATAACACAGAATATCTCTCCATTTATTTAAGTCTTCAAAAATTTCTCTCAGCTGTGTTTTATAAATATTCAATAACAAATGTTGCACACCCTTTGTTATATTTACACCTAAGTATTTTATATTTTAATGCTATTATAAATTTAAGTTTCATATTGCTTTTTGCTAGTATACAAAAGCAAAGTTTACTTTTGTATATTGCTCTTGTATTTTTCAATCTTGCTAAACTCATATTATTTAAGACTAGAGGCCCAGTGCATGAAATTTGTGCAAGAGTAGGCCTTCCTTCCCCTGGCTGCCGGCACCAGCTTCCCTCTGACACCTCGGACCCAGGTTTCCCTCTGGTCAGTGGCAGGCACCTGGAACCCAGACTTCCCTCACAGCCCCAGCTTCATCTAGATTAGAAGGTTGTCTGGAAGGATGTCTACTCTAATTAGCATATTATACTTTTATTATTATAGTTATTTTTTGTAGATTATCATGTTGTCTATAAATAACGAGAATTTTACTTCTTTTCCAATTTGAATATCCAATCTTACCTTGTTGCAGTGACTATAATTTCTGGTATAATGTTGAATAGAAAGATGAGAACAGTCATCTTTGTTTAGTTCTTGATCTTAGGAGCAAAGTAATCAATCTTTCAATATTGTGATCCTAGTTGTAGGCTCTTTGTAGATGCCTATTGTTGGGTGGAAAATGTTCTCTTCTGTTCCTAATTTGCTGAGATTTCTCATGAAGGGTGCATATTGGATTTAGACAAATGCCTATTCTAAATCTAATGATCTGATATTTTTTTTTACTGTTTTTTTTTAAGTTAATATGGTGAATTACATTAGTTTTAGATTATAAACCAATTTTATATTCCTAAATTAACTCCCCTTGGTCATTATTCATTATAATTTTTATATATTCTTGAATTATATTTGCTAGAATTGGTTAAACTTTTTACATGTATGCCTATTATTTCTCCCCAAAGCTTTGTTGTTTTAGCTTTTGTGTTAGACACTTTTATATAAAGTGTGATCTAGGGGTCAAGATTCACTTTTCCTCACATGGCAATTTAGTTGTCCCAGTACCAGTTGTTTCCTTTCTCATTGGATTTTTGACATATTTGTTGAACATTGATCGACCATGTATATGAGCATATATATACACATACATATAGATCCTGTTATTTACATCATGTATATATTTTTTATTTCAACTACTACATTTCTCATACTTACTTCGTACTTGTTATATGTTTTTTTCCTTGGTTCTTTTTTCACATTGTTAATATCTTCCTCTTTTAATATGTTTACTAGTCTAATTTAATTTTTAATGTATTCAGTCTAATATATCTTTTTGCATTCTATAATCTGTGTGTGTGTGTGTGTGTTTAAATAACTGGTCTTTCAAATGTTTTATGATTTTGGCCTATGAACATATTCTTTCCATGGAGATAAGATATTATGTCAAGAAGTGCTTTGGGGGTAATTATCGTGTCAACCACATTAACTTCACAGTATGGGGGACTTAAGAACCCTAAGATGGGAAAGATAATATTAAGTCATAGTCACTGTCACTTTTTGCTTTTTGCCCCATTGGGTTAAACTGTATTAGAAGGCACTTATTAACAATGTTGGCTGCACATTGGAATTAAATGAGGAGCTTTAAAAAAAATAGGGATTCACCTGGCCAGTGTGGCTCAGTTGGTGAGTATTGTACCATGCACCAAGAAGTCACTGACTTGATTCCAGGTCAGAGCACACGTGGCTTTATGAAAATAAAATGTTTACTCTTGTTCTTAAACGTTTTTAGATTTAAATACACTAAGAGATTGATGAAACATAAAACATTTCAGAATTAGTTTTATTATTAAAATATTTACAGACTTTTACATGAAAATACAGAAAAAGATCTTTCTAATACTCAGCGATACCTCCCTAAGAAAAAATATGAGCTACAGCCTACTCAGGGGAAAATTATGTGCTTGAATGAAAGAATCGGTGAGTTATTTTTTTCCCCCTGGTATTACTTTTTCTTTAAGTCTGGTAGAAAAATGTTTTATTCTCTTATTCTCTTTAGTTATAGCCTAGATCAACTTGGAAGTAGGCCCTTAAATTAAAAGTTTTTGAGTCAATCATGGAAATGTGTTTTTCACTGATAGTAAACTTTTTACTTAGATTTAAGACCTTAAATACTTAGACATGGCTTCATATTTTTCAATGAGAAAAATAACTAAATGAAGCAATAATAGTTTATAATTTCTGACTTAAGTAACTGGCTGGTTAGCTCAGTTGGTTAGAGCATGGCGCTAAACTTTTGACTTAAAATTCTTAAATATTAAGTGTATGGAAAAAAATCAGGATTCAATGTTGAATTTTTAATGTGGTTACTTTTAAATATGCATAACACTTAAATTTACAAGTTTTTTGTATGATACTGCGGCTTGTTCATAGTTGTAATGAAACATAGCACACATATATTACTTTTGGTGGAAAGTGTACATATATTTGGCTATATCTATGATATTATTTGGACTTATAGAGAAAAATTTTTTATAAAGTCTTATATTTATGTTTCTTACCAATGATCTCGGAAAATATGGTTATAATTTAATATTTTTATAATTGTAAAGTAAATTTTTTATTAGGACTATAAAAGAGCCCATTTTAAAACAGAGGGAACATTTTAGAGGATCCAGGATTGAGTAAGAAGCCAAAGAAGTAGGAAGAAAAGCCATGAGTGAGTGTTATTTTGGGAGGCAAGAGAGCAAAGTGTTTTAAAAAGGAGGGCAGTGTCAATTATCAGATGCTTTCGAGAAGCCAAGTAAGGCAAGGATGAAAAAGTGTTGATTGGATTTGGCACATTGGAGGTTTAGGCAACACCCACAAAGTTTATTTAGATAGAGTGTTGGATATGGAAAATGGAATAGGTTGAGGAATGACTGGGAAGTGAGGAAGTAGAGAAAGGAGAGTAAAGTCTCTTTAAAAATTTGGCTACTAAGAGTAGCAGAAAAATGGGGTAGCACTGCTCTGGAGGTAATCATCATGTCAATCACAGCCTTTGGCTTCTTTCCTTCTAAGATCAATCTTGCTAAACTCATATTATTTAAGACTATAGGCCCGTTGTGGTATCAGGCCAATCCCTGGAGAGCTAGCACAGACCACTGAGCCAGCCAGGCTCCTGGAGTAGGACATGAACAAGGTTTTTGTATCTTTACCATTTTGCTCAAGTGGTTTTCAAGCTGTGTTGTGCATTAGAATCATGTGGGAGGGGTGCTTGTTAAAACATAATTGCTCTGCCCACTCATAATATGTCATTCAATAGGGCTGGGGTTCCCAGATGAGGCTGATAGTGCTGGTTGAGAAAACACAGCTTGAAAACTACTAAATGCTATCCCTATAATTTAAGCCTTCAGCATTGACATTGTTTTCACAAATTAAACCAGACATCCTGGGATGGTATTTTTTTTTCCCTAGGAATTTTTAGAAAAATATCAGAAAAATTTGGAAAATCAGAATATTAGAAGATATTTGATTCTGAAGATAACCTGATTGAATATTTTATTAAGATCTATTAGTTACCAACTCATATGCAGCAGTGATTCTAGTCTAGAGGGGAGAGGAAGTTAGGGGGAGTGGAGGTGGTTGTTTTAGTATTCCATCCAACATCATCCTATACTCTCCTCCTCACCACACATGTAAATCTACTTTAAGAGTTTGAAATATAGAGCTTTCCTTTGCTATTCTTATTCAAATGTGTTAGTTGTGCTTTTACGTTTATGAGTCATTTAGAATTTCCTGATTCATCTTAGTTTTTAAATCACTAACAATAAAAGCCCTGTTTTTGATTTAGAATACAGTACTTATTTTTAGTCATTGAATATAATATAGCAGAACTTCCTTTGAAAAATATTTCAATCTGCTTGAACTGGAAAAAATGATCTTGATTTTAAAAATGCCTTTATCATTACATATTTAGATAATTTTACAAGGCAGAGTATTCCCCGGCAAGAAGAAATTAGCACTCTTGGTGCAACCTTCACTGATCTGGCTAAAGAAAAGGAATGCCCACAAGCATGCTTGGATAAAAAATCCAAAAATATTGCAACCCGTGGAGAGAGTTTGGAAATGAAAGTATGTTCTGAGAACTGTGATTTAAAAGAAATGTTTGCACTTGAATCTTAAATAATAGGGCTCTCTCAAATTTCTTTTTTCTAGAAAGCTGAAACAAAATCTGATTTTGAAATATTTCAGGGTATTCTTTAAGAAATATGTGGTATTTTCCACCAGTTTATGATTAACATTCACTGACAATAACTAATTTAAATATCAAAATGTGAAGCATGATAATACAGCAGTATGACTGATTTTGTTTTAAAAGCACTCCAGAACTTATACCTCCAGGTAGCCACTATGGGAGTCAATATGTTTATTCTATTAAAACTGCCTTTGTAATTGTGTTCAGAACTAGATGCACATTTAGTTCACAACGTCTTAGCCATTGAACATATAGACCATATAGAGCTGCTGCTGCTGTTCAAACAACATAAAAGGGCTGCCAAAAAGGCAGGAAATGTTGATACCCCTTTCTAGCTCATAAACTGATTCTGAAGGCAATCCCAACACTGTTTTCTATAAATGTTTTAAACTGAAATAACAGTTTAAGGTAATTTTTTTTTATTTCATACTTATATTACTTTTCAAGGAAAAGGCCATTTCAGGCATGAAGAATATTATCCCTGAGACAAAACATGCATCAAGGTAAACCATTTATTCAGTAAGAATTTGGGTATTTATTAGGAGCAAAGTACTATTTTTGCTCTATGCTAGTGTTTCCCAAAGTGTGGTACACGTACCCCCAGGGGTACGGGAAGAGTTTGGTGGGGGTACACGTTGCACCGGAGTTTGGTGGGGATACGCACTGCACCGTGCTTAGCTGCGCCTAATTCTACGTTCTCATGAGTATGAGGGGTACTCAGCGTTACAAAAATTATAGAAGGGGCACACATATGTCAAAAGTTTGGGAAACACTGCTCTAGACAAAAGATAATAAAAAAAAACAAGTGGTTTAGTGTTATATAGAGAGTTTAAAACTTTCTAATATTGGAAGGAGAAGCCTTTCCACATTATAGGAAAGTGTGTGTAGGGAAGTAAAAAAGGATATGGTGTTTGCCAAGGGATGGGAAGGAAAGCACATTTAAGGTAGAAAAGACAACAACAAAAAACCCATAAAGAACCACAGATAATGTTCAGGAGCCATTTGAATGACAAATAGGTGAGTGTTGGAACCCAAAGTGTGAAAGGAGATGTGAAGGGAAGAAAGGCTAAACACAGAGAAACACTTACAAACGAATTTTGATTTTATCTTTTGGGAAATAATTCATAAAGGAATTTTGAGGAGATTTTTGCATTAGAAAGATTACCCAGGCTGAAGAATGATGATAGATAGAGGTTGGGAAGTTGCGAGATGGGTAAGCTGCTTGCAAGGAAGAAAATCTAGGAAAATGCCAGGTTTGGGACTGGGAATGAATGCTGCACTTCTAGAAAGTGTGGGAAAATATGATTTTCTCTGAATTACAAGACACTTGTGGATATGTCTTGGACGCAGTTAAATATGAGTCTGGAGTCTAAGGAAGAGGCTGAGGCTGGAGGTAATGACTTCAGAGTCATCTGGGTATAGATGGATTTGGGAGCCATGGATATGGATAGTATTTGTCTGAATGAAGGTTAGAGTAAGATGAATCAGAAAGCTGAGAGTTAAGCTCTCAGAACTATTAAGTTTTAAGAGGGCAGAGGAAGAGGAGCCTGCAAAGGAGACTAAGCCATGGCAGCTAGAAGTAGGATGAAAGCTTTCTTATATTTGAAGTCACAAGTTTTTAAATACTTAGCTAGTCATTGAGTATTATGTATATTTAGCACCCTTTTTTTTCAATGTGAAATGCTGGCAACATTGAGACGCTCCAGTGATGCTCTTTGCAGTATTTAATTCCTATAAACTTAAATGTTTAAAATTTCTTTAAAAAAAAATATATATTTTATTGATATTTTACAGAGAGGAAGGGAGAAGAATAGAGAGCTAGAAACATTGATGAGAGAGTCATCAATCAGCTGCCTCTTGCACTCTCCCTACTGGGGATGTGCCCACAACCAATGTATATGCCCTTGACTGAATTGAACCCGGGACCTTTCAGTCCGCAGGCTGACGCTCTATCCACTGAGCCAAACCAGATTCGGCTAAAACTTCTTGATATGTTCTCTTGTTATTTGCACCTCTTCTGTCATGTGAAAATTTGTTGTTCTGTTTTGGTAAAATATCTCTTCTATGTACTATTTGATTGTGCAATAGGCACTCTACTGAAGCGCTAATTAAGCGTGAACAAGACATTTCCAGGTTGCGCTGGCAGTTGGATGAAACAAATAATGAACTGGCTCAGATTGCCAGGAAAAGAGAGATCTTGGCTCGTGAGAATGACAATCTCCAAGAACAGTTTTCTAAAGCTAAAAAGGAAAACAAGGTATATTTGTTCCTAGTATCTTTTTCTTCAAGTAAATATATATTTATTCTGAGGCTTGGTTCTCCTTTCATTCTGTAGAAAAGCTCAGGCTTTGAAACCAGCCATTTTTTTTTTTTTATCTTTATCATACAATATGAAACATAATTTCTAAATGAGATTCTCAGGCATAAAGTGTTAAATATTAAGGAAAAGAGAGAACAGGAGATTAATAAATTTGTATTAAACCTTAGAATTACTCAACAAATGAAGATAAAAATCTTAAACTTTTAAAAAAAGAATATATTTTGATTTTTTTTCAGAGAGGAAGGGAGAAGGAGAGAGTTAGAAACATCGATGAGAGAGAAACATCTATCAGCTGCCTACTGGGGATGTGCCCACAATCGACTGTGTGCCTTGACCGGAATTGAAACTGGGACTCTTGAGTCTGCAGGCTGACTCTCTATCCACTGAGCCAAACCGGAGAGGGCAAGAAACCTTTCAGAAAATCATGGATTTATTTGATAGACTATTATTCTGTTTAAGTATGAGTGCATGAACTTGGCCACATTTTTTTTTTTTTTCTTTAGCACTGTGATTCTTTTCAGGAAAATTTATTTTATAATTAATCACTTCCTCTCTAAGCCAATGTACTTTATCCACAGTTCTCATTTCTAGTATCATCATTTTAATTTGATCACTAAAATTGGTCAAATTTTATTTGGAAGCTTTCTTCCCCTCTGAAAATTCTTCAGTCCCAATGATTTCCCCAGTTTGCTATCACTCTCAATATGTTTAGTTTGCATCATAAAAGTCTGTGTTTTTTATTTTTTAAATATATTTTTATTGATTTCAAAGAGGAAAGGAGAGAGAGAGAGAGAGAGATGGAAACTTCAGTGATGAAAGAGAATAATCAGCTGCTGCCCACATGCCCCACAATGAGGATTGAGCCTGCAACTGGGGTATGTGCCCTGACAAGGATTGAACGGTGACCTCCTGGTTTCATAGGGAGGCAGTAGAGTGAAAAGTTTAAGACTCACATGAATTTGAATCCCCCTGCCTCATTTAACTTCTCTGAATTTCATTACATCATCTGTAAAAATGGAGAATAAATGAGAATATGTATAGAAAGCATTTATTAGAGTCCAGCATAATCAGTTTTTAAATATTTTGTAGGCTCTTGTTAGCTTACTATAACATTATAATCACTTCCCTGTTTTGTTAACATTTTATAAACATTTTTTTTTGTAATCAGAACAAAATCAGTATAACAAGTTTCATGTGTTCGAGAGTACTTTTTTCCTTTGTTTGAGCCATAGGCCCAAGGGTAGAAGATGGATCCCTCTATAGACCACAGATCAAGAACCCCTATCACAGATATGGAAAACAGAAACCTTAAAAAATTTCACCCTCACTATCACAATTTTTAACAAATTGGGATGATTTATTTTTAGTGTTTATCCTGATTTTTCTTCACTAATTATAGATGGATATTTTTTCTCTGTATTAAAAATTATTCCAACATTTTTCAGAGATATAATGTTCTTTGTGGTTATACCATTAGGTAGATACTATTATTTACTGCATCATTCACTTAATGTGAAAAAAAATATTGTTAATATAACAAAAATATATTAAAATACCCATCAGATCCCTAATGAGCATTCCTTTTCATTAAATTTTATTAGATTTAATTTAAAACCAAATAAAAGCTTATGAAATTTTTTTAAATTAGATATTTTCAAATGTAATGAATATGCATGTATTCATCTCCCATCTTCAACAAAAAGCAACATACTTCACTTTCTTGTTTGTTTTAAAAAATATATATTTTATTGATTTTTTACAGAGAGGAAGAGAGAAGGATAGAGAGCTAGAAACATCTATGAGAGAGAAACATCGATCAGCTGCCTCTTGCATGCCCCCTACTGGGGACGTGCCCGAAACCAAGGTACATGCCCCTGGGACCTTTCAGCCCTCAGGCCGATGCTCTATCCACTGAGCCAAACTGGTTTAGGCACTTTCTTGTTTTTATTAGTATTTAAAAATGTCTCTCAATATATCACCAGATAACAAATCACCAATTTGCTTCTTGTTTGTTTACTTCAATGATAATGGAAATGTCCATTCCTTTTATAACCGAATAGCTTTAAATCCTTGCTAATTTGATAGACAAAATTCTATTTCATTGTCTTAATTAGTATTGCCTTAATTAGATTACTGGAACATTTTTTTAACTTTTTAAAGTATTATCCACTTGTGCTTTCTTTTTATGAATTATTTGTTTGGGTTCTTTGCCCATTTACTGTATGGACTCATATTTTCTCACTTTATATAGTAGGTATATTTCTTTAACTTTTCATATTATAATAAATAATTTAAAATTTATGATGTATTTGATATAGAGCTATTTAAAATTTTTTAAAATCCAGCTATCTTTTTTTCATAGGCACTGTCTAAACAATTGAATGATACACATAATGAACTTAATGATATAAAACAGAAGGTCCAAGATACTAATTTGGAGGTTAACAAGCTAAAAAATATATTAAAGTCTGAAGTATGTATATATTTTTCCCCTCTTTGCTAATAATACCATAAAAGTTTCCACTACACTTATTGATCAGTTCTACTCATGGGGAGAGCTGAATCAAGCCTTCCTTTAATGAATACCATATTTTAGTGTTGACAATGATGGGTTGACAATTATGGGTTAACTATATGTCCAGAAAGAAGCAAAGACATCTTGAAGGAGGAGAGAATTGAAGAAGACCAAAAAGCAGTTTCACTTTTTTTATGTTATTGCCTATCTTGGACCCTAGACTGCTCTGGCTGCCTTGAATAGATACAAAGAAAGGATCAAACATGGCTTCTTAGTTGCCACAGGAAGAGGCACAAAATGGTTAAAGGACAGGAGAGACGTTTTATGGCAATTATTTTTCATCACTTGAACTTTGAACCTATATCATCTAGTCATAAAACTAAATTTAATATAAAAATGAGTTCCTATCTTTGAGAAATCCTAATTATTGGGGAGACTGTACATCCATGCCTAATTACATAAAGTTATAAGGCCATTTTAAGAAAATGACCTAAATAGTAAGTGCTTCAGAAATTTAAAGAGAGTAAAGATAGACATGGGTTAAATTTAGTTTATTATATTGTATCATGTACCTCCCAAGTACATACACTGTATACAACTGTAATTTTAAGTAAAATGGGAAATACCCATTAGATCCCTACTGGCACATTTGGAGTACCTGAATCTTAAAAGCCAAAACAGTAGTTTGGCTTGTTAGCTTATTAACTAACAGCCTGCAAAGGTCTTTCACATTAGTCATGGTACACCAGGTCACAAGGTGGTGATATTAACTGAATTTCAGCCAAACTCATGATTTATTATATTTGTGAGAATTTAAGTCTGTTTTGAAAGCCTTACAGAGTGGGACGTTGTTTGGTTAATTAATTTAGACCAGTGTTTCTGATAGGGAAATGCACTATTTATTAACAGGTAGAAAGGAAGGAGATCTAGTGTCTTTTAAATTACTTACCAAAGTTATAAAATACTACTGTGTTTTCCCGAAAATAAGACATCCTCCGAAAATAAGACCTAACGCATGGAAAGATAAGACATCCCCTGAAAATAAGACCTAGCACAACTTTGGGAGAAAAAATTAATATAAGACACTTATTTTCGGAGAAACAGGGTACTAAAATATGTTTTTAAATATAGCCTCAAAATGATTACTCAACATAGTATATTATTTGTGTTGTTTGTTTTCCTCTAGAAATAAAATCCTACATAGTCAAGATGTCATGTTATTAATAGAACTTTTAAGGTTTTAAAAATGTGATTCTATGTTATATACCCAATATATACCTGGATGTATATTTATGAATTGTGTTTATTGGCATAAATTTGATATTTTACTTCTGAGCTATTTAGAACAGTGAGCAAAAGTGGATCATAGAACAGTCCATGATGAAGAAAATTAAGGCTGGGGTACTGAATGAAAAGTAGGATTCAGACAAGAAATGCACTAAGTCAAGAGATTATTAGAAGTTGATGCTTAACATATGCAAGCAGTCAGAAGCTCTGTGGCCAGTACAACTCAAAATGTTGTCAGAAACAAGGGAACAGATAGACACAGTTAGGTCAAGGCAGAAGAAAATATAAGAACACTAGAGGCCTGGTGCATGAATTTGTGCACAGGTGGAGTCTGGCTGGCCTGCCTCCATTGGGCTGGGCCAGCAGGAGTGAGAGTGAGAGTACATGGGAGGCTGGCCAGCCAGGGGGAGCTGCAGGAGGTAGGCTGGCCCCGCCCTTGATTGGGGTTCGGGGGGGAGGGTAATTCTCCCCGCCCCCCCACCCCAATCAGGCCCATTGGTCATTCCAGTTGTTCTGTCATTCTGGGCACTTGATATATATATATATATATATATATATATATATATATATATATATATATATATATATATATATATTTTTTTTTTTTTTTTTTTTTTCATCAAGGTCCTGGGCAGATCCTGATCCCACTCTCTTTTGTTAATTACTGGAGGATCAGTTTTCTAAATTGAGAGGGTAGGTAGATGGGATTGCTCAAGGTTGTGATTCTCATGGCTAGCAAATTCCCAGTGACCTGACAAATAATGTTTAATTATATATTGAACATTTTATGTTTATTTTTTAAAATATTTTTATTGATTTCAGAGAGATAGTAACATTAATGATGAGAATCGTTGATTGGCTGCCTTCTACATGACCCTCATTGGGGACTGAGCCTGCAACCTAGGCATGTGCCCTGACCGGGAATTGAACTGTTGACTTCCTGGTTCATAGGTCAATGCTCAATCACTGAGCCACCTGGCTGGGCTATTTTATATCTTTTGAAGTAATACCTAAGGCTTGCTTTTCAGGAATCTGAGAATTGGCAAAAGATGGGCCAGTTCCAAAAAGCCAATGAAGATGCTGAAGACTTGGAAAATAAGGCTGAGCAAGCAGAGGCAGATAACAATACCCTCGACTTAGAATTTATCACTAAAAAGGTAGATACCCTCAATAGAGAGGTCGAGCAGGTGAGTTTGGGAAAATGTGTTTGTAGTACATCTTGCATCACATTTAAGAGTTTCCATAAGTTAAATATATAAGCAAACACTTATATTACTTAAGTATACTGTGAATGTAGCCTAATAACTGTTCTTATATGCACTCTGGTTCTCCTGTAAACTACCACCTGCCCTATAATAAGAACAATCTGTAGTATGTATTAAAATTAGGAACTAATTCAAACATACCTAAAAAAGTGCAAAAGCAGGTAATAGAAAACACAGGATTCTGCTCTCCTCCCAAGTTTAAGGATGCTGCATTTTGCCTTATTTGCTTCAAGTCTCTCTTTATTTAAAGAAACAAAACATTACAAGATCAAACTCCTCATCCTTTCCCTTTCTCTCCTTCCCTCACAGTAAGTGTATATAAGGTTCCAGTCAGTTGTAGAACTCGTTTGCATATGTTTCTACTTTTCTATATATCTATCACCCACAGATAATAATGTATGTTTTAAGTTTTTAAAAAGTGATAAAATACTATAGGAATCCATTTGAAACTTGCATTTTTTGCTCAATATTATAATTTTGAAGTTTATTTTTATATGATGCACATCTAAACAACTACATCTATATTCATTGTTTAAATATTTCTTTTAAAAATGTATTATTATATTGAAGGAAATGTAGTTGTCTTTTTTAAATAATCAAATGGCACAGCACACATCCTTTGTAATTTCCACTTGGATATATATTTCTTCAGGTTTATGCCTGGAAGTGGAGTAACTGGATGCAAGATATGTGTAATTTTAACTCTTCTCAGTATTGTCAGATTGCTCTATAAAGTTTTATTCTTCCACCAAAAATCATGGAATTATCATTTTCTAACATACTAATCAATATTTGATGTTACCAGACTTTTAAATTTTTTCATACCTTTTTTGTGTGTGTTTCCTCGATTATAAGTGAAATTGAGGATCTTTTCATGTTTCTTGGCTATTTGGGATTCCTCTTTTATGAATTTTCTCTCCATTTTCTGGAACAAATTTTCTTAAACTCTCCTATTTTTTCTATTGAGTTATTTATCTTTTTCATATTGATTTAAAAGAACTATACATATTCTTTATAATAATCTTTTTAAAGATATTAACAGTTATCTTCTTATCTGTGCATGTCTTTTCACTGTGCAATATAAATAGAAGTTTTAAATTTTTGTACTACTGGAATTAGTTAACTTTTTAACCCTATGTCTTCTTTAAGAAATTCCTACTATCCCAATACCAGAAGGATATTTTCTTACATTATCATATAAAAGTTCTAAAAGTATGTTATATTTTTCCCTTCACATTTAAATCTTTAATTTACTTGAGATTGATTTTGTATATAGTTTATCTCTATTATGGCTGTAGTCTTTTCCTGATTGCTGAGTATAAACCATGCGCGCTTATGTGTGTGTGTGTGTGTGTGTGTGTGTGTGTGTGTGTGCGCTCGTGCAAGTGTGCACACGCACGCGCACGATTCTTTTTTAAAATTTATTTTTACTGTGACACTATTCCAGATGTCCCTATCCTTCCCCCTTGCCCCTCCTCCTTTTCTTCTGGCCATCACCACACTGTTGTTTGTTATGGGTTATGCATATGTTTTTTTGACAAACCCCTTTACCTTCTTTCATCTAATCCAGCCCCTTCCTTCTGACAGCTTTAAGTCTGTTCCATGTATCCATGCCTCTGTTTCTATTTTGTTTGTAAGTTGTGAGATCATATGATATTTGTCTTTCTCTGACTTATTTCACTTAGCATAACACTCTCCAGGTCCATCCATGCTGTCACAAAAGGTAAGACTTCCTCTTTTATGGCTGCATAGTTTTACATTATGTAAATGTACCAGAGCTTTTTTATCTACTCATCTACTGATGGGCATTTGGTCTGTTTTCAGATCTTGGCTACTGTAAATGATGCTACTGTGAACATAGGGGTGCATATAATCTTTCAAATTGGTGTTTTAGTAGATTATATTCCCAGAAGTGGGATCACAGCGGCTGCATCAATCTGCATTCCCACCAAATGTGCACTACAGTTCTCTTTTCTGCACATCCTTGTCAGTACTTGTCATTAGTTGATTTGTTGATTCTGGCAGGTGTGAAATAACATATCATTGTGGTTTTAATTTGCATCTCTCTAATGATTAGTGACACTGAACATTTTTTTTTCTCTTGGCCATTTGTATGTTTATTTAGGTCCTTTACCCATTTTTTAATCTGATTGTCTTCCTGGTGTTGAGTTGTAGAAGTCTTTTATGTATTTGGACTTCTACAACTCAACACCAGAAAGTCCTTTATCACATGTCTCATTGAGAAAATGTTCTCCCATACAGCGGTTTCCCCTTTCAATTTGCTGATGGTTGCTTTTGCTGTGCAGAAGCTTTTTGGTTTGGTATAGTCCCACTTGTTATTTCCCTTGCCCAAGGAGACATATCGGCAAAAACATTGCTACGAAAGATGTCTGATATTTTCCTGCAAATGTTTTCTTCTAGAATTTTTATGGTTTTGTAACACTTAAGTCTTATCCACCCTGAGCTTATTCTTTGTTATGGTGTAAGTTGGTGATCTAGTTTCATTTTTATGCATGTGCCTAATTTTCCCAACATTTATTGAAGAAATTGTCTTTACCCCATTGTATGCTCTTGCCTCCTTTGTCAAATATTAGCTGGCCATAAAGGCATGGATTGATTTCTGGGCTCTGTGTTTTGTTCCATTTATCTATATCCTGTTCTGATGCCTATACTAGGCTGTTTTGAATTCTAGCCCAAATATTTATTAACATTAATCATAGTTTCCATGTATTTATTCCTGTGTTGTGATCTGTCTTTTATTCTTCCCTCTTAAGCTCTATTAGTTTGTTCTTAGATGCATTCATTAATTTTTCACCTTTATGACTACTTTTTCTTTCAGAAATACTATTTGAGTCTTCTTCATATTTCTCTTCTTTTCAATTTTTCTTTAATGTCTTTTAAACTTGTTTTTTTTTTTTTTTTAAATCTTCACCACGGATATTTTCCCATTGATTTTTAGAGAGAGTAGAAGACAGGGAAAAACAGAAATATCAGTCTGAGAGAAATACTTTGGTTGTCTCCCGCATGAGCCCCAATCAGGGCCTGGGCTGGGGAGGAGCCTGCAACTGAGTTATATGTCCTTGACTGGAATCCAACCCCCACCTTCGGTTCTCAGACTAATGCTCTATCCACTGAACCAAACTGGCTAGGGCTTTTAAACTTTTAAGCATGTTCATTTGCTTCCTGCTCTGGGTTATTTTTCTCATTTTTTGGCATGTGAGAATTTTTCTTTCTTCCTTACAAGCAAAATTTATTTTTAATTTAAAATAAAAACATTTTTATTTTAGCCTTTAAGAGAACGTTTTCCTCTTAGTCAACTAACTTACTAAAACTGGAAACATACAGAATAATCTTTTCAAAACACAAAACTGATTGCATCACCTCCTTCTTTTCAGACCTTTCAGTAGATAAACACCTGATTTTTAGACTAGCCCTCTGTCTTGTAAGTTTTGTATACCTTTTCAGTTGTGTCCCCTAACACTTCCCGGTGGTCTCTAAGCTCCAGCCACACTAACCTTGTCTCTGTTCTTGGAGTATGTCATTTTTCCTCCTTCTACACCAGGCGTCCTCAAACTTTTTAAAGTGGGGGCCAGATCACGGTCCCTCAGAGAGCTGGAGGGCCGGACTATATGAACTACTAATTCCTACTGTAACACCTTGGCTGCGCTCACTGCCCAAAAAACCTGGCGGGCCGGATCAGACTCCTCTGTGGGCCGCATGTGGCCCGCGGGCCGTAGTTTGAAGACGCCTGTTACACACTCCCTCCAAAGCTTTGCACTTAGCACTCCTGACTTGAAAAGAGGCTTCCCACCCCCCCACGCCCCCCAGTGCACATTGTATATAGATCTACTCACCTTTCAGATCTCATTCAGCTCAACTGCCATTTGCTCAGGAAAACCTTTTCTGACTTCCCTGTGCCTCTCAGTTTAGGTCACTTTCCTTTTTTTTATACAAGTTTAGAAGTATTTGCTTAATATGGATTAATCATCACCTGTGTGATTACTTTATTGATGCATGACTCCTTCATTGTCGAAAGTTTTATGAGAGCAGATCATATTGCTTACCATTGGATATACATCTAGGCACATTTACTGGAACATAGAATATACTCAATAAATAAAGAATGGATGGATAGATGGGTGGGTGTATAAATGGATGAATAGAAAATTATTTAATGAGTGAGAAATTGAGTGAGGCAGGAAGGGAGGTGAAAGGTAGGAGTGAATTGTGACTAAAATTCTTTATACTGTAAGTGTAGTATCATTTAAAAATTGCCCATTTTGTGTTTCATGTCGTAGTCCTTTTCCAAGTTAAAAAATAATGTGGTCTTTGTAGCACTTGAATGCAGAAAGGTCTTATAAGTCCCAGATTTGTACCTTACATAAATTTCTGGTGAAGATGGAAGAGGAGCTTCAGAAGGTTCACTTAGAAAAGGTGTCTGCCCTTGCAGACTTGTCTTCCACAAGGGAACTTTGTATTAAACTTGACTCGAGCAAAGAAATTCTTAATCGACAGCTGGTTGCCAAAGATCAAGAAATTGAAATGGTATGTAATACATTAATTTTTTCACATTTCTATTGCTATAAAGTTATTACAAGTTTAGAAAGCAAGTTTTTAAAAAATATTACATCAAGCCATGTCTTTCATCTTTATATTCTATTTTTTAAGTCCAAGAGATTAATTTGACAGCTGTATTTGAACAATTCAAGTACAAAACAGAAATCTTTGAGTATTTAATTTATATTTATTTTTAGCCAGAAGAATTATAAAACACATTTATTTACATACCAGTCAGTTAAGATCCCATGAGGTTGAGGTTTATCCAGCTAAATTATAACTTTAATGGCATTCTTTTAAGCTAAATTTATTTACTAACGGGGCTCTTTTAAACTGTAATTCTGTTGATTTATCTACATGTCCCTGACATGGTGCTTGCTGCTGTGAATATGCTATGTGACTGTAACGTGCAAAAGATACAGGCTCCTGCCCTCAAGGACATTTCAGTATTGACAAACAAGTAATTTGGGATGAAAGTTATACTAATAAGAAATACTCGAGGTTTCAGACAGGGAGTTCCTGTTCAGCCTGGGTCTGTCCGGAAGGAGTTCACAAGGAAGCACTAAGGAATGTAGAAGAGATGAGGCATTTCCTTCACAGGGAACAACATAGGGAGTAGATGGAGGCAAAAGGAATTCTTCAGTGAATAGTAAGTGATTTTCAATGCCAGTGTAGCATGCCTGGGGGGAAATGGCTGGAGGTGCATCTAGAGAGATAAATGGAGGAATATATGTATATGAGTTGCATAATGTAATTAAGGAATCAACAAATTTTGGTCATGTTTACATTTCTGTTATCAAATCCTATTGAAATTTTAGTTTTGTTAGTCTATTTATTAGGAGGATATGTTGCATTTGAGAATCATGTATCTAGCTGGTTTCTGTAAGAATGCATTATTAACATTTTATTAATGAAGCATATGCCAGTATTGTCAAACTCACCTTAAATTATTTTTTATTTCAGCAAGAACATTTTTTTTTAGCAAGAACATTTATTTTTTTTCATTCACTCTTTTAAAAAAATTATTTTATTGTTTAAGGTATTACAAATAGTAGTACATATGTGTCCTTCACCCCCACACCCCCACCCTGACCTCCCCCTGGCCTCCCCTACCCCCCAGCACTTGCCCTTGTCCACCTACCCTCAGTGTCTTGCATCTGTTGGTTGTGCTTATGTACACGCATACAAGTCCTTCAGTTGACCTCTTACCCCTCCCCAACAGCATTGACAGTCTGTTCAATGCTTCTTTGCCTCTATTTCTGCTCAGCAGTTTGTAATGTTCTTTATTATCCATAAATGAATGAGATCATGTGGTATTAATCTTTCACTGACTGGCTTATTTCACTTGGCATAATGCTCTCCATAACCATCCATGCTATTGCAAATGGTAAGAATTCATTTTTTACAGCAGTATAGTATTCCATTGTGTAGATGTACCATGGTTTTCTAATCCATTCATCTGCTTATGGGCATTTAGGCTGTTTCCAAATCTTAGCTATTGTAAATTAGCAAGAACATTTTAATGATGAAAATAACTCATGAATAGATAGTCACTGTAAAAATTCAAATGCTATGCTATGTCCTTAATTTTTCTTTAAAAACGTTTTTTACCTGGCATTTTCAAATGGGAAAAATAATGCATATTATAATATCTGAAATACTTATTATTTTTTCATTCCCTTAATTTCTTCCTTTTTAAAAAATAATAGCTATCCTAATGGATGTCGTCAGGCTAATAATTCTCATTGTATTTTAAAATGCTTCTGGGATACATTTTTTTTGCCTTGAAAATCCATATATGTTTAGATTTCAGGGCAAGCACCATCTTATTTATCTTTGTATTTCTTTAGCTGTACTATATATGTAGGAGCAACATCCTTTTTACAAAAATTTATTGGGGTGACATTAGAATCTTATGTTTATTTGTTTTCTATATTTGTTCTTTGAGAGTGTTTTTATCATAAATTCACACTGGATTTTAAGTTGTGTTCTCATTTTCATTTGTTTTAAGGTATTTTTATTTCTTCTTAGATATAATTGTTAACCAATTGTTTAGTAACATGTTACCTAGCTTCCATCTCTGTGTGTATTTCTCAGGTTTTTTTCCTTGTGATTGATTTCTAGTTTCATACCACTATGGTCAGAATAGATGCTTGCTATGAGTTTAATCTTAAATCTATTGAATCTTTTGTTTTTTGTACTAACATGTGGTATACCCTTGAAAATGTTTCATATGTGCTTGAAAAGAATGTATATTCTGTTGCTTTGTGTGAAATGTCCTAAAAATACCAATTAACTCTGATCTAGTGTGTCATTTAAGTTGTTTGTTTCCTTGTTGTTTTTCTATCTGCAAAATTTATCCATTGTATTGTTAGATATCATTTTCTAGTCTAGGAACTTCTTTCTGTATCTACCTTCTCCTCTCCTAATTATTTTTCTTTTAAATTCCTTATTCTTAGTTTTATCTTTTCACATTTTACTTAAGTGCTTATATAATATTATAGAATAATAGTGTCCAGGTGGCTGTTCAACCAATCAAAGCTTAATATGCTAATGATATGCTAAAGCCACTTAATCCTCACCATGATGAGCACTGACCACCAGGGGACAGACACTGTGATGGTAGGTGAGCTTGCTGCTGGGGTCTGGCCAATCAGGACTGAGTGAGATGGGCTGGACACACTCTAGAGCCCTCAATGGTCCCTCCCCAGCTGGCCAACCTTCCACCTCCCTCCTTGGCCCCAATTGTGCACCAGTGGGGTCCCTTGGCCTGGCCTGTGCCTTCTTGCAATCTGGGACCCTCCAGGGATGCTGGAGAGCCAGTTTTGGCCCAATCTCGCAGGCCAGGCTGAGGGACCCCACTGGTGCACAAATTTGTGCACTGGGCCCATGAGGTAATTGTAGGGGTGTTTTAAAAATAAATAGTAGTCTCTGGTTTACTTCCTTTTGAAGGAACATTTGACTTACAGAATGTATTCCAGGTTCAAGATAACCTTCAAAATTGAAGCTTTCCACAGGTTTATGCAAGAGTGGGAATGTGTAATGACCTCTTATCTTCCTTAACAATTCAGTGCAATAGCATTTCATAAGGTGTTAGATGTTTGTAACTCGCTTCAGTACATAGTAGTAGTCACAGTATCACCATCTCAGTCTTGCAGAAATCTATAATAATTAAAGTGTAATATGCTAATTAGATCAGATGTCCTTCCGGACAAAGCTGGAGCTGCAAGGGAAGCCCATGTCCTGGTGCCAGAGGGAAGCCAATGCTGGCAGCTGGGGGAAGGAAGGCCTACTCTCGCACAGATTTTGTGCCTTGTGCATCTTGCAGTATATAAATAAATATCAAAGCTGGACGTGGAATTTGTAGTTTGGGATTAATAACTCATTATTTATTGAATTTTCTGATAAACGAGTTGGGGAAAGTGATACTGAGTGTGTATATTTGGTAAGGAGGGCAATATTTCTAATCAAGAAATTAAAAGGGCTTGTTAGTTTATAACATAATACAGAAAGTTTTTAAGTCTCTGATAATCGATCAGTTAAGTGAATGAATGGGAGTAAGTATAGATCTATTCCTATTGTACAGATGGAGAATGAGTTAGATTCTGCTCATTCTGAAATAGAACTCCTCAGGAGTCAGATGACAAATGAGAGAATCTCCATACAGAATCTAGAAGCTTTGCTGGTGACCAACCAAGACAAAGAATATCAGTCTCAGATAGCACTTCAAGAAAAAGAATCTGAAATTCAGCTTCTTAAGGAACACCTTTGTTTGGCAGAAAATAAAATGTGAGTTGGTTAATGATATAACAAAGTCATATTTCTTAAATTTTTTGTACTTTATAGACTAGAATTTTAAAGCTGGAATTTATACAATTTAATAAAGTAGGGGTGTCGAACTCAATCAGAGAAGGGGCCAAAATCTAAAATCCAGCCTAAATCGCGGGCCAAATGGTTTACTGAACAGTCATAAACTGTCATTGTGATGGAAACGCAGTGAAGTGCAGTGATGACAGCGCGGTGCGGGCCACATTGCAAGGCCTGGCGGGACGGATTTGGCCCGCGGGCCTTGTGTTTGACACATGTGTAATAAAGCATCAATAATCTGCCATTAATTAAAGACCAGAAATATTGTGATTTGCCTAAGATTTGGTACTTATTTACATGATATGTTTAGATAAATTTATTTAAATTTAAGTTTGACCATCTCTGTTGGTTATTCCCAATAGAGCTTTGGCTATAATAGAATGTCTGATCTAAAAATACTGCCTTTAGAAAATATTATAATCAGGTTAGAAACAAAAATACTTTTGAAACCAGAAGTTGTTTTCTATTTATGGACCAACCCACCGGATATTGCTAACTAACCTTTCCATTTTGTTACACAGTATTTCCTTGTGTACCTATCATTCATTGTACATACTAAATACCTGGAAGAAGAACTGCATTCACTAAATATTGAAGACTTCCCTTTGAGCATTGATTTTGGCTTTAGTTATTTTCCTTTTTATTGAATTTATTGGGGTGACGTGGTTTAACAAAAATATACAGGTTTCAGGTGCACAATCATATCATTTGTACTGTCTTGTTTGTTTATCACTCTAAGTCAAGTCTCTGTCAATCACCATTTATCCCCACCCTACTCTCTCCCACCTACCCCCACCCCAGCCACCTCTCCTTGGCAGTCACCACACTGTTGTCCATGCCCACTGGGCTGCTGCTACTTTTAGAATCCCTAGCACCATTAGCAGTGTACTCCATGACCCTGGCTGGAAGGAGGGTAGAAATACCTGCCTGGAGAGTGAATGTTCTATTACAATTGGTCACCTCTCACAAAAAGTTGATGGGGACTCTTAGTCCCTGTTCTTATCTCATCTAGAACACATTTTCAGACTCAACTCTGCCCTTCTGCCTGAGCTTGGGACCTAGGAAAGAACAGGAATCATGATCTCAGGAATCAGCTCACAGGAGCCCCTGACTAAGCAAAATCTGCAAAGCCAAAGCCAGCTTTCTTCAGAAACTGTTTTCAGTATATCAGCTGTCATCGAGGCATTCTTTTTAGTCATTGCAGCTGGGTTGTTGTGGTACCTTCAGTGGGTTATGCAAAATCACTTTTTCAAGCTGGTAGGGAGAACCCTGCCTTAGTGAGGTATGCCAAAACTTCACCTTAAAGGGTACATTCTTCTTTAGACTGGCTGGTAAGTAATGTCACTTAGAACTGGCAAACAGGATCAACTTTGGTGTTCTTAGCCTCTACGTTTAGATATTAGCAGTCTAGAATGCAATCCTGGGAGCAAGCAGAAAGGATAGAGCGTTCTGTACCAGCAGCATTCATCTCCGTCGTTTTCCTCCTAAAGCTAGTGTGCCTTGCTACCGGGGGTTTGTGGCATTGCTTAGTCCTAAAGCAGATCCTATTAAATTGGAGAGAATTCAGGTATATCAAATTTAATTATAAGTATACATAAAACACTTGGTTAATTTAATATGTAGTAGATCATATTAATCGTGGTGCTAACAAATTCCAGTTTTGATTGGTTGTACAATTAATTTGCATGTAATACTTTGAAGTACTTTTATAAAAAAGAATTGGCAGTAAATAGATAAGCTAGATAACAGATAATATTACTTCATGTAAACACAGGGAAACTGATATAGAGGAGTTTTAACTGATTGAATGTGGCTGGCTCAGTTTAAGGTTTTCAAGTATAGGCTACTTTGTGTATTTGCTACATCTAAAATTGGCAACATGTCCACAAAAATTACAATTTGGCTTAGATCCAGGAGAGAAAAACCTTGCCAGTATGGTTTAGTGTACCCTAGGCATCCTAGACATATTTTAAGTCATTTTTATGTTCGTTTACACAGGGCCATCCAGAGTCGAGATGTGGCCCAGTTCAGGAATGTTGTAACACAACTGGAAGCTGATTTAGACATCACCAGAAGACAGCTAGGGACAGAGCGCTTTGAATGGTAAGCTCCGCAATACTGACCATGAGAAGCACTGCTTCTTAGATAACAACTGGCAGTCCCGTGACGGCTGCATTGATTTTTTGGTTTTACCACGGTATTGGTAATATCACCGGATGTGAAGTTTAAACTTTTTTATGTTAGGGAGAGAGCTGTGCAAAAACTTCGCCGCCAGCATTACTCCAGCAGTGCTTATCATCTGAGTCCTACGATACAGCCCAACACCAAGTGTCATTCCCCGGACTGTGATCACCACTGATCTGACCGAGGCCTGGAGCGATCGCAAGAAGAGTGAGTGTTTAAGGACCCATTCTGTGGGGAGCATAGAGCAGTGGATAGAGTGAATATTTGAGTGTGTGAAGGCAACTCAGTACAGTATCATTAATAGTGCTATTTAAACATGATTAGTTATGTGCAGATAAAAATGTTTTGATAGTCTTACATAAATATTCTAAAGTGAAAGGTCTCTATTTTACCTATTTACATAAAAATTTAAAAATCTGATATTCTATTGATTTCTACACCAATATTTTATTAAAATTTAATTTATAAATTAACTCTAATAAAATACCGTTTTTTTGTTGTTAGTTCATAACCCATATACAAATCCTTGTCTTCTGGTTTGTTGAAGCAATAGGTCACACAACATTTGCCACAATGATGTCTAACAAAGTGGCTGGCCATAAAAACTCCAGCACCACATTTTTCTCAAGGGCACTTCGATGATTTACGCGACATCAGCATAGTTGCTCGATCCCAGAATGTCTCCAAATGTTTGTTTCTCACCTATGTAACTACAATGAGCAGACCAAATCTTTTTTTAAAAGTTCAGGATCTGTTTTCAACTCTTCCTCTTTATACCGATATACTGCCACTTTAGTGCCCAAGTCTTGTGGGCATATAGTTAAATATTGTGTTCATAAATTGCTTAGATTAATTTGTTTCTTTCTCTGTGGGTATCGTATGTATATATTTGAAATAACATTAGATTTGTTTCAATTTGCTTTCGTTTTTCATTTTTTAATTTAATTTTTGAGTTTGTAGATTAATAAATATGCTTTCAAAAGTCAAAACTCTGTAAAGTAAAACTCAGTGTCACTCTCTCCTGTATACTTAAAAAGAAAGTTATTGATTTTAGAGACAAGCATCGATGATGAAAATCATCTATCAGCTGCCTCTTGCATGCCTCCTCCTGGGGATTCAGCCCACAACATGGAAATGTGCCCTGACCAGGAACTGTAAATGGTTTGACACTCAATCTCTGAGACACACTGACCAAGCTCTCCTGTCTGCATTCTATCCCATCCTTCCACTGAGAAAGGCTTTTTTTGTTTGTTGGTTTCATTTTCAATTTCTGGTGTTAATTGCATAGTGAATAGAGAATATTGTTTATAATATTTCTATTTTATGGAAACTACTGATGTATTCTTTATACATCAGTATAAAGAATACATCAGTAGTGAACAGTTCGTGTGCACTTAGCATATATTATGTATTCTTTATACATCAGTATAAAGAATACATCATATGTGAACAGTTCGTGTGCACTTAGCATATATTATTCTCAGGGTATAGTGTGTATATATATGTAGAAGATTTACATTTTAATTTTCATTTAACTTTTATATTTTTGCTTAATTTTTGTCCATTTAACCTGTTTTATAAGAATGGTGTTTTAAAATCAAACTGTTTTCTTATTGTATCTCCTCTAGATTTTGTAGGTGGCTTGTGGTTTTATTTGTTGCATAGATATTTTGAACTATCATACCTTCATTGTGGAGTATGGTAGTTTTATGAAGTGTTCTTTTCTAACATTAATTTCAGAAGGTTATTTATTTATTTATTGTTATTAAGGTTACAACTCCTTTTTTCCTTATTGTTGTCTGCTTGGTAAATCTTTGTCCAACTTTTTACTTTTAGCTTTTGTGAATCACTGCAATTTAAGTATCTCATATGTAGTATGGACTTAGGTTTTGCTTTATGAGCCATTTTTAAATGATTTGCCAATATGGTTTAGTTTAACTGATCTAAAAAACAGATCAGTTAAACTTCACATTACTGAGAGGACTATTAAATTTGGTCTCAACTCTGTCATATCTTATGACAATTATGTTTTTTGTTTTTTATTTAAATATATTTTTATTGATATCAGAGAAAGGGAGAGGGAGAGAAATAGAAACATCAATGATGAGAGAGAATCATTGATCCGCTACCTCCTGCATGCCTCCTACTGGGGTTTGAGCATGTGACCCCAAGCATGTGCCCTTGACCAGAATTGAACTTGGGACTCTTCAGTCCCTGGGCTGACTCTGTATCCACTGAGCCAAACCAGCTAGGGCTTAAATTTTTTTAAAATATTTTTTTATTGATTTCTGAGAGGAAGAAAGAGGGAGAAAAACATTGATCAGCTGCCTCCTGCACACCCCACACTGGGAATTGAGCTTATAACCACAGACATGTGCCCTGACCAGGAATGTAACCATGACTTCCTAGTTCCTATGTTGATGCTCAACCACTGAGCAACACCAGATGAGCAACAAGGTTTATTACATGACATTTACCGTATTTCTTTCTCAATTTGTTTACTCTTTTTTGCTTTTGAACATTTGATATTAAGGAGTGTTTTATTAGAGTGGTTAACTTTGTTAATACTTCCAATAGTGTCCCTAATCCATTTTCCTTTTTATTGAATTTATTGGGATGACATTGGTTAATAACATTATATAGGTGTTAGGTGTACAGTTCATCTGTATATTGTATTGGGTGTTCACCACCCCAAGTCAGGTTTCCATCCACCACCATTTATGCCTGTGTACTCTCCTCTATTTCCTTAAATCTCCCTTTCCCTGTGGTAATCACCATACTTTCATCTGTCCATAGGGGTTTTTCTTTTTTTTTAATCCCTTCACCTTTTTCACCCAGTCCTGTAACCCCTCTCTCCTCAGACTGTTTTTGTTCATTACACATAATTGAAATCAGTTGGCACTTGTCTTCCTCTGACTGACTTATTTCACTTAGCATAATGCTCTAATTCTTTTTTACAGCTGACGAGTATTCCACTGTGTAAATGTACCACAGCTTTTTATCCACTCATCCACTGAGGGATATTTGGGCTGTTTACTGATCTTGGCTATTATAAATAATGCTGCTATGAATATAGGGGTGAATATATTCTTTCTGATTGGTGTTTTGGGATTCTTAGGATATATTCCCACAAGTGGGATTGCTGGGTCATAAGCCAGTTCCATTTTAACTTTAGGAAACTCCATAATGTTTTCAACAGTGTTGGCACCAATCTGCATCCCATAAAACAGTGCACAAGAGTTCCCTTTTCTCCACATCCCTGCTGATTTATTGATATCCATTCTGACAGGTGTGTGTTGATTATCTCACTGTGGGTTTAATTCGAATTTCTTTGATTTAATGATGTTGAACCTCTTTTCATGTCTATTGACCACTGTATGTCCTCATTGGTGAACATTTTCTTCCCTTTAGTGGGCTGTCTTTTCATTTTGTTGTTTTCCTTTGCTGTGCAAAATCTTTTTAGTTTGAATAGCCCCATTTGTTTATTTTTTTTATTTTGTTTCCCTCGCCTAAGATGACTATATATATGTATATAGTTACTAAGGGAAATATCTGATATTTTACTGCCTATGGTTCCTTTTATTTTTTTTATGGTTTGAATCTTAAATATGTCTTTAATCCATTTTGAGTTTTCCTATATATAGTGTGAAAGGTGGTCTAATATTTTTTTTGCATGCATCTGTCCAGTTTCCCAGCACCATTTATTGAAAAGTCTAACTTATTTGTCATAGGTTAGCTGATTATACTGATTATATAGATGTGGGTTTATTTCTGGGATCTCTGCTCATTGATTTGTGTGTCAGTTTTTTTAAGCCTTATAGTATATTTGAATATCCGGAAGCCTTATATTTGAATATCCGGTAGCATGATACATCCAACTTTGCTCTTCTTTAAGATTGCTTTGGTTCTTTGGGTTTTTTTGTTATTCCATATAAGTTTTATTTTTATTAGTTCCCTGAAAAAAATGCCATTGGTATTTTGATAGGGATTGCATTGAATCAATACATTGCTTTTGGTATTATGGACATTTTAAAAATGTTTATTCTTTCTATCCATAAGCATGGTATATGCTTCATTTACTTGCATTTTCAATTTCTCTTGAGTCTTAAAATTTGAGTACAAAACTCTTTGTTTAAACTTTAGTTTCTAGGTATTTTTTGATAAAATGGTTTATTGTTGAAGGTATTGTTGAAAGTATTATTGATGTCCTCTTTGTTGTTTTTCCCATTGACACTCTCCCTGCTTTCACCACACTACTGTGTCCATGGGCTCTAGGCACATAAATCCTTTGGTTAATCTCTTCTCACCCAATCCTGCCTTCCCACTAAGATTCAACAGTCTGTTCTATGACTTTGTTGTTAACCCTCACTTGAGGATATTTTGAGGAAGAGAGACATCCATTGGTTGCCTCCTGCACATATTGGACCAGGGCTGGGAAACCTGCAATCAAGGTACGTACCCTTCAGTCCATGGCCTGAAGCATTATCCACTGAGTCAGACTCAGTGGATAATACTTGTGGTCGGCAAATTGTAGCTCGCGAGGCACGTGTGGCTCTTCCACAAAATACTACGGCCTGGGCAAGTCTATTTTGAAGAAGTGGCATTAAAAAAATTAGCTCTCAAATTTCAATCATTGTACTGTTGACCAATGACTTTGCTGACCACTTGCTTCTATGTCTGTGGATCGATTTTGTTCTTATGTGGAATCTAAAGATTACATTTAAAATAGTTCACTGTTCTACTATGCAGCAGTGAACTATTTTAAATGTAATCTTGATCACTACTCACTTTAGAAAATAGGGTATACCTAGAGTGGAAAAAGGCTCATCATGGTCCATGATTTGCTGCAGAACCTGAACTTAACAGCTAATACCTCAAGCAATTCTGCACTGATTACTTTTGTTGCAATGATATTAAGTGCAGCTGAGAATAATTTTAGTCAAGAAATGTAATTTCGATGGCACACTAATTATAGAACATTTTAAAAACAAAAGTGACACAAAAGTATTTCAAAAGTGAGAAGGACCAATAAATTAGAAGAAACATGTTTACTTTACCCCTTTTGTTTCTTTGCGAAGACATTTGTACACACAGGTGCAAATTACTGCAAGGCCAACAACTATAAGAAACCAGAGAACAAATACAAATGGCATGTAACTCGCAAAAATAATTTCTAAGATTCAAATTCTAGCAAAAGAAATTGACCACTGAAATGTAGCCGACAGTAGAAATATAATTAAGCACATATACATTCATAGTCCATCTGGACTCTTCCCTACCTAAATGCAATTCCCTGGAATCACTTAAATAGTCCACAGTAAATCAGAAAAGTGTCCTTTTAAATTACCTGAAGAACACCTGAGATTAAAAGTCATATAACTAATTATCTTTAAAAAATAATTTATGGTTATTAAATGGACATACAGAATATAAATGAATGTACAGTCACCTGCAAAACGTGCATATCATATGAAAGGCCATTTTTTTTCTACAGTGGTTTGCTTAATTTCTAGCTATAAACATTAGAGACTAAACTACAAAGTCATTAGAAAAGAATGCAATTCACAGTAATATTTTAAGTGGTATTCAAGTTTGAGATACTTACGTATAGTAAGAATAATTAGAGCAATGACTCCTGGATCTGAGAAGAAATGAAAAGTAGATTTAAAGATATTGAACATGTATGGATCCTAGGTAGCAGTTGCATTTTACTCTTGATCTGATCATCTAAAAAGTATTCTAGTTTTAGCATGACTACTAGTACATTCAGATCATTTTGATTACAGAACACTGCTAATAGATTCCAGCTATATGATGTGTCTCGTTTTGTCTATAGTTACCACACCAGGTTATTTAGTAAAGGTTAATAGGACAATCAGAATTCACAAGATTAGAGAAAATTGCGTACATGTATCTGCACATACTATTGCTAATCATCTTTTTCCCCCTAACTTGAAATAATTGGAACATAATATATTTAACTAGGACTCTAAAGTCTTATGATAAACAATGATAAACAATTATTAATAACAAATACCTATTTCAAAAAGCTCATGAATTGGTGGTGATTCAAGAGGCTTGGGATATCCTAGAGAGAAAAAAAGGAAATAAGTTTAAAACAAGAAAAGACTAAATAAAGCTTAAAGATCTATAACTTCATTGATTTTTTTTGCATTTGTATAAAAATGCTTGTAATTTTCATATAAATTGTTATTTTTTCATTATAGAATTATAAAATATTCAAAGTTTATACTAAATTTCAGCAAACTTTTCCCTTTGCACTGACATTTCCTGTGTAGAATAGCAAGCAAATTTACCATTATTGTATTCTCAAATTTGCCTTGAATGAAATATGATTCTACCTAAGATTTTTAGAGGAGGGATTAAAATTTAGAAGTTGATTTGGAATAGAAATATTCTTTAATGTAATAAAAGCCATTTATTTTTTTAAAAACACACCCATAGTTAGCATCATAGTCAAATGGTGATAAACTGTTTTCTCCATAAGATCTAGAACAAGATAGAATGCCCACATTTGCAACTGCTACTTAACATAATATTGGAAGTTTGGACCAAAGGAACTAGTTAAAAAAATTATGTCATCTCTTTATAGATGACATGATCTTTTATGTAAAAGTCTAAAAATTACAAAACTAATTAGTTAATTTGGCAAAATTGTAGACTATAAAATCAACATGCAGAAATCAGTTGCATTTATATACACTAAAATGATTTATTGGATGTGGCACCAAAAGCATAGGCAACAAATAAATTGGGTATATCAAAATTAAAAAACTTTTGTGCATCAAAAAACACTATCAATAATGAAAAGGCAACCCACAGAATGGAAGAAAACATCTTCAAATCATATACTTGAGAAGGAATTAATTTCCAAAATACATAATGAACTCCTAAATAACAAAAATCCCAACCCAATTCAAAAATGAGCAAAGGACTTGAATGACATTTCTCTACAAAATAGATACAAATAGGGAATAAGTGCAAAATAAGATGTCTACACATCACTAATTAAGGGGGAAATGAAAACAAAATCCTCAATGAGATACTACTTCACTTATTTTACCTACCAAATATTAGGATGGCTATTACCAAAAAACAGAAAAGAATATGTATTGGCAAAGAGGTAGAGACACTAGAATCTTTGTACATTGCTGATGGGGATGTAAAATGGTGCAGCTTCTGTGGAAGCACGGTTCCATACAATGAAACAATTATAAAACCCAGCAATTCTCCTAGCCAGCCATGCCCTCAAAATTGCAAACAGGGACTCACACAGATACTTGAATGCCAATATTTAGGAAATAATACTCAGCATAGCCTGAAGGTAGAAACTACCCAAGTATCCATTAATAGATAAATGGGTAAACAAAATATGGTATATATAAACATTGCAATATTTTCAGCCACAAAAAAAGTTCAGATATATGCTACTCTGATGAACTTGAAAACATTATGCCTTATGAAATAAGTGATACAGAAAAGACAAATGTAAAATTCCACTTATGATGTTACCTCGCATGTCAAGTTCATAGAGACAGAAATTAGAAGTTACCAGGCAGGGAGGAGGGATATGAATAAAGTTTTAGTTTGGAAAGATGAAAACTTTGGGAGATAGTAGTGAAGGTTGCCCAACAATGTGAATGTATTTAATCCCACCAAATTGTACAATTAGAATGGCTGAAATGGTAAAAATAAATAAATAAAAGTCTGGAAAAAAATCAACATAACAGTAGCCTGCACACTTCTAAATAGGCGGTGTTCTGCCAGATATTAAACCATCATAGTACTACATTAAAAAACAAGCTGATGTTAGTACTGGAATAGACTGAGTTAAGGGAACAGAAAGGAGGCTAGAACACCAGTGAATTCAGTGCATAATAAAACAGTTGGAGAGAAGACAATTTATTCCATAGACGGTGATACTTAGCCACTGATTTAGGGTGGGTAGAGTGGAGAACATAATCTAATTCCACATTCCGTAATGAACTTCAGATATACCAATGATTTAAATGCAAAGAATGCAATCAGATACATGGTTCTTAAAATGCTTATGTAATTTCAAGACTTAAAGCTTTTATAAGAAAGACAACACATTAGGGAAAAGATCAATACATTCAACTGCTTATTAATATAAAACTTCTGCACATATAACAGACTATTATAGGAGAATAAATTTAAAATATGATATAAAAGTTGTCATTACAGAATGGGAATAAGTCTAAATACAATCCCAATCTGTTTGTTTATATTTTTCTAAAACTCTCAAACTATGTGATTCTATTTCTGGTTAAGAAAAAAAATGCCCAATATGTATAACATCATATAAGGATATGATGTATCCTTATACATCAGAAATGAATAAAAATATACCTAAATTACTAACCATGACAATGAACAATGAACTAGAGAAAGAGAACTAATTTTTTTGCTCTGTAGACTTTTATGTTTGAAAATATACAAAATACATTTGTATATTACTCATGTAACAAAAGATATAAACAATTTTATATAAAAACCTTAAAAAAATGAACTAGAAAAATTAAAGTTAAAAAACCTGGAAAAATATTCACTATATATTAAAAGGTCTTTGGTTTGTAATGAGCTCTCACAATCAACAACAACAACAAACAAAAATTTTAGAAACCTAACAGAAAACTGAGCAAAGGTCATAAACAAATATAAACAAAAAAGGTTCAGCCTCATTAAAGAAATGCAAATTAAAAGATAATACTTTTCATCATCACCATACAAAGTTCTTAATAGAAGTAGGATAAAGAGTTACCTGGATATTTTGAAACTGGAGGTTTGGTTGGATGAGTAGGCTTGAAACCTGGAAAAATAAATGTTGTTCCATTTATCAGTTATCAATAAAAATATGCATTTGATTTTTTAAATTCTCACCTGAGGTATTTTTTCCATTGATTTCCAGAGAGAGTGAAAGGAAATGAGTTGGGGGAGAGAAACTTGGATTGGTTGCCTCCTGCACACGCCCCTATCAGGGCTAAGGAACCTGTAACCAAGGTAGGTGCCCTTGACTGGGAATTGAACCCATGACCCTTCAATCCCAGGGCTGACCCTCTGACCAATGAGCAAAACCACCCAGGGTTGATTTTTTTTTTATTTTCCAGAAAGATTAATTATTCCTCAAAGTTATAATATGCACACTTTCCAAACTAAGGGTTTCTATTTCTGAGAATATGACCTAAATATATTTACACAGGTGCATACATAAAAAAGTTCACTATTTTATATTTTATAATGAAAACCTGAGAAGTTAACTAAAAACAAATCACAAAAATATTGTGCTCAGAGTAAACATACATTTTTAAAATATACCATCTAGGTAGTATCAAACCAAATCAAACCAAATCATTTGTATGCCTTCTTCTGTTTAATATATCTTGAACATTTTTTTCATAGCATAATCAGATCTACTTTATCACCATTATTTATATGATGATATTGGTCCTTTTTTATAGTCTTCTCTAATAAAAATTGATTTAATAATACCATGAGGAGTTATTTCTAAAAATGATCCTTGTCATTTTTCTCTTCATACACTTTTCCTCACCTCAATCCTCCTCTTTCAAATATTAACTATATGTGTTTTATAAATCCTTTATGAGTTATCATGGTCAACTCTTTCAAAAGAGCATATCAACAAACACAGTATCCCACAGTATATATACCCACTAGAACCATACAGGTAAATATGGATGGGTCAATGAATATAAACTTATATATACAATCCTATATATCAATCCACACCAAAACCATCTCTTCCCCACTCTCCAACCTCACAGCACTCAACTCAGAAACTCAAGGAGGCTAACCAGGTACCAGGTATATTATAAAAAGGTGTTCAAATTACCATGTTAACATGCGTAATTCCCCTCGATTCTTTAAAGTCTTAGGACAACAGAAAATAACCAAATTAGAAGCCAGTGATTGAGATTTGTGTTCAACACCCTCCTTAACCAACAGGAAATTAAAGCCCACGGAAATGGTGTTCCAGGAGTAAGCAGAACCAATGGAGGGCCCTGAGTGAGGTCAGCCCAGGCTAATGCTCTTCCCCCTACTGCCCCTGCCTCTTGGTTCTGCTGAAACCAAAGAGAAGCCAGAGAAAGCAGCACTGAAATCAGGAAGACAGCTCCTCCCACCACATGAAAATAACCTCAGGTCTTAGGCCGAGTGGCTGATGACAGTCCCTGCAACAAGTCCTCCATTTCAATCCAGTACCTAAGGACTTTTCCTGCCTTTAAGTTGGTTTGAAATTTAGTTTCTGTTACCAAAGAGAAATGCCCAGTAAAGAGAAAAAGAATTGCATGAGGTAGGATAAACACCAGTCTTAAAGACAGCAGAAATTTCCCAGTTCAAACTGTATTGTATAAAAAGAACTTGCAGTCTAAGAAACACACATAGTCCTGGACCAGGAAGTTACTTTTAAATGTGGCAAATGAATTAAAATAGCAAAGTTAGCCCAGCTGCAGTGGCTCAGTGGTTGAGTGTCGACCTATGAACCAGGAGGTCACGGTTTGATTCCCATTCAGGGCACATACAGGGGTTACGGGCTCAATCCCCAGTGTGGAGCATGCAGGAGGCAGCTGATCAGTGATTCTCTCTTATTACTGATGTTTCTATATCTCTCCCTCTCCCTTCCTCTCTGAAATCAATAAATATATATATTAAACAAATAAAATAGCAAAAATGGTGACACAAAAAGCATTCATGTTAGAAAACAAACGCCACATCTTCCTCTTCACTAATACCAATTAAGTCATATATGAGCTGCTTTTACGAGGCTACCAAATGCCAGGAATTAATACTAAATGTTTTAAGTGCAACCAGTTTTGAAGCTGTATTTTCACCCATTTAGGGAGGCAATAAGTCCTTTTACATGTAAGCAAATACACTTGACGTTTACATAACTTGCCCAAGTATCGATATATATACCCATTTATATATGTGGACTATGGAATATAATTTTAGAATCAGTGAAAATAACAATCAAAATGGCTATAAATATGTTCTTCTTACTAAAAGTGATGAGTGTTAACATGAATTCAAACGATTTTTGTAAAAATATAAGGAGGATATTACTAAATATGGCTTAAAATAGGTTTTGATATCGAAAAATATAACAATGTAGAATCAATCAATTGAAAATAATCACTTCATTTACATAAATTCCATTCTTATTTAGGTAAAAATTCCCATGATTCATTCAATTTATCCTGGGGAAAAAAAATGGTTGCTAAACATTTTTATACATAAAAATACAAACAAGGTACATGTGTATAACTAAATGATATACATAATGTGCTAAGAACCCTATGAACACATACAAAATCACAACAGCAAAAGTCTATATGAACTTTATGTCATACATCTGTCATGGATATGAATATGAGATAATTACTAAAACTGCTTATTTTCAATGACTGTGTATCACTGATATTTAACATCAAAGAAATGAAACCTTAAAAAAGAAAGAAAATATATAATGTGTACCTTTAATACATGTGGGCATCTCAGGCTCCCAAGTACTGTTTCCACCACAGAACACCGGGTTGCTGCCATTAAGGTAGAAACCCTTCAGGCATTGAAATGCAACCTCATCTTTGTAGAAAAATTTTTCTTTCATTTCCGACAATGGTTTTCCATATTTGAGCACTGGCGGTTCACACAGTACCACTAAGGAGTAGAGAAATTTCAGAATTAATAGAAAGTTGCTTTAACCCAGTGTCAGAAAAGATAGTGCAAAGTAGAAATTCCTGCAAAGTAGAAATTTCCAGTGGGAAGAGAAGGAATGAAAGACAAGACACTACTTTTTAAAACAAAGACTTTTTTTTTTATGTGCCCTGGCCAATGTGGCTAAGTTGGTTGAACATCATCCTATACTCCGAAAGGTCGCTGGCATGATTCTGGTCAGGACACATACCCAGGCTGTGGATTCTATTCCAGGTCAGAGTATGAACCAGAGGCAGCTGATCAATGTTTCTTTCTGTCTCTCTCTTCCCGCCCCCTCTAAAATCAATAACAAATATTTTAAAAATCTAACTTTTTCCACCTAGAACAAACAGTCAGTAGAGATATATTTTTTATCTCATACATTTTTTTCTACTGCAAATTTTGAGAAAATTTACCAGGTACAAATTCTGGATAAGTTCAAATGCCACATCTGGTACTTGTTAGCTTTAACTAAAGATTAAAAAAAAAAAAAAAAAAAAAAAAAAAACCTTCATGCTAACACTGATTATGATACCTGTCTATTTTATATATATATTTTATTGATTTTTTTACAGAGAGGAAGGGAGAGAGAGATATAGTTAGAAACATCGATGAGAGAGAAACATCGATCAGCTGCCTCCTACACACCCCTCACCGGGGATGTGTTCGCAACCAAGATACATGCCCTTGACCAGAATTGAACTTGGGACCTTTCAGTCCCCAGGCTGACGCTCTATCCACTGAGCCAAACTGGTTTCGGCGATACCTGTCTACTTAAAAAGGTCGGAAAGACTCGTGAAAAGAAAATAGTTGAGCTGAAATTTAAAAGCTGAAAAGGAGGTAGCCATGCAAAGATATGCAAAGGAAAAGTTCTCAGATGGCAACAACACATATGAACTGGGCTGTTCATGAAATAGAAAGGCCAATGGAATTAGGACCATGTTTTCCAACCATTTTAGACTGAAACCTAGAGATAAAAAAAAACCAAAAACTAATTTTAGGTTGTAGACCACATGTGTCAAACACAAGGCCCGCGGGCCAAATCCGTCCCGCCAGGCCTTGCAATGTGGCCCGAACCGCGCTGTCATCACTGCACTCCGCTGCGTTTCCATCACAATGACAGTTTATGACTGTTCAGTAAACCATTCTGCCCGCGATTTAGGCTGGATTTTAGATTTTGGCCCCTTCTCTGATTGAGTTCGACACCCCTATTGTAGACTGTTACATAAACACACAGGGCTGAAATAAAGTTGAAAGTTAAAATAGACTTGTTTGATGTCAGACATTTAAAAAAGGTAGTGGCATCTCTTAGTGGTTTTTTAATTACATTTTTGTAATTACTAATGATATTGAATAAAATTTCACTTTTTTCTCATTTGTATTTCATGTTTGATGGAATAGGTATATTCAAATATCTGCCTATTTTAAAAATTAGTATTGTTCTCATATTGAGATTTGAGAGTTATTTATATATTGTAGACAAAAGCTCATTATCAGATGTGTGCTTTGCAGATATTTTTTATTTATTGCTTTGTTTTCATTCTCTTTGACTTTTGCAGACCAGAGATTTTGAGTTTGGAACACCCAATTTGTTAAAATTCTGACAAGAATGATGCTTTATGGGCTGTATTTAAGAAATTTTTGTCTAGGTCCCAAATAACTCCTAAGTTTTCTTGTAAAAGTCTTACCGTTTCAGGTTTTATGTGTAAATCTATCAATATGACGCTTATTGAGTAAATATTTGAGAATAGTGCTTACATAGATTTTGGTTCTTTTTTTTCTCCCTTATAGAAGCCAAACTGTGCCTGTGTCATTTTTGAAAAGAGAATCATTTTATTACCACTGATTTGTTTGCATATCTGCGATTAAACTCAACTGGACATATTTGCAAGAGTCTAATTCTGGACTCACTATTCTGTTCCATTGTCCTATATGGCTATATATCTTATAGTCTACATTAGGGGTGTCGAACTCAATCAGAGAAGGGGCCAAAATCTAAAATCCAGCCTAAATCGCGGGCAGAATGGTTTACTGAACAGTCATAAACTGTCATTGTGATGGAAATGCAGCGGAGTGCAGTGATGACAGCGCGGTGCGGGCCACATTGCAAGGCCTGGCGGGACGGATTTGGCCCGCGGGCCTTGTGTTTGACACATGTGGTCTACATAGACTCTTGCTATCAGGTAGAGTGCATCCTTCAATTATGTTCAAAATGGTTTTGACTATTCTAGTTCTTTTGTCATTCCATATAAATTTTAGAATCAGTTTATCAATTTACAAAAAGTTTGCTTGGCTTTTTATCAGGATTGTGCTGAATTTATACATCAAAGCCAGAGAATTAATGTCTTTACTATGCTGAGTCTTTCAATCAATGACCAACGTTATGTCCCTGCATATATTAAGGTTTTTCTTAATTTTCTTTATTAGTGCTTAGAAGTTTTTAGCATTCAAATCTTTTCACATATATTGATAGGTTTATGTGCAAGTATTTTGGAGGTGTTTTAAACAGCAATTTTAAAATTTCAATTTCTACTGGCTGTTAGAATTATATAGACATGTAATTGATTTCTGCAGCTTGATCTTTTATTTTGAAACTTAGCTAAAACTAATGTCTTTGGAAATGTCAACACACTTTTATTGCTTCCTTTCATACATATAGCCTATTTGTTGCCTTGTTGTAGGACCTCCAGTACAATACTGAATAGAGTAGTGAGAGTGAATATACTTCCCTTGTTCCCACCTTGGGAGGAAATAAATTAATTTTACCATTAAAATTAATGTAAGCTCTAAGATTTCTACAAATGCCTTTTATCCAGTTTTGATTCCTAGTTTGCTCAGAAGTCTTATCCTGAAAAGATGATGAGTTCTGTTTTGGGGGCATCTAATAAGATGATCATGTTATTTTCTTCTTTGCAGTCTCTTGATATTATAAATTGCACTGATTAATTTTTTAATTTGGACCAACCTTGTATTTATGGGATAAATCTTAATAGATTATCATGCATTTTTAGTATTATATATGATAGGATTTGATTTGTTAACATTTTGTTTAGAAGTTTTGGTTCGATACTTATTAAGGATATTGTTTATAATTTTCTTGCAGTGTCTTTGTCTGGTTTTGCTATCACACTAATGTTGTCCTTATGAAATAAGTTGAGAAGTATTCCCTTCTCATATTTCTTGAAGAGTTTGTGTAGAGGCGCTATTGTCTATTCCTAAAATGTTTGGTAGAATTCCCCAGGTAGGCCATCTGGGTCTGCAGTTCTCCTTGAGGGAAAGTTTTAACTCTCTTTCTTTAATAAATATGGGACTATACGGGTTCCCTACATCTTTCAGTAGTTTTGGTATTTCGTGTCTTAAAAACAGTTTTGTGTTTTTTTTTTTAAGTTATAGGACCACCTTGTTGGGCTACTATCATTTTATTAACAAGAAAACTGAGCCTTAGAGAAATAAACCTAGCCAACTAAGTGGCAGAGCAGGATTTAGAAGTGACAAGTCCTTTTTTTAAAAAAAGAAAAAAAGAAAAAAAAAAAGATGGTCCCGTGTTTAAAAGCATTTTACTGAAAATTTTGGGTGAAGATTCAAGGTCCATCTTATCGCGCTCAGTATTTTCTTTGCACCCACCGCTTCACTCACTCTTCTCCCCTTTGGCAACCATTACGTTTTCTGTATCTGTGTATCTGTTACTGTTTGTTAATTTGTTTTGTTGTTTTAGATTCCACATATAAGTAAAATCCTATAGTTGTCTTTTCTTTTTTATTTCACTTATATAAATAATACCCTTTATGTCCACCTATGTTGTCTCCAGTGGTAAGATTTCATTCCTGTTTATTGTTAATACTCCATTGTATGTGTATATGTGTTTGTGTGTGTGTGTGTGTGTGTGTGTATATCACATTTTCTTTATTCATTAATCTATCAGTGGACATCAGTAATTTGTGTCTTTCCAGGAATTTGTCCATTTCATTTAAGATGCCAAATTTATAGGCAGCATGTTTTCTGTAATATTTACTTATTATACATTATTCTTTACATTTACAGGATATTCGGTGTTGTCTTATTCTTTTTAAAAAAACATGTTTTTATTGACTTTTAGAAAAGAGAAGAAGGGTAAGGGATAAAGAAATAGAAAAATTGATGATTGATTGGCTGCCTCCTGCACGCCCTCTACTGGGGTTTGAGCTAGCAACCAAAGCATGTGCCCTGACTGAGAATCAAACTAGTGACTTCTTTGATTCCTGGGTTAATGTTCAACCACTGAGCCACACCAGCTGGGCTCATTCTTGATATTGATAATAACTAAATATCATCCTTTTATTTGTCATTCTAGCTGTAGGTATATCTATTTTATCAATCTTCTCCAAGAAGCAGGTGTTAGTTTCATTGAATTTTCTGTACTTTATCTTTTCAAATTCATTTATTTTTAGCTTTATTATTCTGTTACCTCATTTTGAATTTACTCCCTATGCCTTAAAACACTGTTTTTTTAAAAATGTGTGTACAGAGTTTATTATTGTTTTCAGTAAGAGAGTCGGGTCTTTTACAGTTTACTCCACCAGTACTTATTGTGAAATAACTCAGACATTTTAATATAAAAAGGGTTTTCTTATTTTTAAGCCAATGCATGTTAAGTTTTTGGTCCTTCCAAAACAGTAGTTCACATTGTATAAACTGAAGTACCAAGAACATGTTGGAGGTGGGGACTCATACAACTAGAATTATTTTTGTTTCAATTTTTGATAAATTAAAAGTCAATTTAACAGGAGGCACATATGACTCTTTGTTTACTTATAGGTAAGACTATCTACAAAGTGTTTGCTCTGTATTTACAAATGAAGAAGAAAATGAATGGAAGTATCATTACCTTTACATTGAGGAGGGTCACTACTCCATTCCTCAGGCCCAGAACAAGTAAGCTTTTTCTCTCCAACAAGTGAAAACTCCTGAGATCCATTTGAAGGGTCACAAGTAAAACTCACTACTTCATTAAATTCAAATTCAGTCCTCCAGTTATTTGTGCGTTTTCCATTAACTATATCTGCAGGTGCTTTACACAAAATCTCTATAAAAGAGAGAGAGAGAGAGAGAGAGAGAGAGAGAGGGAGGGAGGAAATGAGAGGAAAATTAAACATTAAGACAATATTTAGTAAAACAAATTCAATAAATTCATTACCATATGATTTCTATAGTCTAATGGTGAATCTAATACTTATTTAGAATGTTTCTGTGAGAAAATGTTTTTACCCCAAAGTCGAACCATGTAGAAATGAACTTTCAAAAGAAAACTGATTTTTTTTTAAATGGTTATTTATCAGAGTGATTACATTGTAAGGCACATAAACAATGAATCACTATGTTGAAACTAATATACTATTGTATGTCAATTATAATTTACTTTAAAAAAATCAGTGTAAGTGGATCCCAGGCCAAAAAATATTGAGAATTGCTAGTCTAAATTCTAAAGTGAAAATTTACTTACTTTCACATGTTGGGATATCACTGCCCCAATACACTGTGTCTCCAGAAAGTTCACAAGTTATAACTGCTTCACCTTTTAAGTAATAACTAAATGAAGGGGGAAAAAAGGTTACTGTTTTATTTACCAGCTAACAAGATGTACATAATACAGAGGAACATTTCATGTAGTTGTTTTCTGCACTATAGTAAGTTGAGGGGGAATTTTCTTAAATGGCATACTATCGTGAAAGTTCTAAACTTCAAATCTGAAGTTAAATTAAACAGTTTTTGCATTTGCACACACACTGGCCAAGAGTAAAGATACCTAAGTAAACCTGTCATGCCTAGCAGGCTGGCCTCTTGGCTCTCCCGGGCATAACACACTGATTTCCATGGCTTTGCTCCTTCCATTCTGCTCAGTCACACAACAACTCAGTCCAGAGGTAAGGCCCTAGAGCTTGGAGTCCCAGCTCTAGAACTGACTTGTTATTTGACCTTGGGCAAGTCCCTTCATGTGTCCCTTTTTCCCATTCCTCATTTATGAAGAGGAGGTAATAGTACATATATCATGGGTTTGTTTTGAGTAGTAGATGAGTTAATATCTGGCACATAGTGAGTGCTAGGTAAGTTTTAGCTCTTATTAATACAGGCATATCTCAGATAGCATGGGTTTGGTTCTGGACCACCACGATCAAGTGAATATCCCAAAAACTCGAATCATACAAAACTTTTGGGTGACCAGTGCCTAGGAAGTTATATTTATACTATAACGTAGTATATTGTGTCCAATAGCATTATGTCTAAAGACAGAATGTTTATAGTTTAATTTTAAAATGCTTTATGCTTAATAATAATAATAAAAAAAACCAATCATCACTGAGCCTTCAGCCAAGTTGTGACTCTTTTGCCAGTGGAGTGTTATGCCCGGATGCTGATAAAAATGCAATAAAGCAAAGCACAATAAAACAGGCATGCATGTATTCTTTAAATCAGAATGTGTTTCTTGGAATAGCTCAGACATACTACTTGATGAAATCTCTGATTATTTAAATTCACAGTACTCTCCTCCTTCTGGATTCTCATTGCAATAATCAAGAACAACTATTTGGTTCTTCTCCTTTACTCTTTTGCCATCACATTTCTCTGTATATATTGCATTTCTCAATAAAGATACAATTTCTGTGAGAAAAAAAATCTGTGTCTTAAATGGTGGAAACACCTCAAAATGCTTTAGCAGTCGTTCCGTATATAACTATTAAATGGATGTTCCATTATTTTCACTTGATCAAGTTAAAAAAAAATAGTGAAACAGTTTGTACATAGTTTCAGAAGGTTCACTTATTTTCTCCATATTTTAGTATTTTAAGAGAGAATTCTGAGAAGATGGAAGAGTAGGACTTTGTCACTCCAACTAGACAACCATTTCAAAGGCAGAATCTGCTTGATTTAACTATTTTTGAACTCTGTGGTCTACTGATGGCTTGAAACTTCCAAGGAAAGACCCCAACAAGTAAACATAATTTCAGCTCTTAGGAAAATAGCAGCTATACACCTCCCACCATCCACAAAGTGGCAGGCAGCTGTGTGTGTATCCTACAAGCAGCCTGCAATAGCCAGGTGGGCAAAACGGCCCTGCCTACACATATGAGAACATTGTGTTCTGGTTACTGCCTCGATCACAGAGAAGTGGACAGAGATGGGAGGCTCCTTCCTCCCCAGCTGAAACGACTTTCAGGGATTTAAAGATCCTGCGCCCTTTTCTCTCCACTATACATTTTTCTTTCCTCCCTCAGGAGGTAGACACTAAAAACCAGGCTCTTCAAAAAGAAAGCATATATTTAGAAAATTAGAAATTGAGTGCTTGTGCTCAGGGAAAGGCTCAGAAACAATCTGAGAAGACCTTCAGTTTATATCTCGGACTGATCTCAACTCAGACACACCAAACTACAATAAAAGTACCCAAAAACAATACCAAAAAATAGCAAGGTCTAAGGAAGGTAAAGAAGCTGATTTCTACAGTTACCACATTATTAGATTCAATTATGCAGTATTCCTAAAAAATAAAATAAATCACAAGGTACACCAAGAAAGAGGCATGTATGATCCATTATAAAAAAAATCAACAAACTGTCCCTGATAAAGGTATGATTGCAGATTTACTAAACAAAGACTTCAGAATAACTCTTAAGATGCTCAAAGAACTAAATGGGGAAAAAATGAAGAAAAGTTAAGAAAATGATGTGTGAACAAACTGAAATATCATTAAACAGATTAATAATAAATAAAAAAAAAAACAGAAAAAAACAACAAAAATTCTGGAGTTCAAAAGTACAATATACCTTGAAAAACCTCATTAGAGTTTTTTAAATGTAGATTTGAGCCAGCCAAAGAATGAATCAGTGAACATGAAGTTAGGACAACAAAATTATTGTCTAAAGGAAAGACAAAAAGTGAAAAGTGAACAGAGCTTAAGAAACCATCAAGTGGACCAACATGCACATTGTGATAATCCCAACATGAGAAGACAGAAATGGGCAAATAGAATATATGAAGGCTCACAACTCCCCAAATTTGATAATAGACAGGAATATAAACACCCCAGATCTCAATAACCATCAGGTAAAATGATTTCAAATGACCTACACTAAAACACAATACAGTAGACTCTCTAGATCTGTAGGTTTTGCATCTGTAGATTTAACCAAACACGAATTGAAAATATTCTTAAAAAAGAAAAGTACAGCTTTATTTTTCTTGTCATCATTCCATAAACAATAAAATGTAACAACTATTTATACAGCCTTTATATTGTATTTGGTATTATAAGTAGTCTAGAGGTGATTTAAAATATACAGAAGGATGTCTATAATTAAGTGCAAATTCTATGTCTCTTTATACCAGAGACTTGGATTACTATCAGCAGGGAGGTGTGCTAGACATAATCCCCCAATGAAACATAAGGACTTCTGTAATCAAACACTCAAAAACCAAAAACAGAGTATCTTGAACCAGGAAGAGTATCTTGAACCAGAATAAATCATGACATACAAGGGATCCTTAATAATGTAATCAGCAGATTAGAAAATTTGGAACCCAGAAAACAGTAGGTAGATATACTAAAACTGCTAAAAGGAAAAAACAACTCTAAGCCGAAAATACTTTATCCAGCCAAACTGTCCTCAAAGTGAAGGGGGAATTAAGACAGTCCCATGTAAACAAAAGCCGAGGGAGCCTGTGGCCACTAGAACTTCCCTATAAGAAAATTTCAAAGGAGTCCTCTAAGGTCAAATAAAAAGGCACTAGAAAGTAACTTTGGCCCATATGGGAAATAAACTTCTCACTAAAGGTAAATACATGGGTAATTACAAAAGCTTGTATTGTTTTAAAAATAGTTTAGTAAAAAAAAAAAAGAAAAAAGTTTGTAATCATAATTTTGTTCTCTTCACACAATTTAAGAGATAATACATTTAAAGATAAAATATTATTGTAAGAACTAGTGGTACTGTAACTTTTTAAAAATATATTATTTTTTAATTGATTTCAGAGAGGAAGGGGTAAGGAGAAAGGGATAGTTACATCAATGATGAGAGAGAATGGAGCCTGCAACCCAGGCATATGCCCTGACTGGGAACTAACCCTAACCTGTGACCTGGTTCAACCACTGAGCCACACAGCTGGGCTGCAACTTTGTGTTTTTATTTAACTCCAAATCTTGTTTTGTATATAAATTAAGAGATAATACATTTAAAAGAACATATAAAGATGCAGTTTTGAGACAGTAACAACCAAATGGGGTGACTAGGAAGCTATAAAGGAGTTGGGTTTTTGTGTATTAAACTGGTATAAATTCCAACTTAGATTGATATAACTTTAGGGTTTTAAATGTAATCCCCATGGTAACCACATACAAAAATAGCAAAAGAATAGACTAAAAAAGAAATGAGGAATACATGTAAACATTTCATTACAGAAAAACAACTAACTTAGAAGACAGACAATAATGGAGGGAATAAAGCAAAAAGGCTGCCAGGCATATAGAAAGCATATACCACAAAGCAGAAGCCCCTCCTTGTCACTGGTTTACACTTAAATGGCAAATGCTCTAATCAAAAGAAAGAGTTGGCAGAATGAACACACAGTCCTACTCTGTTGTCTACAAGACACTCATTTGAGATCCAAAGACAAAATCACTTGATAGATGTAAAAAGATATTCCATGCAAACCATATCCTCCCAAAAAAGCAGGAGTGGCTGTACTATATCAGGTCAAACAGACTCAAAATCAAAGAAGTTGACAAGAGACAAAGGACCTTAAATGCTATTAATAAAAGGTACCTAAACCAAGCAGATAAAATGGTTATAAACATTGACACCTAATGACAGATCATCAAACTACAGGAAGCAACAGAATTGGAGAAATGCCCATTTCTACATAACAGCCATTTCTACCACAATCGTTATAGACTTCAATACCTCAATCACAATAAAGTCTAGATCCATCAGATAGAAAATACATAATTAGAGGACTTCAACCATACACTATTCCTGGGGGCCCTCCTTCCACCCTGAGCCTTGGTTTTTTTTTTAATCGGGTGCATACTGTTGTCAAAGATGAAGTCACCATGATTACCACATCTGTGATGCTTACACTAAGCTTATTGTTACCTATGACAAGGGTAATGTAACTTGGCTTTCCTCTATGTTTTTTTCTATTAAGTACATATGTTTTCAGTCTCCATAAGAAAGCAGGTGAAATCAACTTTTTGGGAATGTTTAAGAAGAGAAGAAAAACAAACTTGAATCATTAACATTTACCTCATTTTCTCTTAAGGAGCAACTTACCCATAGTTGCAATAAAAGTAAGCGTTTTTACCAAATTGAAAGCCCGTATTTGGTTCAAATTGTTCATATACTTCACCATTAGGAACCTTAGGAACTGGACATTGTTTTCCTAAAAGAAAATTTGCAAATTCATTTTTTTCCCCATACAAATTTCAAAACAGATTTAATAAAAAAATAATTCCACACCACTCTTGTCAATTCATGCCATAGCATTTTCTTAAGTTCACTATGATAAGGGAAAACACGAAATTCACATTTATCCACTCAATGGCCTACAAAAAACTTCCCGGGAGATTTGTCGAAGCTCAAACATCTGTCTTGCTCTCTAAAACCTTGTTTCCCATGGGAAAATCATGATCGCCATAGTGGAAAACGAATCCAAGTATGTGTTCAGAAGAAAAACACCACCACCACCAGAGCAAGCACACCTGCATACAAAAAGAGTCTGTTTACTTACTGTAACAAGCTTCGTCAATGGGGTGCCACGTGTTATTTTTCTCACAATAGGTGCTGAGGCCATAAAAATAAGAATAATAATATGCTGGATTACATTCAAAATAAATCTTCTCCCCAGGTGCATAAGAAGGTTTAAGCGTACCCTTTAACTTCATAGATTGAAACACTGGTGGTTTACCACAGTCACCTAAAAGTGAGGAAACGGGAGCATAAAAATGAAATACGTAACCTCTTTGACATCCAGGGAGGATGGAACAAATGGAAAGGTCCTTGGCAGGACTGTAAAGAATTGTGCCCTGCTTTCCCCCAACTGCCTTCGGAGTGGGCCATCGGCTCTCAGTCGCATTCTATTCGCTTTTGGTGTGTTGAGGAAAGAGCCGCATTTCTATCCAACAGTAAATTTAGGAGACCAATATCAGGGCTATAGGTATGCATCATTGCCCATTTCTTTGGAAATTCATTTCAAAACTCAGTTCTCAGAAGTCCTTTTTCTCCCTCTGCCTTTTTATTTCAGTAATTTTTTTTTTTCCTTACCTGTGGGCTTGAAAGTCTAAAAAAAAGAAATGTGTTAGAACTATTATGCAAAATAATGTGATGGAGACACATCAAGTAAAGTCCTAAAGGGCTAACTAAAAGCATGCAGCCGTCTTTCCTATGTGAGGAAGGATCTTAACGAAGGAGATGTCCCTATTCTGATCCCTGAGGAGCCTTCCTCCTCTCTCACACTTCAGATGGCGAGATCAGTCAAGAGTATTCCAAACAAGTCAAATTTTACTCCTATCATATTCTAAAAATCTGAAAATATTCCAGACATTCCACTTCTACCACGCCCTAACGTGGACCTCCTGACAGACTGCTCACCTGGGTGTCTGAATGCTCCTCAAACTGTCCAAGACAAGACAAAACAGGCCTGGCTGCTGGTCATTAGCGGCATTGTTTAAAAGAGGATTCCCAGAGAGGTTGTTCCACCAACATCTACTGAATACCCAGAGCGGGACATCCCCGTTTACAATAGGAACACAAAGAGCTAGAAAGTCTGTATGTTCTGTCCTCAAGACAAATGCATAAGATCATTCTAGAATTTCCTGGAGCCAGCAAGAAAGCAAGCACACAATGGCGTGATTGCTTTAGGCAAGCAACCTTTGTTTCATGCAATCCCAGTAGCGGAAAGCATATCAAGAGGATTCCCAATATGTCTTTTTTTACACAACAAAAGTGCTTTTCATGTATAGATCACATAACTCTTCGGATTCAGTGAAGGGTCTCACACAGGGTGTGGCCTTCGTGCTTAGTTGATGAGCCGCAAACGGGAAAACAATATCACCATCGCTTATGGTTCATTTCTTACGATTCTCATTTCTCCCCAGGTGTAGCTACCTACGTTTTTTTAGATTGCTTCCGAATCTTCCCTAGATGGGGAGGAGGAAGGGGGGGGGGAGGACCACAGGGGAGGGAGCAACATATCCATATGATTTGGGGCAACAATGAGCCTGTAACCTTTATGTACGAAAAGCACTGCGCGCCGAAACCGGTTTGGCTCAATGGATAGAGCGCCGGCCTGCGGACTGAAAGATCCCAGGTTCAAGTACGGTCAAGGGCATGTACCTTGGTTGTGGGCACATCCCCAGTAGGGGGTGTGCAGGAGGCAGCTGATCGATGATTCTCTCTCATCGATGTTTCTAACTCTCCCTCTCTCTTCCTTTTTGTAAAAAACATCAATAAATTAAAACAAAACAAAAAAAACAAAACACTGCGCGCCCAGCACAGCCCCCCCCCCCCCCCCAAGCCAACAGTGAGCATGCCCGCCCAGCTTTCCACTGAGCGCACACCAGGTCACCCCCAGCCAAGGCCACCCCCCCCCCCCGCCCCCAGCGCAGCGGGCACCCACCCTCCCCTCACCCAGGCATCCTCAGCGCAAACACCCCGCACGGGCCCAGCTCGGGCCCCAGCAACATCCCCACGCACAGGGCACTGGAGAGCAAGCCCTTCCCATTCATTCCGCTCAGGTGCGGGCTCCGCATCCCGAGCCGCTCGGCCCACAAGCACCTGCACCTGCAGGCTTCTGCAGGAGAGATCCCTCCGCCCCCAGCAAACACCCACAGCGCCCCAGCGTCCGGAAACCTCCGTGCCCACCACCACCAGGCAGCCTTCCTCCCTAAAACCCCCATCCCCGCCGCTGCAGGAACCCACCCGCCCCGGACCCGCCGCGGCACGACCCCAGGCTCTGTCTGTGGCTGAGCCTTCCACCCCAGCCCCGCCCCGCCCGGCTCCGCACCTGCGCCTCCAGCCAGACCCTGACCCGCTGAGAGCCTCTCCTTCCAGCCCGTTTCCCCGTCTCCCCCGCTCCCCGAACCCAAACCCTCAGACCCACGCCCGCCTCGGGCCCCCCTCCGCCCGCCCCCCAGCCCGCTCCCGTCCCTCTCCGGGGCGCACCCTCCCCGGGCTCCTACCCAAGGACGCGGGGAACTGCAGCACCAGGGTCACCACAGCGATGCCCACGAAGCGCCACGAAGAAAGGGGACTCTCGGGGGGGCGGGCAGGTGCCCTGCGCGGCTCGCAAGACCGGGTCATTTTCCGGGAGGTCAGCGGGAACCCTCGGGGGGCAGCGGGCATCTACCTCTCTGGAGGCGGCCGCCACACGCAACAATCGCCCGACTCGCCGTGTGCGCCGCCGGGGTGGGCGTGCCCTGCCTGCTGCGGGGCGGGGCCGGGCCATGCTGATGAGGGAGGCGGGGCCAGGCTGATGAGGGAGGCGGGGCCAAGCTGATGAGGGAGGCGGGATCACCGCCACCGATGTTGGCAGCTAGCACCCTCCTAGGGGAGGGAATGAGGTTCATCCCCAGCTTGGTTTAAACCAGTGTTTCCCAAACTTCTCTCAGGATGAGTATCACCTGGTGGAGATGTTAAAAATACAGATTCCCGAATCCCAACTGAGAAGTGCTAAACTAGAATTTTTGGGAACATACGGGAAAAATTGTATAGTATAAAATTTACCTATATGTTCCCAAAAATTCTAGTTTAGCACTTCTCAGTTGGGATTCGGGAATCTGTATTTTAACATCTCCACCAGGTGATTCTCATCATGAGAGAAGTTTGGGAAACACTGGCCTAACCGACCAAGGTATGTTGGTAGCTCTGGAAAGAAAAAAGAATAAAGAGCATCGACCTGAACATAGAAACCCAGAGCCTAGACAGTGGGCAGCGTGGCGGCCAGCACCTCTTAGGGCTCCCCTTCTGTCCTGGGGCCTCCAGACGGCCAGAAGCGCAGGGCCCTTGCTCCAATGTTGCACCAATGAGGCTTTCTTAGGGACAACACTTGAGGTGTCTGTGGTTGGATGTCTGCTAGTGAGTCTCATCGAAGCCTGCGAGATTTCAAAATCACCAACAGGATGATTTCATTGTGTACTAACTATCCTTCACTCACCTAAGCAAAAGAAGTGTGTGTCTGTCATTTTATTTTTTATCCAATCCCAGAGGTTTCCCCACTTTGCTTCCTCCAGCCTTCCTAATCGATTACCAATGGGTTTCATGGAACCCACGTAAGCCTCCCCTTTGGAGGATAATGTATGAAACATGGTGCAAACGGTCCTTCTCCAGCTGAGATTTGGCTTCCCAGCAATTGTGGACAGCTTGGCTCAAATAAGCTCTCAAAGATTCTTCACGGGGTTGAATGTTTCTCACGTTAACACCGCAATGAACGAAGAGTTGACAAGATTGTGGATATTTTATTTTCTTTGTGCTTTTTAGTTTTCTATATAATCAAATAAAGAAAAAAATTTAAACCCAACGTATACATCAACGTCTGTTTTGCTAATAAAATGTTGAGGATAGAACCTGAGTTGCATTGGGTTCAGGAATGAGAGAATGCTGAGCAAACGGAAACTCTCTGTATAAACCACAAATGCACTTTCTGGAATTACACCACTTGATGCGTATTTAAACCATGCTGCACCTGAGATGTGCTGAAGACTGTGGGTTCATCAGAATCATGGTATTTTCTCTTCCTTTCAGAACAAGACAATGCAGATTCTGGGAGAGTGTATAAAACACTAAGTGTGAAGGTGAAGTATAAGACAATCACCTTGTTATATTAGACTAGAGGCCCAGTGCACAAAATTTGTGCACTGGTAGGCTCCCTAGGCCTGGTGGGAGATCAGGGCTGATCAAGGCCTTCCTTCTCCAGCTGCCACTTGCCAGCGGGTGGGGGGGTTGGGGGGGGGGGGTCTTCGTTTGTTTTTCATTGCCCCCTGGTGGTCAATGCATGTCATAGCAAGCAATTGAGCTTCCAATCTCCAGGTTGAACTCCTGAGTGGACACTTTGCATATTAGCCTTTTATATATATATATATAGATTATAAAATCCAGACACTCCACAATGACAATTGAAGGAGGTATAAGTAGGGAGACAGTGAGAGGGAAATTACCCCTCATTGAGGGGTAATTATTATTACAGTAAAACCTCAATATAAAGGACTAATTTGGGCAAAGGGCTAAAGTGGAAAGTCTGTTATATAATAAAGTAGGTTTTCTAAATGTGTGTTAAAAAATTGACAAATTAGGTAATTTACCTGCTTCTACTTAAGTAGACAAGTTTGTCCAATTAAAAAAGTATCACGAAAAGTTTAATTTCACAGAAAAGTTTTCATATTACCATAATTTTAACTTTATACTGAATAGGTCTAGTAAACGCTGCACCCACCCATGACCTTGAGTAAACAAATGCAATCAGCTGGGGCATGTACATGTGAGAACACCTGCCAGCACGCATCCAAACTGCTGCAGAAAGTCACACCACGTGACCTCAGAGCCAATTACCATGCCTGATAGTGTGATCACAAGCTGATCATATGCCAAACATGGTTTATGGGCAGTTACTGTTGGATTTAAATATGTAGACAACAGTTGTAGATATGTAATATTTATTTATGTTGGTGAAATTACCACAGTGTTTCTTCCCCCCACCCTCCCAACATATAGCTTGTTTGCTAAAATTTGTTAATAAATAAATAAATAAATAACTGTGAAGCCCGCTTGTGTGGTTCAGTGGTTGAGCGTCGTCCTATGAACCAGGTGGTCACGGTTCCATTCTCACTCAGGGCACCTGCCTGGGTTGTGAGCTCAGTCAGGTGGGGCGTGTGCTGGAGGCAGCTGATCAGTGATTCCCTCTCACCATTGATGTTTCTCTCTCTCCCTCTCCCTTCCTCTCTGAAATCAAAATGTATTTTATAAAAAGCTGTGAATTAATAACAAAAAGTAACCTGTTAATTTAATTATAAACAAATTGTGGTTATAAGCATCTTAAAATTAACAGAGTGTTAAGTGTTGATTTTCACAGATGACATAGGGACTGGAAATTTTGTCCATTAAATCTGGTCTTTTAAACTGAGGCCTGCAAAATTGAGTACTTACTGTACTGTTATGTCTTATAGTAGTGGAAGAATGATGTAACAGACATGTTCTGCGGCTCAATATTGCCTCTTATTTATGAAAACAAGAATCTGCAGGGTTGGGTAAAAGTAGGTTTACAGTTTCTCATATGGAAAACAATGTAATAATTAATAAATAATACAAAATAAACTCTGTGTTTTGTGTACTCACAGCTATAAATCTACTTTTGCCCACCCTTACATTTATTGTTTTCCACAGTCATCTAAACGCCCTACCCGGTTTGGCTCAGTGAATAGAGCATTGGCCTGCAGGGCCCCAGGTTCGATTCCGGTCAAGGGCACAAGCTAGGATTGTGGGCTTGATCCCCAGTGGGGTCATGCAGGAGGCAGCCAATCAATGACTCTCTCTCATCATTGTCGTTTCTGTCTCTCTCTCCTCCTTCCTCCCTCTCTGAAATCGATAAAAATATATATTTAAAAAAAGAAGAAAAGCCCTTTCCCATTTACTTGGAGGCTTGGAAATCAGTTTTTTTCCTGGTAGAAAAGTGAAAGGATAAGGAAAAAGCATGGCTTGAGTTTGGTAAGCTAGTTACAGGTGCTAGATTAAAGGACTGAGGTTTTACTGGAACTTTCAACCAGTGAAATTTCTACACCTGATGTCCATCAAGCCTTTCTTAATAGAGTGGAAGACATTCACCTTGATTTCTTTAACGTAGTTTGATTTGACCCATCTGAGGCTCCAGTTGATATGTTCTGGCCATGTTGCCTCATTTTTTGGACAAGCTCATTGAGACAAGGGTCGAGTTTTCTTGCTTTTCCTCCAGTGCCCAGACTGTTCTAGGCCTGTAGTAGGCGCATAATGAATACCTATTAAATATGGATAAAATAAGTGGGTGTTGCTGTCAACTGCATTTAACATGTCTCTGCCTATTCTCCACCAGCAAGGAAGTACCAAATCCTGGGAAATTTCTGGAAGATGATGCTTACAATAATTTTAGATGCTAGCAGGAACAAAGTGGGATTTATCTCTAAAAGGAATGAGCTGCGGTATTTTTTCTTTCATTGCCTGGCTTATTTCACTTAGTATAATGCTCTCCGGTTCCATTCATGCTGCTGCAAATGGTAAGAATTCTTTCTTTTTAATGAAAGAAAAATACCACATGATCTCACTCATTGATGGAAAACAAAGGACATTATAACCTGATGAATGAAAAGAGAGATACAGAGACAGTAAAGCATCGAACAGACTGTCAAATTACAGCAGGAAGGCTGGGGAGTGTTAGGGAGTGGGGGGGAAGAGATCAACCAAAGGACTTGTATGCATGCATATAAGCCTAACCAATGGACACAGACACTGCCCCCCCCCCTGGGTGGGGAGTGATGAGGGCATGTGACAGGAGGTAGAGGAGGCTGGGGGAAGGTCAATGGGGAAAAAAAGGAGATATATGTACTACTATTTGAATACTTGAAACAATAAAATTAAATTTAAAATAAAATAAAACAATAAAAGGAATGAGCTGCAAGTGTCTGCACAGAAAACTTTCCTAAATGGGGCATTGTAAGCTGACCTACGGAGTGCAGCTGATGCCTGCCCCTCAGCCCGAGGTCCTCACAGGAGAAAACCCATGAGCCGCACTGACCAGTGCTATACGGCATTTTTGGAAGAACCTGGAGATGATACAAAGAAATGGAAAGGTATTCCATCTTCCCAGATTGGGAGAACCAGCATTGTTCCACTATCCGTATTTCCTAAAGCGATCTGCAGAAGGAATGCAATCCCTATCAGAATCCCAATGGCGTAAGGAATCATACAAGGCAAGTATTTTTTAAAGATAAAATTTATTTGAAATGTATACATTATTAAATGGCATTTTACAAGCAACCAGATCTGGCAAAAGCATCAAGAATATATCTAAAGATTAAATTGTACACAAAAAACTCTGGTATTAAAATTTCATTCCCATAATTAAAAGAGGAAACTTGTTTGAGTTGGAATCACTGAGTGATTATGGGAACATAACGCATAGAGGGTGAGAAAACCTCAAACCAAGTGGAAATTAAAGTGAAATGTTTAACGCTAAGAAGAACTGCTATCAAAATAAAATCAGACTTCTCTATAAAGATATGCCCATGAAAACCACAGGGAATCATTCATATGATGACTAAATAATTAAAACCACACTATAACCAAAAGTATGTGGTAACAGTAAGTATGCTGATTATAAAAAAGGAAGAGTCGGCATATAAAGACAGTTCACTTTGGTGCCTTCCTAGAAAAGGCGACTCCTCAGAGCAACTAGTAATTGCTGATGCAGTGGTCGGCAAACTGTGGCTCGTGAGCCACATGCAGCTCTTTGGCCCCTCGAGTGTGGCTCTTCCACAAAATATCATGGCCTGGGCGAGTCTGTTTTGAAGAAGTGGCGTTAGAAGAAGTTTAAATTTAAAAAATTTGGCTCTCAAAAGAAATTCCATTCGTGGTACTGTTGATATTTGGTTCTGTTGACTAATGAGTTTGCCAACCACTGGCTTGTAGCCAAAACCTGGCTCCAGGCACATCCCAGGTGAGGCTTCAGAAAGTCCTTGAAGAGCAAGTGGCGGTGGAACTGGGCTCCCATCATTCTCATCAGGCAAGCGCTCCTTGTGCCGCTTGAGAATAAGTGCAAATAGGAAGCTACAGCTTTAAGAGATCATTTCAGTGAGGTGGCGCCCGTGCAAAGAGGCTTGCTGATAGTCAAATGGTTTCTTTCCAACCTGTGTTCAGCTGCATTCCAAGCAAGAAGAATTCCTGGTGAGGAGGCAGCATGGAGAGCATTGGTACGAACCAAAGCTTAAATAATGGAATGTTAGCATTCTCTGTATAGACCAATTGTAAGTGCTAGAACCAATGAAGCATCAAGGCTATTCAAAAATATTATTGTATTAAGAGGTCCTTCTCATATGATATGGAACAATTAACAAATTTTATACAGATAAGTATGAATAAAAGAGCAGGAGAAACTTCATTCTCCTTGATCCATACATTCATTGGACAAATACTGATGTAATAGCTTCACTTTGGATCCCCACAGGTTTGGATCTAGAGATCACTCTGGCCTGGCCTTCCCCGTTCTCCTCTTGGATTTCCCTATGACTCACCAGCAGCAAGCAAACATTCCTTTCCCCATTGCCACAGCAGGTCTTCTGTATCTTGTTCATGACATGTATTCTTACTCCCTGATGTGTATGTTATACATATGTCAGTATATTTTATAAACTAAAATAAACTCCAAGAAGACAGAGGTGGTATCTCTACCTTATAGATTATATACGATAAAGCATATAAGGCATATTTGAGCTTGAATTCTACCTTGGCCACCTACTGACCACAAAACCTTGGCCATGAGGAAGTTTTAACCTTGGCTCTCTCATCTTGGATGTTACATGCTCATCCTGGGATGTGCCTGGAGCGAGGCTTTGGCTATAAGCTAGTGGTCGGCAAACTCATTAGTCAGCAATAGGATATAGGTAAATGTGCAATTTATATCCATTATTTTATTTTTAATATTTTTTATTGATTTCAGAGAGGAATGGAGAGTGGGAGAGAAAGAGAAACATCAATGATGAGAGAGAATCATTAATTGGCTGCTTCCTGCATGCCCCTTATTGGGGATCAAGCCCACAAACCAGGCATGTGCCCTTTACTGGAATCAAACCCAGGACCCTTCAGTCTGCAGGCCGACACACTATCCACTGAGCCAAACCAGCTAGGGCTATATGCATGATTTTAAAGACTGCAGTGGAACCATATATATTTAGCATTATGCTTTTTGATAAGTATGAATAAAAGGACATTTTTACATAGAAATGCATAAAATATTTCAATTTCATTAGATACCCATTTACCTTCTGGTTAGCTTACTGGGTTGTGTGGGTCAACAGAATATAGTGTTCGTGTCTCCAAATAAAGATCTCCTTCTGTAGGACTTTTATTTGTAACATAATTGCTAAATGGAAGAAGGGGAAAAAAGAAAGATTTTTACTCATGGCCATAATTGCTAAAATATATAGCAGTTGCTTTCTTTCCATAATTCCTAACACATGGTAAGCACTTTTCAGGGATGAGTCCATTTTATTTTCCTAAGTAGCCTATGAAATAATCAATGTAATCCGCAATTTTGGAACGGCCCATAAAAACAAATAATTTGCTAGGCTGCTAAGTGTCTAGGTCAGAAGTTGATGTTACACAGCTTTATCTCAGACCTAGAACTCTAAATGACCAATAACGATGGCCCCCGGTTTATGACAAAAACAAAAGAAGCTTTTATTTTAAGATGTGATCATACATTTACCTATTTGGGACACAATCTCCCAATCTAACTTAAAAGAACATTTTTATATTGGATGTTTAATTCAAAATCCTTACATGGTCCTACATGACTAAATCTTTAAATGATATTTAAGAGGACAGTTTTACTTTTCCTCTTTGAGGGCATACATACTTTACAGTGCTTCTAAAACCAGTTTGCTAAAATTAGCAGAAGACAAGAAAATGGGATAACCTACCATGTAGAACTCTGAACTGAAGTATTACAAAATTACTGGGAAAGAAAGCTTGGGTTGGTTACAGAATGTCCCCAATTACCATATTTAAGAGGTCAGATTATAAATAATATATTTAGAATATAAAAAATGTTAATTTTTAGTTAGGACATTCAGACTTTATTAAAATATCTTACATGACTAAAAAAAAATTAGCAGTCTTTTCTTCAAATGTTAGATGGCTTTTATAATTATTTAGTGTTGTTACTGAACATCCATTTTTAAATGATTATTCATCTCATTTACAAAAAGTAACTAAGATGATAGAAATGTTTGTATCAACTATCAGACAATGAGTTGAAGTGGGTTAGAAGATAGAACTAAAATGAGAGTGATGCTAAGCAATTTAGTGTAACATATTTGGTTCATATCAATATAGGTATTTATATCCAGTACTGATATAATCATGTTAATAAACTTAATTATTATCAATAGAAACAATTCAAATGAGCTTGTAGGCATTTCCAAAGTTTGGAAATTCTTTTCAGACGAGATGTTCTGAGAGTAAAATTAGAAGTTAGAAAAGACATAGAAACCACTTTATTTATTTAAATTTATAACTACTCTTAGCTAAAGTTATATTCTAACTTCATTCAAGAAAAAGCCATGCAAATCCCTATTTTTATTTTTATTTTTTGAGTTTTCTTCCTTGAATTCTGTGCAACAATTGTCTCCTGGCTTTCCTCCTACTCCTGACTGGTTCTTCCCCTCTTATCTTTTAAGCACACTGTCTTTCTGGAATTGGTTGTTAACCCTATTGTTACCTTTTAAATCTATTTTGGTGCCAAGGCTCCCATGGTGATTTAAACATCACCTATCTGAATTCAGGCCCCTCTCTCCAGTCCTACATCACAAGGGCCACAAACTGGCAAGGTCAGCACTGAACTCATCATCTTCCCCACAGACCTGCCCTTTTCCTCTTTTGGTGAAACACTGGGACCATCAAGTGACCGCCACTTGGCTCATTCTCTGTCCCCTTGTCCCTCCTTTCCATAGGACACTCAGTCCTGGAATCCTAGGTTCTCCACAGGGAAGATGCGTCCTGCATCTGTCCCTTCTTTGGATCCCTGCCACTGCTGCTAGGGCTGATGGCCCAACCCCGCCCCTTCTTTAAAAAATGTGAATCTGAACATATTTAAAAACAAATTTAATATATTTTATGGACTTCAGAGAGGAAGGGAGAGGAAGAGAGAGATAGAAACATCCATGATGAGAGAGAATTATTGATTGGCTGCCTCCTGCATGTCCCACATGGGGATCAAGACCGTAACTGGGCATTTGCCCTCACCAGAAATCGAACCTCCTGGTTCATGGGTCAATGCTCAACCACGGAGTCATGCTGGCTGGGCTGAACGTATTTATTTTGCTTGCTTCCGTTCCTATAGGATACACCCTAACTCCTTGTTATGGCCTGGAGGCTTTGATAATCTAGCTCCTGATCACCTTCCTAGATTATCCAAATGTCTATGAAATGTATTAGTCCCAAGGGTTGTTAAAAGCATTATGTAAGGAGAAGGAGGAAGAGGAGGAGAAAAAGGAGGAAAGAGGAGGAAAAGAAGGAGGAGGAGGAGGAGGGGGAGAAGAGGAGGAGGAGGGGGAGAAGAGGAGGAGGAGGGGAGGAGGAAGAAGAGGAAAAGAAGGAGGAGGAGGAGGAGGAGGGGGAGGAGGAGGAGGAGGAAGAGGAGGAGGAGGAGGAGGAGGAGGAGGAGGAGAAAGGAATTGTGTAATCCAATTAGTTTGGAAACACTGGCTTAAAAAACATGAAACTGGCTTTTGTATTATAGGACTTCAATCACTCTCTTGGTGATTGTGAATCTCTATGGGAAAAATATAGTATGAAGTATTTTCCAACCTTTGTCACAGAACGCCCTCTCTCCTGAATTCATTCACAACACCAATAGGTATTATACAACTGTGACTAATGTCATCAGATGGCACTGGGTGACTTGGTATTTTAATGAAAATTTGCTGGAGTTTGTGGGTTACACATTTGGGGTGACATGGCTTAGTCATTCCCCAGTAGAATCTGAGACTCGGTAAGACTTCACCTGCTTATCCTCCTTAACGCTGAAGAAGCCAAAATTGTTTGTGCTTTGGTGAAGCATGCATGGAACTTACTGTTTTCTGTGTTTTAATCTCATGCACAAGGTGACACTAACCAAGAGGATAAGAACCACGAAACCTGCAGAAAGACCTAGAAAATAAAACAGCAAGTGTCAAATTCAAGAAAAATGTGACCTCTGTGGTTTTGAAGTGATTGTGGGGCCTATTCCTAGTGGAGGGGACTATAGAATGTTACTTTTATACTTAAACTTTCTGAGCCATATACATATTGAATTCCTAAATAATGATACTTGAGCTTAAGGTGTTTCTGATTCAATCAAGTCCACATTCAATCTAAAACACCACGCATTTGATCACAGCGTTCCAGTCAAGCTTTGTGGGGCTTTTCTGATTCTTTCCGTGTCATTAGTAATATTCCAGTTACTGGGGTAAAATTAGGAGCTCAGGACACCAGGGTCCCATACTTTGCATGACAACATTTAATTCTCAATTGTGGAAGGTGTTTTTACTACTGCAGAATAAGCCAGGCTAGTATTATAGTAGCAATCATGCAAAAGATTGAGTTAATGTAAACCAAACTTTCAACTTAAAAGTTGAAAATAGCTGGCTTTAAAAACATTTATTTAACTATATTCAAAAGTGACAGTCTGTAATGTAAAGGGTACATTAAAACATTCTTAAAACACCCTAGGTACTTTTCTATGAGTTAAAGTGAAGGTTGAGTTATAGGGCCACAAATATATATTTATAGTATTTAGGAAGACTTACCACCAAGAAGAGGAGCAAGTGAGCCTAAGGAGAATCCAAAATCATAAACATATTAGACTACTGGTAACTGCATGATTTAGTGTAGTCCAAAGCCCCATGGCAATATCCCATTCAGCTCTAGTCCCTCTAAGTTAGGGGTGTCGAACTCAATCAGAGAAGGGGCCAAAATCTAAAATCCAGACTAAATCGCGGGCCGAATGGTTTACTGAACAGTCATAAACTGTCATTGTGATGGAAACGCAGCGGAGTGCAGTGATGACAGCGCGGTGCGGGCCACATTGCAAGGCCTGGCGGGATGGATTTGGCCCGCGGGCCTTGTGTTTGACACATGTGCTCTAAGTCTACTTGAAAAGGTATATTGAAAGCCTGGATTCCACCCACTTTTTCTTTATTTCTTATGCAACAGCTCACCGGACTTTAAAACAATGTTCACTTTAAGTAAATTGCAGTAGCTCACCAACTAAAAATAATAATACACTCAGTATAATCAGGGATTTCTCAGGTTAAATGCAAATATTAACTATTATAACAGTTTGCTGCCGAAACCGGTTTGCCTCAGTGGATAGAGCATCAGCCTGCGGACTGAAAGGTCCCACGTTCCATTCCAGTCAAGTGCATGTACCTTGGTTGCCAGCACATCCCCAGTAGGGGGTGTTCAAGAGGCAGCTGATTGATGTTTCTCTTCCTCTCTGTAAAAACTCAATAAAATATATTTTTATTTAAAAAAAAATAACAGTTTGCTTATTATCGTTTTAGAGGTCCCAGTCAAACTTGTAAGCACTTATATAACTTACAAGTGTGTAAAAGTAATGATAATTATATTATAAGAAAGCTAATTCAATGAGTTTTTAAAAAGTCAGCTTCGCTCTTTCGAACATACTGAAATACTATACTGGCTGGTATTTTGGCCTTGGATATCAAATTGCCAAGTGATACTATTGCCAACATTTGCGCCAAAGTAAGATAGGTGCATTTTTCTTACTTAACGAAAACAATAAATTTTGTAGACACCATCACATTATCCTGTCATGTACTTTTTCTCACCTTACTTAGAAAGGAAAAAGGGGGAAAAAGAATTGGGCAAAAAGATCAGGCAGGTGTCTTATAAAACAATATAACTTGTCTTAGCATTTACATGCTTTTCTTCAGCTCAAATGGCAAGTACAGATTTAAAAAATGTTTCCTTATTCTGAGCAAAATCCCTGAGTTAATTATTAAAAATAACTTACCCTTTCTGATACACGTTGGTATGCCTGGCACCCATTTGTTATTGGTATGGCACCTAACCGAGTCACTGCCATTCATGATGAAACCCTGGTTGCAGGCAACATATACAGTGTCATTGTGGGAATACGATGAACGAGTTTTATTCAGCGTGTAGCCATGTTTGACTTGTGGGTGAGGGCAGTCGGCCACAGGAGGAGGTTTTAAGCACCGTGGGGGAGGTCCACTCCAAGATCCATGTCCTTGAGAATCACTTATGCATCGTATGTTTCTCTCTCCCAAAAGAGAGAATCCGTGGTCACATTCATAAGAGATTTCCATTCCGTAAAGAAACTGTTCTGCCATCACACCTGTGTGCCTCCCGTTGTCAATCTTCCGTGGAGGAGGTGGACAGAGAATGGCTGTAGAAGAGATTCGGGAAATGCGGCTTCAGCTAGTGTACCAAGGCGGACAGTCATCATTCGGATGCAAATAAAACTGTGTGACTGCATGTATGACACATAACCATACACTTATGTAGCTCTACAATCTGCATTGTATTCTCATCAAAACAGCTTTGTTAACACTTCTGATGATGTGAATAATACATACTCATTCCAAAAATTTTTTAAATAAGCTATAAATATAGGCTATGTTTGTGTGTGTGTTTTAAAATCATGAGCAATTAGCAGATGCATGCCAAATACTTAGTTCCTACTTGACAACTTTGCTTGCCAATGATAGTGTTGACTAAACGGTGACAAGCATTTCTTATCTTAGATACACTGAGATAGAACATATAGACTGCTGAGGTAGTTACAGCCTAGTCCTTAGGTGGCCCGCCCTCTCTAATCCCCAACTATCCATTTACAACTTTAACTTATCTCTTACCTTCACAGAGTGGAATCCTTTGGAACCAAACTCCATTCTCAGCATCTTCACACTTCTGATAAGTATGCCCAGTCAACTGGTACCTAGAGAGAGATTATAATACATTTCTTTTTCCCAATATCACATCTCTAAAACCTCGCCTTCTCACACCACAAATACAGAGGAACTCCTACATAAGAACTTCGGTACAGAGGAATTAAAATCCCTGACCCACCCACTAAGCAATCTTCTTTAGATGAGAGTTGCTCACAGCAAAGCTATTTCCATGTCAAGAAAGAACTAACAAGTCAGAGATGCTACTTAGACCTTTGGAACCTCATATTCTCTGTGAGTGTGGCAATGAGGAACCTCAACAAGAGTCACCAAGACAAGCTGAGGGTGGAACTAATGCACTAAACAGAGGGGGACCCTCCCTGGGTGGATCATCTCATACTCACCCATCCGGACAGGATCTATTAACTAGAACCACATGCGAATCAGCTGGAAGCTCTTGAACATCTTCTCCCACAGGCTGACATGGCGCTCCTAGAGGAACATAGCTGGAGTTACTCGCACATGTTTGCTATCAAAGGGAAAGGCAACGCTAGAGCTAAAGTACCTTCACACCGAGGGGCAGAAGGGCTCCAGTTTCCGGAAGGCATACAGTGAATGGATTCGTTTCCCACAAGCAAGTAGCCAGGGTCACAGGTGTAGTGTACAGTCATCCCAGAGACAAAAAGGACCCTATTCCCACCTGTGTGCCGACCATGGTGCAGCCCAGCAGGTGGCTGGCAGTCTGAAAAAACAACAACAAACAAAACAAAATTTCCGACATAAATACCAACAAAAGAAGGATTTATACTCAAGAACATTAACAGCACACCATTTGACAACAGACAATCTTAAGCATTTTAGGCATAGATCAGAAAGCTCTAATTCATTACTGAATGCTTTCTGCTCGTTTGAAAGAACTAGACTTCTATAAATAGGTCCTCTCAGTATCTACCTTGAATATATTCTGGATACAAGAGCCATTCACACAATGGACATACATAACACATATGGAACACTGTTACAGATAAATAGGATAGTAATCTGTGTTCCCTTGACTTTTCCCATGAGTGTAGTTTTGAATGAGAGATGAGAATAATAAGTAAATACCTTGTTTTCTCCCGTTGGGCTGTTTACCTTTTTCACAAGTCGGTATTTGAGGATCCCAGGTATTATTGGCTTTGCAACGGATCTCACTGCTGCCCTTCAAAGTATATCCTTCATCACACTTGACTGTCACACTGTCGTCGTAGACATATGGGGCTTCCTTGACCGGTATCAGGTATCCATTTTCAATGTGGGCATGTGAGCACTGAACAGCAGGGAGGGAAAGTTTACAGAGAGGAGCAGGGCCACTCCAGATGCCCCTCTCCTGATCATTGGTTGTACAACGGATGGTGCTCTCCCCGATGAGCTTGAATTCTACGCCTTCCTCTGGCCCAGGGTTACATGAGTAAGTGACTGTGGTTCCGTATGGAAAGTCTTCTGAGGATCTCCCTGTGTGTGTCCCATTGTAGATAACAGGGGGCAGTGGGCAGGTGATTTCTGGAGAGATGAGAAGTGACTATATAATTCTGTTTCAGTATTAGACACTATAGAAGAGAAAGGAAGCTGGTTATAAATCTGTTGTTATCACCTTTCCTGGAAGATATGGGTGAGTTTTGGTGATATGTCAGTTATATCAAAGCTCATTATGTGTGCAAAATTCAATTTATACAGGTTTCATAGCAAAGATTTTTTTGTAACTCACATCTTTGTTGAGTGTGAACATGTACATCAGTGTCATAATGTGAGGCAGTAAAAACCAACAGTAAATTATTAATAAAAATAAGAATTCTTTTAAAAATATACAATAGTTGAATAAAATGCATGGGAACGTAGAATTGAGCGTCTGTTGCATGCCTTCCTAGTGCTGAGGTGATAAAGTAGTTTAGCCAAGAATATCTGTTGTTGATTGAGTATATACTTTGGTAGGCAATAACTTTGAAGTCTGCAGTTTTATGCTGACTTTACAGATGAGGGGATAGAGTTACAGAGAAATTGCATAAGTCACCCAATTTCATATGAAGCAGTAGATACAGAATAAGAGATCACATCCCACATCAGTATCCTTTTCCCCCCCACCAGACTACAGTGTACGCAAAATTAACATGGTGGCTCATATACTCACTGCTTTCATCAACTTGCACATCTAAATCGCAAAAGAGAACCAGTAACTGCATACGTTTAAATTAAGTGATTGCTATGATAGAGGGGACAGTACAAAGACAGAAAAACTGTTGACAAACTTAATGGAACAGAGGCTAATATTCTTATTCTCACAACATAGCCTAAAAGAGAAATCTCCCAGGGCAGTCATAGGTGTCACTCACCTGTACAAAGACGAATCTCCATAAACCAAGGAATGGTACCTTGACACAGCTGATAAGCACTCTCCCCTAACCGGAACCTAGAGATAGAGTCACGTCATTTTGCCATCTTGGGACCATTAAACTAAGCAAGAGCTACTGGCTCAAAAGCAGACTCACCACTTTCAGGACAAGAAGCAATACAAACAGAGTGTAGCCAGCATCAGCTCCATCACCCTTAGCACAGGCCTAGTCCCCATACATGGAAAGCTAGCACAATTAGCACTCCCATGGGCATGGGCCAGGGAAGGGTCTTTGAGGTAAACTCTTACACACAGCTTGCAGTATGCACTGATAAGCCAGTTCAGGCTGAGCCAGCACTCACTCACCCTTCATCGCAAGAAGAGTTAACAGCTGGTCTAATCAATTGATCCTGGGGTTTTTTATAGAGATACTTTCCTATAGGTTCACACTCTGCCACTAAGAAAAAGAAACTAAGATAAGAAATCAACTCAAGAAATCTCAAAACTACAAAACATCTGCATGCAAGTCCTGATACCTTTGCACTTGGGGACAGTGGGTGTCCACTCCCCCTCAGAGGTACAATGTATGGATTCTTCGCCCTGTTGAGCCTCAGATAAGTAACTAGGTTCAAACCACAGTTTGCATAACATACCTTCACATTTTGGCATCTTGGTCCATAAAGCTCTCTGTCCAGCAATTACACACTGAATAGAAGGTTGGCCTCGTAATCGATATCTGGAGACAGAGGGTGGTCAATTAGAACTATTAGACAGTTGCTGATATGGATCAATAATCTCTACATAAAGCTCAATACAAACTCATTTAATCTGTGTGCATCAACTTTTACTAGCATTATTTCTCATAACCTCACCCCGGGCTCTATCAGATCCTCACAGAGGAGCCTTCACAGGTCATAGCACGCATGGAGAAGCCCAGCGAGTTACATCTCCTAGGTCCTCCGGACACTCACCCTTCATTACAGGAAAGGGTCACAGTTACGCCAACCCGTCGACTTGCAGGCCCCTTTATCTGCCCATTGAGCAATGGTCCTGGAACGTCACACTGTGCCTCTATGGAAACAAGCCAAAGATGCCCAAAATATCCTTATCTAATAAATGAGTAATATGCTAATTGATTGTCACTCCAACAAGATGGCCGCCCATGTGGTCAAAGATGGAGGCTCCCATGTGGGCACAAGATGGCCACCATAAGATGGCCTGCAGGGGAGGGCAGTTGTGGACAATCAGGCCAGCAAGGGAGAACAGTTGTGGGGGGTGGGGGGCAGGGAACACAGGCCTGCAAGGGAGGGCAGTTGTGGGTGACTAGGCCTGCAGGGGAAGGCAGTTGGGGGAACCAGGCCTGCAGGGGAGAGCAGTTGTGGGTGACTAGGCCTGCAGGGGAGGGCAGTTGGGGTAACCAGGCCTGCAGAGGAGGGCAGTTGGGGGCAACCAGGCCGGCAGGGTAGGGCAGTTGGGGGCAACCAGGCCAGCAGGGGAGGGCAGTTGGGGGTGACCAGACTGGCAGGGGAGAGCAGTTAGGGGCAATAGGGCTGGCAGGGGAGCAGGTAGGCATCGATCAGGGGAGTGGTTAGGGGTGATCAGGCTGGCAGGCAGAAGGGATTAGGGGCAATCATGCAGGCAGGCAGGTAAGAGGTTGGGAGTCAGCAGTCCTGGATTGTGAGAGGGCAGTCGGACATCCCTCGAGGGGCCCAGATTGGAGGGGGTGCAGGCTGGACTGAGGGACACACACCTTTGCATAAATTTTGTGCACTGGCCCTCTAGTGGCCAATAACAGAATAGCCTAGTTTCTGAAAATTGATTGTAAATTTGGGGTACCTTCACATTGTGGGATGACTGCACTCCAGTTTCCTGAAGACAAACAACGAATGGTCTTTTCTCCAACAAGCAAGTAGCCAGGTTCACAGCTGTAAGTCACAGACAGTCCAGGGACAAAGAGGCCAACGTCCTCTGCTGTGTGATGTCCATTGGGGATCATGGGAAGTGGTGGACACCCCAAGGGGAAATCTTTACACACGCCATTAGAAGAAAAGGCCATCAGATGACACATCCTTCACAATGGAGATTCTGACATAGTACATTCATCCAACTAAATGACACATTATCTGTGGTAACCAGTCATCATAAATTTTCAACTCAATCTTTAAAACAAATGTGATGTAATATCCATGTTATACACCCTATAGCATTATTTTCCATTTTTAGTTACACTTTATTATTTTATTTTGTGAAAAATTTCATTTACCAAAAAATAGTTTATGTTCACAATTATTCTCATGCTACCCTTAAGGCTATTTTCTACTTCAAAAAGAGAATATATTAGGGCTTATTCTGCTAGATATTAGTAATATATTTTTATGGGATCTATATGTGATACATAATATATGTGTACTCACATCTTGTGGAACTTATTCTATTCAGTTATTGGATATATTCAGTTATTTTTTCCAATCATACTTTAAAATTCCTTCTTCTATTGATGTTTGTGGAATGAACATTTATATCCTTCATGACTAATATCCCTTCCCCCAAAAAAACACCAACACCAACAAAACAGGGAAATATACCTTTCACCCTTTGCCATACCTCCTCCCTCACCCCTACCCTTGACACACCCACACTGCTCTTAGTTCAGAATGATACAAAGCCTGACCTACACAGAAATGCAAGGATCCACCCTCCCTTGAGGTTGATTACTCACCACTCTCACAGGTTGGTAGTGGTGTTGGCCCCCACCTGCTATTTGCTTGGCACCAAACGGTCTTGTATCCTTTCATGGTGAAGTTGGCATTACAGGTGAAGGTCACAGAATCACCATGTCTGTATGGCGGTCTAAATATTTTATCTTTGCGTCCCCTTGCCACTGTGGGCTCAGAGCAAAAAGCTCTTCTGTTGAAATATTCACATGTAGGAGCAGCTTTATCCCAGATTCCTTTCACTTGGTCTTTACTTATACAAAAAAGATTCTTTTCTCCAATCATGCGGTGATCATAGGCACAACTGTACCTCACCAAAGTGTTAAGAGGTATGGGGCCAGAAGTGTAACTATTCTGACCATTTTGGATAGGAGGAGGAGGGTCACAAGAAATCCCTGAAAAATAGAAAAGGAAATATGTGGTAATATCGATTATGACAAGAAAAAGATTCAGATGTAGATTAAAGCTCGAAATATAGTGTATGTCACCTTATCAGAAACAGACTTAGAAATTCCTTAGGGACTCAAAGTCCCTACTTATCCCCAAGCTCCTAAATTCTTACCTTTCTCATGACCCTCAGCGAACAAATCAATATAGGATTTATAAGCACCATCTTGACCAAACAATGACAATGTAAGAGAACCTACTAAATAATTCTGTGTCTAATCAATTTTAACAAAACTAAAGGCAAACTGCACATGAAAATAACATGTTAGTAGCATGCTAATCACATGTGGGGAGGTACCATGGACTAATAAAATAATGGACTCAGACCTGGTTTCAAATTCCCACTGTCATTCAATGGCTCCGTTTCCTAGTCTATTGTATAAATTAAGCTACATCATAAGGTTGTAATAAGAACCCAGAGAGATAAGAGTACATAAAAAGAAGAACAATGACTGAAACATACAAATTATTCGATATCTATCTCAAACACACACTGAGGTGAAAGTACATTCTGTTCCTCTACTAAAGGGACTGAGGCCTCCCTACAGTCATTTGTCATTTTTGGATGCTGAATCCCTTGGAAAAAAACACAGGAAGTGAGCAAGCGTTTGGAAGAACGATTTCATATTCTTTAACCAGGGTACCAAACCACTATCTGTCTTTCTGTTCCTCTTCTCATAACCACCATGTATCTGTACAACCAGAAGTCTCATTTTGTTTGTAGGGAAGGGGGTATTAGAAGTACCTGGGTGGTAGAGGATTCCATTTATTGTTTGATCGGAACCATGGGTTTGATGGCAAAGCCAGGCTTACACTTAAACATCACAGTATTATTTAAGAAAAATGAATGCTTATATCCAGGCTCCATAATTCCATTGCAACTTCCATTGGGCATTTGAAAAAATCTTCAGTCACCATTTCCTTTCCGCAATTCATTCTTTATCCCCTGCCCGTCATTCATTTGGTCACCAAATTTTAGTGACTGGATTCCCCAAATCTCCAAACCAACTATGTCATCACTGCTGTAATCTCTTACTGGATCACTGAGTAACAAAATTTCCCTTTCTGACTCTGGGATCCCTTGGTCTCCATCTTCTATGCACATCTATCACTGCACACATTATTTTCCAGAAGCACAAATGCGGTCATGCCACCTCCTACATTTAAAAACTTACAATGACTTACCATTGTTGATCAGGAAAAAAATCATGGCCTGTCACAGTTAACTTTCAATCCATTTAATCAACAACTATTCCTCACCATGCACCTGGTACTGCAACCACACTGAATTTTTCTATTTTCCACTGACCCCATGGTCTTTCAGACCTCCACACCTCTACCTGAAATGCCTGCATTTCCACAATTCTTTTGGATAGCATTTATTATGTACTTCTCTATGATATCATAGAAATGTATCTCTATGAATAAATGAAATTATATCACAGTATGGTATTTGTTTAAAGTCGGCCTTTACAATTAGTGTAGGAATTCTTTACAGGAAAGGACCAATAGACCTTTACAGTTCTCTCCAACCCCATCAGCCTAAAGCTTCATACCTGTTACCCTGTTTCCCCGAAAGTGTCTTATATTAATTTTTGCTCCCAAAGATGTGCTAGGTCTTATTTTCAGGGGATGTCTTATTTTTCCATGAAGAAGAATACGGTTTACACTTATTGTTAAATGAAAATAAAGGAAATTTATTGCCTGTATACGCTATGGTAGTACAGTAGTTGTCAACACAAACCAGACAAACTGTGAATCCTATGGTATCAAGTATTTACTCATTTATTCAATGACAATCATGTCGTCATCTTCTGGAACATCATCATAACAATCCAATTCCTGAATTTCCTGGTGAATTTCTTGTGACTCCATTTCTTTCAGAATCAGTGGACCAAATCTCTCATGTTTAGCCTAGGGAGGCCTTATTTTTTGGGGGATGCCTTATATTTCACTCAGAAGGAAACCTGTAAGAATTAAAATGTTTATTATTCTTTATTATTGTATTTCATTAACTAGAATGGGGAAGAGACTCAATCTTGATTCTAGCCTTGTTGCATAAGGCTAGAATCAAGACTTCAATTTCAACATGTGTTTTGAATCAAATCTGACATCAGCTAATTTCCTATTTTCATGGGCAATAGGATTGAGGATTTATTTTATCCTCATTTAAATAAAATCTAATCTTACGTATGTTTTGGAAAAATTCTTGATCATTTGCTCTGGTATTACCAGTCCCTCCCCCTCCCCTTTCTTTTTGTTTTGTTTGTTTGTTTGTTTTAAGCAGCTCTATTTAATGATCAAACTCTATTTCTGGGGTGGTCTGCATACCACAACTAACCTACACTGGGAATAGAATGTTGGCTTTTTTCTCCTTACCTTGGGATACATTCTAGAGTAATTCTAGTTTCATTACTTCTCATTGAGAATGCACTGACACTCAGCTTCTTCTTTTATGGTTTTGATTTTTTCCTTCTCCTTTCCATAAATATTGAGCCTGAGAACACTTCCTAATTAACTGTCAACACCATCTCTGCCTCAGCATTTTTTTGCTGATGTCCTAACATGTGACCACCACTATCAGGCAGTGGAGCAGAGGGTGCTTCTCCATTTCCAGCTGAGATGGTCCAGTGACTCACAGGGATTGTTCTAGCAAGGATGGGTTCATAAACTGTAGAACTTGAGGACAATTCTGCCTAGAATGCTTACACTGGCAGGAACTTTTTAGCACTGTTGCAATCACCATTTCCTCATTTATTTTCTCCCCATAAACCTCTGAGGGTTTTGGAGTTACCTGGTAAATTTATATCTTAGTCTATTTACTGTCCTTGTTACCCCCCACCAGTCATTTGTTAGTTAAGTGATGTCAGGGAATCATCCTCCATCCCTCTAGAGAGCCTCTCTCTTAGGTTATAACAGACTAGTATTATGCTTTGGTTAGTCTCTGCCACTCCCAGTACATTATTGCAACCATTGATTGATTGCCTACTGTGTGCCTGCATCCAACAATGGGCAAAATACAGTCCCTGCTTATATTCCTGTGTGTGTGTGTGTGTGTGTGTGTGTGTGTGTGGTGTGAATGTGTGTGTGTGTGTGCATGTGAGCACACAATAAAAAATCATGAAGCAAGAATCATGAAAATAGGAATGGTTTGTTATTGTTCACCTGTGTGCCCCCAGGACCAGCACAGGACATGGCACACGCAAGGCAACTATTTGCAGAATGATGGCTGCTTAGGACAAAATGCAGCACACAAATTGTATATATGGTAGAATTCTAAAAATAGAAACACAAGCGGACATAAAGACAGAAGGACATAGACCCAAGTGTTAAAAATCATTGTCCTTTGGTTGTGTATGTTTGATACGATAAGCATGCTCTTTGTGGCATATGAATTTTAAATTGCATATTCCATTCAGTGAAACACAAGATAAACTTGATGGCCCGGCCCTCATATGTAGTTTTGAGCTGTAGGGGAAAAGCCTGTTAGCATTTCTTAGGGTAGTCATTTCTCATTGGTTGGCTACCAATATATATATATATTAGGTTGTTTTGCATCTCCCCTCCTATAGGACCCAACGTGGTGGGGCAAAAACAATTCCAAGAAGCCATTTGGTGATAGAATAGTATACTGTCTATATTTGATAGGAACACAAAGATGACTCCCTACCTCCTCCCCCCAAAAAGGAAGAAAGAAAATCAAAACAAAACCACCCCCGATATTGGCCAACAACCCATCTATTTGAGTACAAGAAGCACTGCGCGCCCTTTCAAAACCCGCTGAGCCCAGGAACCCAGCCTTCCTTCCTGCAGCGCTCAGCACCCGGCACGTGCTCCCCGGCTCCATACAAAGCGAGCAGAGGGCTCCCGCCCCACCACACCCTGCACCACCGCGCTGGGCACTTCCACAAACTCACTCCAAACCGCACTGCACCCGCCCAGGATCCCAGCCCAACCAGCTCCCCCAGGCGTCCCCTGGCGCAGGGAACGCAGCGCAACACTACCCTCCCGCTCCCTCCAGGGTAGAGCGAGGGCTCCAGCAACACCCTCAAGCACCAGCGCCCTCCGGGGGAGCCCTCACCTGGAGCACGTGGCCCGCGCTTCGCATCCTCATTGACTCAGACCCCAGACACCTGCCGGCGTTTGCAGGAACACAGTTGAGCCGGGACTCCTGGCGCCCAGCGCCCGCCCTGGCTCAGAGACCTCCACCAAGCAACCTTCCCGCGGGCACTGCGGGCTCCCACCGCCCCAGATCCGCGCGCAGAGAGATCAGGGCACCTGGGGCCACGCCTTCACCCCAACTCCGCAACACGGGGATCGACCCAGTCCTGTGCCTCCTCCCGACCCACCAAACCAAACCCCTCTCCTCCCCTCTTCCCTCGCCCTTGGCTGAGGATGGCCTGGGGCTCCCGACCCGCTCCAGTTCGCCCCTAGGAGCGCACACCCTCTCCAAGCTCCTACCGAAGGATGTGGGCAACTGGAGCACGAGAGCCATCGCAAGGACCCCGAGGAAGCTCCAAGAAGAAAGGGGGCTCCCCGGGCGGCGGGGAGGTGTGGTTCGCTTCCCGCCAGAAGCCGTCATTTTCGGGGAGATCAGCGGGAATCCCGGGAGAGCCAAGGAGCAGGTGCCTCACTGAGTTCACTCATCAGATGTAGCAAACCCCAGGTTCAATGCCAGGGTCCCACCCACAAGGGGGCGTGTCCTGGGCGGGCTCCAGGCCCAATGGGAAGCCTGCAGGGAGGGGTCTGGGCCTGGGTGGTGTGTCAGGCCTGGATGGGGAAGGACAGGCCCTGGTGGGTTTGGCCTCTGCACTCCCCACACCTAATGTAAATCCCTTACTCTCTGGGAAGAGAAAGTATTAAACAACACTGGGCCATTAGCATATTAAGCCTCAACTCTATGGGGCCCATGCCCTTGCTGATCAAAATGTTTCATTTTATTGAAGACGAAACATACATGCATGAAAAAGGTAAGAATAGGGGATGTTGATTGGCAAATTCTTGGGAGCAATGAGTATCAGTAGAATTAGAATGGGTAGGAATTGGAGATGAAGTAGAAAAACAGAGCTTTTCTGGTGAAACAATCTCTCAATGCTGGGAAATTGAGAATGAGCAAGATTTATTTGTAGATTTGTAGGGCTGTGCGTTGACCCGTGTGATAATAAAGGGGGGGGGGGCGAGTAGCATGATGGATAGTGAAAAGGAAACAAAACTTGACATTTTCCTCCCATTAGTAGTTGCTAAAGAAAAAAAAAATATATCACCCAATGGGAGAAAACATTTTGAGGGGACCAGCGCCCTCATACTTTTAATTTTTAACCTGTTTTATAAATGTGAAATGTTTTGAAATGGAGATGGATTTTAAACCACCAGTTCCATGTAGAGCAAAGAAATCATGAGAGCTGTGAGCAAAGGTGTATAATTTTCAAAAATATAAACCTTAAGTGTCTACTAATAGTAATAAGGAATGTAGCAAGCAGTATAAAATAATATCAATGTGAGAAGCTATAATATATTCATAAATAAAAAAAAGCAGAATTCAAATCAGTATATACCTTTTGGTATTTCTTTTATTGAAACAAAAGCAGTATATTTACGCACATAAAAAGAGATTAGTCAGAAATATACCACATTATATTTATTTTTTGTGATTTTCAGTTTTCTGTATTGACTGACCTTATGTTACATTTGGATTCAGGTAAAGAAGAAATCTTTTAACCATCCAATATAGATATCAACTTCTATTTGTTCATACAATGGGGGGGATAGAGCCTGTACTGCTCCAGGTTAAAGAATGAGATGCGGGTGAGGAAATGAAAGATCCCCATGCAAACCTGAAATGCTCCTTCTGGAATTACAAACTTCATATATATTTACACAACTCTGCATCTGAGATGTCCTGAAGACTTCCGGGGTCAACAAATCATGGCATTTCCTCTTCCTCTCAGACCACCATAATTAATATTTGGATTATTGGCATGTAAGAGGCTACATGTGGAGATGATTATAAATTATACACAGAAATATCTGGGGTTATTAAATCTAGATACCCCACAATGAAACAGATTAAAGGAGGTATAATTAAGGAGACAGTGAATAGGAAACTCAATTATGGGGGATTATCACTTCTCTTCATTCTAACAATTGTAAAAGAATTATACTGCTGGGATAGTAGCTTAATGTTGTCACTTATTAAAACAGAGAATCTATTCTCTACAACCACTAGTACACTATGTTATATGTCAATTATATCTCAATAACGATGAGAAAAACCTTTCCCACTTATTTGGGGAATTGGAAGTAAGGTTTTTTTTGTGTGAGAATATTCAAAAGATAGGAGGAAAATATGGTTAGTGTTTTGTTTCTTAGTTACACGTACTAGATTAGATTCAGGACTGGAACTTCCAGTCAATGAAATTTCTACACCTGGTGTTCATCATGAGAAGGAAAACCCCTATTTTGTAAAAAACTGCTGTTTGAAAATTTTCTGCTGTTTTTCTTAGATGGCCTCTTATTCTAAAATAACTTTGCTTTCTAGCCTGCTTTAGCCTGTTTGAATAATGATGAAGATAAACTTAGCTCTATGACCTTGTAGGCCAGAGACTAGATATGCCCATAATCTCGATGCCATGCGAGGTACACTTTTTAATTGGATAGAACTGTGTTGTTTTCAAGGCCAGCAACGAGATAACCACTAAGTGTACATAGGGCTGGCTCTTTAATAAAAAGGGAAGTTCTGCTTGGAGCCTTGCTTAGAATTTGAAATCATTTTCTCAAAGCCCACCGCACAGTGAATAAAGTGAATCTCTCCAAACTTTCCTGCATTGTTTGATTATTCGGGAACTCTGTAACAATCAAAGCATTCTAAATACAATTTAAAAATTTCACATCGATTGCTTCAACTTATTTTGAGTTGACTCATCTCAGGATTTGTGCCAAAATTTGTTCCCTATTTTTATGACAAGCTCTATGAGTCAGGAATAGAGTTTACTGATTTTTCTCCAGCGCCCAGACAGTTCTAGGCCTGTAGCAGATGTATAATAAATATGTATTAAGTACTGAATGAAACAAACAGGTGTTGCTGTCAAGTGCACTGAACATGTCTCATTTAACCCTTAACTATATAGATTTACAAAATGCTAAAAAAATTCTGAGATTTTGATAATTGTAGACACTGAAAACAAAACTAGATTTGTCTCTTTAAAAAATGAGATATGAATGATGGCATTGAAAACATTTCTTAATCAGGCAGAGGAGCTGACCTATGAAGTGGAGTGAATGTTTGTCCCTTAGCATTGAGATCATTTTAGTGACTGAGTTGAAAGGAGAACATGGACAGTGAACTTCGTAAGGTCCTCACAGGAGAAAACACAAAGAGAGTTAAGGCTTTGAGGGAAGTAGGAGAGTGAAAACTAGTGGTTCTGCCCTGGCTGTTGTGGTTCATTGGTTAGAGCAGCAGCCCACCAACCCAAGTGTCGTGGGTTCAGTTCCGGTCAAGGGCACGAACCTGGCTTGCAGGTTCCTCACTCCAGTTGGGTTGGAGTATGTACAGGAGGCAACTGATAGATGTGGCATTCTCTCATCAATGTTTCTCTCTTCTCTCCCATCCCGCCACCCCCCCCCCCCCCCCCCGCTAAAATCAATGGAAAAATCTCCAGAGAGGATTATTAACCAAAAAACTAGTGGCTCCTCTAACTCCCTCTAAGAATTTTTTCAAACTGCTAACGAGAAAAGGAGAAGAGAATGGTGCAGATTCATGAATACTCAGGTTTTGAGCTGTGTGGCAGATCTCCTTTAAAGCTTTGTGAATTGTGGTATGATGTAGTTGGTATGTGAGGATGTCATTATCAGAGTCTGACTTCCTTAAAAGAAAACAATGTTGGATGATTCTTTGCCGCCTACATTAGTATATTTACATGATGCTTCTCAGAGGTGGGGCAGCAGCATGAATGCACCTGTGAGTGTTCTCAGAAAAGGCCCCTGCCTGTCCTGGTGAGTCACACAGTAGGTGTCTGTGGAAGGCTGAAAGAGAGTGGCTGGCTGAACAGAGGCTGAGCCATGCTGCTGAGGTTGGCCCTGAAGATCTATGCCTGCTCTATTTGCACCTGGTAAGCACCTGCCAGCCAACAGCTGTTACCAGCCAGAGCCTTACTGTGGCAGGCCACACCCACGCAGACCTTTTGAAGCCAGTCAAATGCAGAAAGGAGGGCATTTCTCAGAAGGAACACATTTTCATTTTGTTTTCTCTTGTTGTGGAAAGCTCAAAAAAGTAGATATATTGCAAACATGTTTCATAAGAAGAGTTTCAATAATAAAAATCTTCTATTTCTTTCTCATATAATGGGGGAGACAAAATTTCATTAAAACATTATAGTTTAAAGTTAACTTAAATCTCACATCTAACTGTACAACAAAAAGTTAGATTAGCATTAGAAATAGCTTTGGAGAGTAATGGTTTCAGCTGCAGCTTTTTGGATGAAAAATGTGAGGCAAGAAGTTAACAGAAGCCCAATGGGCATGGCTCAGTGGTTGAGTGTCCGCCCATGATCCAGGAGGACACAATTTGATTGCCTGTCAGGGCATATATCAGGCAAATGGTCCATTCCATATGTGATTGCCTGTCAGTCCATTGCCTGACAGGGTTTTGGGCTTAATCCCTAGTGGTGGGGGATGTACAGAAGGCAACTGATCAATGATTCTCTCTCATCATTGATGTTTCTATCCCTCTCTCCCTCTCTTGTCCCCCCTCTAAAATTAATAAAAATGTATAATATTTAAAATAAAAAAGAAGTTAACAGAATTGCTCAATTATACAATTAAGTTAGGCAATATGGTATTTTACACATTGTTTCCCAGAGATATCCAATGTTTAAAAAATATCTCATGGATTTTTAACAATTAAAAAGTCACAGGCATCAGATATTCCTTAATCACATCATGCAACAATCTACTCCATTCAGAGGGGGAAAAGAATTTAGAATTTTCTTCTATGAAGGGATTTTTAATTCTAAGCAAGGCTAATTCTTGGTTAATTTCTACACCTCTTTTAAAAGATTCTATTCCCCAAACCCAAGAAACAATAGGGATTTGCTAAGCAAATCATTGAGCATCTTTTTATATATTTGTGGACTATTTGCATGAGTGTGTGTGTGTGTGTGTGTGTGATCTGGATAAATCTCTCTTGGCCTTTTAGAGAGATGTAGGGGAGAATTGGTCTTTGAATTACTCTCAATTAAGCCTATTACCCTTTGTTTATGATATGTTGCAATTTATTCTCCCACTTTGCCAGTTGACTTTTTGGTTCTTCTGTGTGTGTTTGTTTCTCTTGCACTACTTTAAATTGAACTTCTAGTTGAGGTCCAGTTCACTATTGATATTTATCAATATAAATATCAGAATATACTTTGAAAACAACTATTAAAAACAGAATTACACAGAAGTAGCAGTAGTCATACACAAATCTATTCTTAAATATCCAGAAAGATTCTGATATTTTCTAGGATGGCCTATAATGTCACCCCAAATAAATTTTTCATCTATAAGGATGTGAATTTTTAGACACTCTAGGGGTACTTATTGAGAATGTGTCAATACATGTTATTAATTTGATAACTTTTTAAAAGTCATGTTTCTTGTAAATTTAGTGTAGTCTTAATCCATTCAAAAGTAAACTACTTTTATATAAAAATTTTACTTTTATTTAAAATTCAGTAAGTTTTTTAAACAGTGCATAGTACAAAGTACTTTTGAAATAGAGCTTAGGAAATATCCAAATCTTATTTTCCCCCAAAAAATTTCTCTTGAGACTTCTTAAGCCATCTTTCCTATAATCATCTAATGACTTTTTAATAAATAGAAATGTCTTATTGTTTTGGAGATAGTGAAAATATATATTTTATTGCAATCTGTCTAAAAGGAATGGATTCTGCTCTACAAACATAAAAGAAGGTATTTAAGAAAGACTTATGTGTGTATAAAGGCCCATATATATGAAGAAAAATTAGCAGAAAGTGAATTAAAACATTAGCAGTAGTTATCCCTGCATAGTATAATTATATGTGACCTATTTGTTTTTCATATCTTCCTCCTGCATTTTCCAAATTCTCTTTTTTGAGTCCATTCTATATTACAGTTAACACTTGAACAACAAGAGTTTGAACTGCATGGGTGAATATTTTTCAATAACTATACTTGAATATTTTTCAATAACTGTACAGTTGCCCCTCTGTATCCTGGGATTTTACATTCAGGATTTAGCAAATTGCCAATCAGAAACAGCATTTTCACCAAAACTGGTTTGGCTCAGTGGATAGAGCATCAGCCTGCGGACTGAAAGTTCTCGGGTTCGATTCCGGTCAAGGGCATGTACCCTGGTTGCGAGCACATCCCTAGTAGGAAGTGTGCAAGAGGCAGCTGATCGATGTTTCTCTCTCATTGATTTTTCTAACTTTCTATCCCTATCTCTTCCTCACTGTAAAAAATATTTTATATATATATATATATATATATATATATATATATATATATATATTTGAATATATATAATTTTCTCTCAGATGACACATTTACCCCCACATTATTCAAGGGTCACCTATTAAATAATTAAAGACAAATGACAAACTTAGAAACAGAAATCCTAGGTGACAACTTCTTCCTTTAAGTAATTTAGACCACCTCTAAGCCCTCAGTGCATTTTTCCATGGTGGGACTGCCATACCAGTAGATGGGACCTGACTAGCCAGCATGTTCTTACATTTCAGCACAAAGAAGGAAGATGGAGTGACAGCATCCAGACTCCGAGGAGGGCGCTTCCTGGGGAATTGGGAGCTTCAGCATCTTCACGTGCACACTTAGGCAACTCTGTGAAGTCATTTCAAGGATTTCATGAGTCCCAGATCTTATGCTGTTGAAATGAATTGGATTCTTTCCGACGAGCATTTTCATTTGAGATGTTCTCCAGAGTTATAGTATTTTGTCAAGGAAGGACACTGAAATAAGAGGAATTTTTATTTAAATGACAGCAGGGTCAACAAATTTATATGCTGATAATCATGATGCTGACACTTCATGTATCTTACACATTTAAAAGAAGTGTTTATAGCCTTCTGTTTGGTAGCTATGTAGAACACAAGACAGTATGGCATAAATTGAGGAACTGAGCAGATACGAGATTAATGAATAACTTGACCATTCCCCATTTCTTTATTTGTGAAAAAAGAAAGGTGTCCTCAGAGTTGAGCAACTAAATACAAAGAGCCTCATTCCAGAAACCTACGGGTCCATAGTAACCCACAAAACCTTTCCTTTAGTCTCCTTTCTGAACCATGGTTATGGCAGCGGGGAGAAAACAGAATCTGGTAGTTTGGAGGAGGGGCAGCCTCAGACAGCATGTCCTCCTGCCCTTCTCACAGCCAATACCAAAAGGAGGTGCTGCATAATTCAGGTGTCCAAATGCTTCCTTGGCCACTCTTTCCTAAGGCCAGGAACACTGTGTTATCACAAATGGACAGACTCCCATCAGCTCACGTGACACTCCCAGTAATTATTGCCACCTGACCTTCATCACTGTCCCTTTTCTAGCTCACAAGTGTTCCCAACACCATGTTAGCTGCATCATCATTGAGCATTCTCATGTGTTTCAATGCGTGGCTGTGACTTTGGAGTCTGCCTCCTTACCAGGGAATGTGGTCCATCCTCAACATCCAGGAGCTGCCTGTTATCATCCAAAGGTTAACAAAGTTGTTGCAGAAACCAGAGGCAGCCCAGGCCTTTGCAAACCCCCAGCCTGCATTACCTGTAAACTGCCCATTTTACATACCTATTCTTATCCCTTTCGCCTACTTCCCCATGTAATTTTTGTCCTCCTACCTAATATAAGCAGCTGGCTTATGGTGGAGAACAGAGCAGATTTTTATGGATGCCCGGCTGCTGGCAATATTGGAATAAATGCTTACATAGGATTCAACCCTGTCTGCTGAAATGGCTCTAAGTAGTGACAGGCAGCCCGGACTCATTGATTGTCCGGTGACAATGATAAGTGACTAATCAAAATTTGTAGAATCAATGAATGGGTGAATGAAAGAATGCGATGAAGTTAATGGGTAAAAAACAACAAATGAAAAGTCAAATACTGTGTGATGTATTTATATACTGTTTGTAACAATGAGAAGAATGGTTGTCATTTGGTGAAACCAAAATGACATCCATATAATCTCAAAGTATAACCCTGCAAATATAAAATAATATGCAAAGTAGCTTAATAATAACTAATCACTGGGTTATTACAAGTGATTTTTATTGGTTTTATGTTCATGGGTATTTTCTGTTTTCAATGAGTATATATTATCCTTGAAAGAAAATAATTTATTTTAAAAAGTGTAATAGACAGGAAGTGCTTTGAGTTCCAAAGAGAGACTTCACTTTGGACTAGAGTTATTTGGGACAGCTTCTTGGGACAGTGAATTCTCAGCTGGGTTCATACAACTTAGACTGGAATAAAGGTGACAATGTGTTTTAGGCAGGTAACCTGGCAGGAATAGGATAAATCAAATGATATTTTAAGCAGTCTTCTGGAACTTTTTAAAATAAAATTTTATAAAGATAAGCATTGCCCTTGGGGTCTAGTTATTTAGTCTATTTATATTTGCTGGTAGCATAGCTATCTAAGAATAAGTTTTGCACAATTTTTCCTTCAAAGTACCCTGATAATAGAGGAAAACAAATGTGTCACCCCTGCCTGGCCAAGTATTAGTGCTAATTGGCAGGGGAGAAAAAGGTGAGAAAAATAGCTAAATTATATACTTTTTAGTTTTGAAAAGAGGTGGTCAGTAGATTTCATTTTGAAATTTAGGGCGTCATTTGTCTCAGATTTTAGATATCTTTGTAAGGTACTTGATGGCTCCCAGATACCAAGAGGTTACCTGTTCGATTCCTAGTCAGCGCACATGCTCAGGGGAAGGAGATGAATGAAGAGGGAGATGGCACAATCACATGAAGTGAGAGCGATGTAGAAAAGGTGCTGCCTGTCAGTCTGGCTTGAGGAACAATGGATTGGCAAGGGGAGTAGACACCAAGGCAAACACAAGAAAATTTGGGAATGCATCGTCCCCAGACAAGAATTCCCTCTCACATGTTCTGTCCTTGTACTGTAGAACTCTCTCTTCATGACCTGCACTTGCCCCATGCCCTGGCCTGTTTTCTCTCCATGGCCATGTGGCCTTAGAAGATTCATAGCCCATGGCCAAGGGGACCCACCTGCAGGATCCTGTGCTTTAATATGGGGTGGAGATGGGGCATCCCTAAGTCTAGCCCTGCTGAAGAGAAGATTGGACTTCTCCCATGGTGGGACTGACATACCAGTAGATGGGACCTTGGAAGGGAACCCCCTTAACGTTACATCATCAATAAAATTATTTTCCCCCATGGCCCTCCAAGAACTCTACTTCCACCGATTAACAAATGCACAAAAACACAGGAATGCTTTGGAACACAGTCCCTGTGCGCAGCACCGATGGAGTCCTCACCCCAAAGCACTGGAAACAATTATCCAATATAGACACCGCCAGCAGCGTCTGTTTGCAGACTTTGCGCAGGGTCACAGCTGTCTTCTTGGGGTTGTAGATGGATAGCCACTTCCTTAGCTTTTGCATTGGTATCGCTGCTAATTGGCAGGGGAGAAAGATGACAAAAATAATTATATACATTTTCGTTTTGAAAGAGGGTATTCAATAACTTTCAAAAGAGAAAAATGTAACCAAGTCACACTTTTCAAAGCTAACTAAAAACTTGGATTAGAAAATAATACTAAAACCATTCTGTAAGCTGTGTCGGAACTCTAATCATGCCTTAGAACAGCACACTTCTCTATTCCCAAAGTTATATTGATGGGTAAATACTGTTATAATAGGATGGTGACATTTAAATGGCTCTGCACCGAAATCTGACAGAGGCTTCCTTTCACTTCCATTAGTGAAGATATATATTCTGTATTTTGTACAATACCTATAGTATGGAAAGTAGCAGTTATTGTCATGAAGGTACATAAGAACTGATAGTAAAAGAAGTATTGGATTGCTTTTAAATGTCAGTAATAATAGTCATGTATAAATAACAACAGCTAACATTAGGAATGATTATTTTCCTATTTTTCTGGCAAGGGAAATGAACTGTAGAGAGACTTCATATCTTGCCCAGTGTTAAAAGCTAGTGAGTGAATATGAGCATATCTCTCAGTGATTGCAAACCCCGTGACTGTACTGACCGTTTTTTGCGTTTTAGAATCATCCAACAGAAAACGAGGATGCAAATAATAAAGAGGACCACGCTGAAGGATATGCCTAGGCAGTAAAACAAGGTAATTAAGTGCATGCAAAATACAACCCATAGCTTTTCATCTCTATCTTCCTAACCAGTCTCTCTAGAGGTTGCCAATGATTTTTTAAAAAATCTAACTAAATTCTGGTTTAAAAAACACTGACACAGGCTTACCTTTAAGATTTCCTTTTTAGCTGGCATTTCTCAGTGGTTAGAACTCAGTCCATGTAGCAAAGGGTCATGGGTTTGATTCCTGGTCAAGGGCACCTACTTGGGTTGCAGGTTCGATCCTTGCCCTGGTTGGGGCGAGACTCCTCCCTACCTCTACCACTAATGCTATTCTCTTAAAAGTCAATGGAAAAAAATATCCTCCGGTGAGGATTATTACCAACAGAAAGCTTTCCCCTCTGCTTCCTGTTTAATGTAGCCCTTTAGTGTCACTGCTATGGGGTTAAGAGTAAGGAATGAGCAGAGCCATTTTGTAATATAAGTCCAACAGCAGACTTTCAACATGCGAGAACAGCACAAAGGCTCCAGGGCTCTCAGGCCCTGAGTGTCTCTTGTATGAGGCACAGCAGCTATTCTATCAATATATGACAAATTCTGCCAATTCCCTCTGAAGCTGACTCTGTCACAACACTATTCCACTTACATACTCAGATCCCAGAAACAGGCTTAGTGGTCTTTGAAGCTTCCAATTTGTGCAAGTGACTGCCACCCTGAAGAACAGTCCCAGGTTGTATTCTCCAGCTACAATAAAGTAAGGTGAAGGACTGGCCATCTTTAATGGTTCAAAGACAGTGCAGAGCCATTGGTGGAGGACACTCTGTAGGCATATGAGGATGCCATTTTTGCCACACTGTGGCCTGAGTTTATCACTGTTGCCTTTCTAAATGAAATCGCAGTGTAGGATATTTTGACCTCTCTTTTTACATTTCATTCATTATAAGTGGATACTTACTGTTAAGATGCTAGCGTTTCTCAGCAAACCCTTTATAAAACTTACCAATAATGCGAGCATTACGTCGGCCTAAAAGGAAGACAAAGGTCATAAATGCATCAGTCAAGCACTCCACGTGACTAAACAGGAGCCCTCAGCCAATGACAAGTTAGCCCATTTTTTATCCTTGCACAGTCCAATTTTGTTCTAATTTTTTTTTTTTTTAAAAAACCATTGGTTTTATTGAGACCCACAGGTTGAAAACCACTAGCAGGGTTGCCTAAGACCATGGGAAAACACAGATATTTACATTACAATTCAAAACAGTAGCAAAATGACAGTTATGAAGTAGCAACAAAAATAAATTTATGGTTGGGGGTCACCACAACATGAGAAACTGTATTAAAGGGTTGTGGCATTAGAAAGGTTGAGAACCACTGGTCTAAAGGCATTTGTTCAGCCAGCTAGGCAGGGAGCATTTTGCCACAGTGAATATAATTTGATGTTAAGGCGAGTTTATAATTTGGAAATATCATTTGTAAGTCAGATTAACCAGCACATTCAAGGGATTAACTATAAAAAAACATCTTGAACGCCCTATCTGGTTTGGCTCAATGGACAGACTGAATGGTCCCAGGTTCAATTTTGGTCAAGGGTACATGCCCAGGTTGCAGGCTCCATTCCCAGTAGTGGGAGTGTAAGAGGCAGCCAGTTAATGATTCTCTCATCATTGATGTTTCTGTCTCTCTCTCTTCCTCTCCTTTCCTCTCTGAAATAAATAAATAAATAAATAAATAAATAAATAAATAAATAAAAACATCTTGAACGATCTTGGTAATCACTGCTACAAATAATCACAAGAATGGGTGAGGGAAGCCTAGCCCTAACTTAGATTAAGAAAGGTTATTCATTGCTAATTTTGCTCATCAGCTCCTTGATGTGTACAAGTTCAGGGTATAGACTTCTCTGTCTAGTTGCCCATAGAGCTCAATGACACCTGATTTCTAAATCTGCTGATGTAGTTTGACCAGTTTAGAGTCATGTAGCCTTCAGCAATGAGGGAGATGGAAGAGCTAGTCTCAGCAACCTGGAAGGTGTTTCCTGACTCAGGCTGAAGTTCTTGAAGGTCTGATCTGTCTCTGATAGGCTCTTGACTTTTAAGGCCCTGGGTTATAAATGAATCATTACTGTGGGATGTGTGCAACAAGAGTGATGCAGACAAAGGTTCAGGGAGGTCCCCAAGGAAAGATGAATGGGTTGAGAACTGTGAAGAGAGCAAGGCTGGCTTGACTTCCATTGCTTAGGGCTTTTGGAGAAGAATTAGGAGCTCCTCTTGCACTCCTTAGCGCTATCACGTGCCGTAACAATCACACCACATTTGATGCCAGTACAGATGAATGAATGAATGAACAGTGCATGACTGGGGAGGATCTGCATTCCTTGTACCTGCTCTTGCACTTACCAGATGTACTAGTACATGTGGCCAGAGGAGGGTCCCATGTGTTATCTGCCTGGCACTGGCTCCGGGGACTGCCTTCCAGAGTATATCCATCTTCACACTCCAAGGTTACATTGTCTCTATATCGAAATTCTTGGCTCTTGTCTAACTCCTTCCAGATTCCATTTGTAAACTCTGGGAGGCTACATTTTACCTCTGAAATTAGAAAAATCAGAAGGGAATTGATATTTTATTGATAACTTTAGTTGTAACTACCATAATGGAAAGATCTATGACCCCCAAACCTATTTTTCCTTCAGCAAAGATGGGTCATGTTATCAATCAGGAAAAATTGATATCCCCTCCCTAAACATCTTATGATTTAAGATTCTCAAACTTTATTTTTCTAGGAATATGGAATGTACTGTAATCCACTTTTAATTGTGAACAACTCTGAAACTGAAAAGTTGTGGAAAGATGAGGAGTTAGGATAAGCATACTCTAGCCTAGATGCACCTGGGTCATACCATAGGAAATAGGAATATAACATAGTATTTGAAAAATAAAAGAATAGAAGAGAAACAAGCAAAGAAAAAAGCCCTTAACTTATAGTTCTGAAAAGCCAAAAAAACACATTTAAAAGGAGACAGTATAAAGGGCAGAGTTAGAAAGCAGGGATGAGCTTAGGTCCAATCCTAGTACCATTACTCCTGCTCTGAGGATCATAGGCTAGTAACTGGATCTCTCTACACCTCAATCTCCTCCTCGGTAAGACAGCAAGAATAATCACCCCACCTCATCAGATTCTTCGGGAGACTAACACACATCCCTTTCGTAAAGATCTCAGTAGTATGCCTAGTCATAGAATATGATTTTTAATCCCACATTTTGTAGCTTTTTAGAATATTGCCAAGAAAGGTTTTAAAGTCGTATTTCATTTTTGCAAATATAGACAGAATAACAAAAATCACTTCTGAGACTTGGTGCAGGTAAGAGGCAATAAACTCGTTACCTTTGGACTTGGGAGTTATAGTGAGACTCCGCCCACGGCAATTCCAGAACTAACTGCTCCGACCTCACTTCTACTGTCCTCACAACAAGGTGCTTCTAGACTCTTATTGACCTTCTAAGGGTGTGTGTGAGGACCATCTGTGATCCTTTAAAGCTGAAATAGTTTATTAGTAAAAGGCCTGGAAAGCATTTTAAATTGGTGATAGACGTCTATTATATCACTCAAAATTCCCTCTGTTCTTCCTAATTATTTGGGGAGAGGTCAGGATATTTGTGCAGCCTCTCTTCCTACTATTTGTTCTGCTTTTCTTCTCCTCTATTGATACTCATTTCACCATCCTCTCAGAAAAGATCTCCATCTTATTAGCCTCATGCAGAAGTCTCCCATAAAAACCCAGTAAGAATAGAAGTTACCTTTGCAGTAATGGTAAGCATGGCTCCAGTTTCCCTCATGTGTACAGAAAATGAAGGCTTTCCCCACCAGCAGGTAGCCTGGGTCACAGGTGTAGTTGACTATCATCCCAGGAAGATAAGGAGGTACATGTCTTCCAGTGTGACGCCCGTTGTGCATCTTGGGCGGAGGTGGGCATGCTAAGATCAAGAAAAGACAGCAAAGAAGTATGAACATGCCAGCACATCTAATAATATTTCTGACTCTTAGAGCCACATAAAGACCTAGGCAGGCAGGTCTCAAAGCACTAAATGTTTGCGGGTCAGTGGGAAGACTGATTCTCTAAACACAGACCTCTCAGCCTTTAAACAGGATCGTGTGTGTCCTTTGCCTGCAGACTGCACCAGACTGAAACACCACTGGCATCTACAAATTGCCCAGTCAATGCCATCTGTCCTCTCTGGAGGACGGAGCCTGTGTGGACAATCACAGCCACAAAGGAGCTTCTGGTTGCCAGGGACTGTCACTTAAAGCTACAAATACATGGCAAAGGATTGAGCTACAGAGGCCAAGGGCACAACCACCCACACCACTTCTCCAGGGCATCCTGAGCTCCTTTTGCTAAAGGCGAGAAGAAGGGTCAACAAAATGCAGTCATGGGCTGAGCAGAACTTTTAGAAGTAACAAGAGAAGCACATCGGGACTTGCCCAATTACTTCTAGAGCTCATGTGTCAAACACAAGGCCCGAGGGCCAAATCCGTCCCGCCAGGCCTTGCAATGTGGCCTGCACTGCGCTGTCATCACTGCACTCCGCTGCGTTTCCATCACAATGACAGTTTATGACTGTTCAATAAACCATTCGGCCCGCGATTTAGGCCGGATTTTAGATTTTGGCCCCTTCTCTGATTGAGTTCGACACCCCTATTCTAGAGCATTACCAATTTTGAAATAAATTACGCCATCGACATGTACATTTTGCTTTGCACACCACCTATAGAGTATGGAACAACTAGTAATAGAGATGGCACAACCAAATATTTCCACTGGTTTTATAATATTCTCTATATACTTTGGGCCTCACTGATTCTCTCCATGTTCTGCTGCCTCCTCTCCCAACTATTCTCCATTCCTCACCCCAGTGGGCAGGGTCATCAGAATACCACCAGCTGGGGCACAGTGCAGCACCTCTAGAACCATCTATTATTCTCCTGGCAGGTACTTCTGTGTCTGATATTCATAACAAAGAAATATTCAGAGGAACACAAACTGTCACGATAGAAATATGGAGGTTCTTGCCCAGACACACAGACCCGTATGTGAGGTGGGGAAATATGTACTGACCAGGAGAACCAGAAAGTTCACAGTGAGGGGCAGGGCCACTCCAGATCCCATTCCCTCGACTGTCACTTGTGCAGCGGATGGTGCGTTTCCCAATGAGACTGAAAGTCATCCCTCTGTTTGGGTGGGAGTCACATGTATAAGATATTTCTGTTCCATAGGGAATGACTCTCATAGAAGTTCCTGTATGGTTTCCATTAAGGATAGCAGGGGGATCTGGACAAAAGATTTCTAGAAACAAGACAAGAGAATTAGGTTTCAATAGAGTTTCAATCAAAATGATTATATAATATTGATACCCTGGGAACTGTGTTATAAACACAATCCATTTTGGGGGGGGGAAAGTTGTTAAAATTGATTTCAGAGAGGAAGGGAGAGGGAGAGATAGAAACATCAATGATGAGAGAATTATTGATTGGCTGCCTTCTGCACACCCCTTATTGGGATGGAGTCTAAACTGGGGCATGTGCTCTGGCCAGGAATCCAATTGTGACCTTTCTTTACTTTAGTAAACAGATTAGGCTAAATCAGTAATATCTTGGTGTATAAAACATTTGTATCTATTTATCAGTTTCTGAATCTTCAGCATGTTTTATTTAAACAACTGGTTTGAAAATTTAGGGCGCCTCAACTCATCATTTCAAATATTGACTCACCTCCCTGTAACATACAAATTTATCATTTAACACTGTTTTTTTTAAACTTTATAACACATCAATTTTAACATATTTTATGCATTCAAGTTTTATATGTTTGTTTATTTTCTTGTTTGTGGGCAGCCTTCCTAAGTAGAAAATGAACTCCATGCCCAGCCGGTGTTGCTCAGTGGTTCAGCATGGACCCATGAAGCAAGATGTCGGGTTTCAATTCCAGGTCAGGGTACATGCTTGGTCTGCAGGCTAGATCCCCAGTAGGGGGCGTGCAGGAGGCAGCAGATTAATGATTCTCTCTCATTATTGATGTTTCTAACTCTAACTCTCTCTCTTTCTCTCCCCCCCTCCCACCCCTCTCTCTCTCCCTCTCTGAAATAATAAAGTGTTAGGCCTAGAAAAATTTTATAGCAAGATAATACCTTGCTAATTTATACTTTTTCAGAGAATTTCAAATTGTGGGCAGGTTAAGGATGCACCTTGTGTAACTTCTCATTCATTTATTTGGATCTTCAAAAGCTAAAGTTAGTTTGTGTGTATGTGTGTGTGAATACTTGTGAATACAATGGATACATTCATTGTAGGAATTTTACAAAATATGGACAAACAAAAATAAAATAATTGCAGTCCAAAAATAAATATTCTTAATTTAATGCATATTATTTCAGAATACACAAGTATCTGCATACACATGTGCATACACACATATCTGAATATATATTTCATAGAACAATATATTTGGTACTGGATAATATTCAGGCATGCTGGTAAATAGAGATAGTGTGTATTTCCACTTGGATGGGGCATCTCAGCCCCTAATTTCATCTTACATTTTTTAAAAAAAATTTATAATAATTTTTAATATGACTTGTTTCTTCTATGAGCTATTTTCAACCATGCTGAACATTTAGATTCTTAACACTTCCCATGATTATAAATATAATTGCAAAAAATGTCTTTAGACCAAAATCATAGGAAAATTCCATGATTATGTTCTAAAAAATGGAATTGCTAGGTCAAAAGGTATTGCATTACAGCTTTAGTATCTATTCCTCATTAGCCTTCCAGAAGTTTGTGCCCACTTTTACTGACATCAGTTCTGCAGGTGATACTCATTCCTTAATAGCCTTAACACTCTACCCATTTGTATTTAGTCTTCCATGTTCATCCAAGTTTTGGAGGATCGCTTTACAACATCCCATTGAATACACAGAGTCAGCTAATCAGGAATGAATACAAGTAGGGCCCGAGCATGGAGGAATTCAAAGAAGAAAAAAAGGGCCAGAGGGTTAGGGAATTGTTATGAAGTATAATATTTTCTTTAGTTCAAAGCAAGAACAATAAGAAAGAGAGTAATGTATCTCTTTCCTGCGATTGTTGCATGCTATTAAAAGGTGGCAGAGATAGGTTTAATTTTCTATAATGACTTTTAAATTTACTCACAGGAGAATGATCTTTTCTCGGGAAAGAGTTTACTATAAAAGTAGGAGAGTAGAGCAGTTTGACCTGAGGTCAAGCCCACAGTTTCAGATAAATGACCTCCTAAAATTAAAAACAAAAAGCAAAACAGGAGAACCATGTAGCAATTGACTCCAATTTACAAATATCTCAGAGACTAGTCTGTGCACAAAGGATTAGATTTCTTCTTTGTAACTACAGGGTCAAATTGGGGTCAATTGAAGGGAATTATGGTGGGAAATATTTCCACTCACTTTCACAAACAGGTGCCTCCTTATCCCAAGTGACACTATTGCCTGAGAGGTTACAAGCAGCAGATGGCGAGCCAATGAGTCGATACCTAGAAACAAGATGAAAAATGATTATACCCGATCCATGTTTTCCACTTAAATCACCACGAGAAAATAATGCCAAGAGGATTTTACGAAGTATAGGACAAACTAACACATGGGAGACCGCAAAGAAGAAACCCCATTTCCACCAGTTTTTATTGCTAGGAACAAGCTTAAATTCCCACCTCTTTAATCCGTCATTCCTAGTCCCTCAGAATTCAATGCAATAACTGTGTTACTCATAATGGAACATTTTTGAATTTATCTTTAGGGAAACTGAAGTGTGTTTTTTTTTTAAAAAAAATCCATGTGTTGTACTGTCAAGGCAATTAGAAACTCCTCAAAGGCAGAAAATGTCTTAATGGAAATATGTGCAGTCTCTGGCCCTAGTCAAAAGACATTTAAGCTCGAGGTGCTCAAAAAATATTTATTGATTGAAGGAATGAATGATGGCTTACCCTGAAGATTCAGTGAAGAGCCAGAAGAAGCAGTTAAGCAATTTCATACTTTAATGGTAGAAAGCAGGAGTATTTGTCCACTGTGCCATAAAACCATTCAAAATAGGCCACACATTTTGGAATATCGCATCTTCTTTTTATTATGTCTTTATACTGCTACTCCAAGAAATGTCACAAAGGATACTTGCTAAGCTAGTCAAATGTTCCAAAGTACAGCAGGACTAACCTCGATTAAGTGAAAGTTAAGGTGTCTAATGCAATGTCATGTAACAGTGGGATAGTTTTCTGACCAGTTTTTTGTCTCTTGATTACCTAAGATACATGATCAGAACAGTTAACAATCTGTAGCAGAAACTATAGGTATTTCCAGTATCCGCTTTTCTCTTCCTCATTAGTAAACAGAATCCTGTGTTTTTAACTGGCCAGTGCCACTTCTAATTGTCATTTTAAAGATTAAGTTAATTCATGTAAAGCACTTGGTAGACTGCTTGGGACAACTGCACTCAATAATCATTCATTGTTGCTTTGCTGTAGGTAATCTGCAATGGCTATTTAAATTTTCTCTTTGATCTAGATCCAAACTTTGAATTTTAATGAATTTTTGTTTATGAATTTCCAGTGTTATTGTACTGTACTCACATAGAAGATATCAAAACACTTCCATTATGGGAATTATTCTTTTTTCAAGAAATATATCCAATTGGTATATGTTGTGGGTACTTGGTCATGTAAGACTACACTTCTGCGATGTGACTGAGTACAGATATTTTGTAGCACAATATTTTCCCTCAAAATACTAATTTCCACTATTTAGTGTGTGGAAAAAACATTTGATGGCAATATACATTTTTTTCTGTTTATTTTAGCCCTGGAGAGTTGCAAATTGTTTTAATATCTGAATGTCATAAATTTTCTCCATAGAGGGTAAGGGCCTCTTATCATTAATTCTGCATTTGTTCAGTAAGCCTTGGGATTCCAAAAATCTAATCTTTCTTTCTTTCTGACCTGGGGAAGTATCTTCCATTCTGTGCTAATTGATACTTCACCAATTTTTGCTTTTTAAATTTTTTCTCATGTTTCAGTGTGTGTAAAATTGTGTGTGTGCATGTGTGTAATTTCCAGTGTTGTCTTTCATTTATTCTGGAGAATTTAATTCACCTTTCTCATGATCTATTTGGTTTCTTTTTCTTAGAAGTCAATCTTTGATTATTGTTGCTTTTTTAGACTATGTGTGTTTACTCATGTATAAAAAACTGATATCAGATTATTAAATCCTCATGCTATTACAGAGGTTCTATGTTACAAATAGAGATGAGAGATTTCTAGTATCCTGTTTTAGAGTTCATTCCCTTATTTATTGGAATACATTGATTTGCAGAGGAATATTTTCTCTGATTTCTACAAGAAATGTCTCTTCTTTACAATTGCTCTATCTTCCTTCCCTTGTATTCATGGCGTTTTGTTTAGATCACGAATGAAAGAGCTCAAGTCTTATTCACAATGGGAGGTGAGAAAGAACTGGTGAAGAGATTGTATGGAAATTTGTTAAAATCTCCAGGCTTCAAACAAAGTGAGCAGGGGTGAACGTTATTCTAGTTTAAAATTGCTGGGTCATAGGCACAATACACAGATTCTACTTGAGTAGGACAGGATGGGACTGATCACCAAGGGCAGTTTACACAGAAAGATGTGGTATATTTAGATACCTTGTTTCCTCTAAATTTATTGTGGAACTAAAAATTAATATACTTTCTTTAATTGCTCACTCTAAGTTGAGGCAATGGCTTCTAGCTCAGTTACTGAAGCTAGAAAGGAAAATTCAATGTCTTGCTTTGGTGAAATAACAGGAGAATGTTCAGAAAGAAAATTCAAGAGCAAAAAATCCATTAGCGTTCCTACACTGTGTGCATTTGAATGCATGTTTCCCAGAACTGATATATGATTTACCTTCCCATCCCTCTTTTTAGCGTCCTCCAACTCAGCTACAGTACTCACCGACCTCAGTTAAGGCTGACTGTATGATTCAACTAGAATTTATCCTTCTACTCACTTGGCAGGCTGGTCCTTGTTATCCAGCGGCTATCATACCAGGTTTCACATGGGCTACCTTTGGCAAGGGCATGGTGCCCACATGGGTTCATAATGTAGACAGAGATTCATCTCCCTTTTTAGATTCCTTTTGGTCATGTGCCCATGTTCAAGCTACCATCTCTGTTTAGAACTCCTATTGCTTACTTCTTGAATTACAGGGTCAGTTGTCTAGTCTGCCTCTCTTAGACTGGGACAGAGATGGACATTGCGGTTCTGGAACTCATATTCCAAAGAGAGTGCTCCCAACTCACCCTTCATTACATGAATATTTAACTGTTGATCCAAAGTAAGTATCTGTGTTTATTTGCACCGTGCCATTGAAAGGTTTTGGTGGAGATCCACATGATTTTCCTATGAGAAAGCAGCAGAATTTGGAGTAAATGTAGAGTTTCATTTACATTTGATTTAAGATTCTGACTGGGGTGTAGCTCGCTTATCCTATTTATTTGTGATTTTCCCACGGAACTGCCACTTTGAGGACACTCACCATACGATCTTAGAATCAAGTAGCTACAGGGTACCTCTTTTAAAGGACTACCTTGCATCTCTCAATAAAAGCTATTTATGGCTAAAGAATGTTTTTTTACCCCTTCCCTCCCCCCACCTAAACCGAAGCCTTCATAATTTGGGACTTCCCTCCATTTAAGTCAGCTAAGCACAGTTCACTGTGACCCATATAATTTTCTTTGGTGTTCCTTTTTCATTCATTCGTACCATCAAAGGTACCCTCCAATGAATGGAAAGTTTTCTTACAATTCCTTTAGTGTGAGTCTTTCCCATGAAATGAATATCTGGTCAAGATGCAGAAAGCCAGACAATAAAATGGGGTGACTTACAAGTCCACCCTCCATTTAAATATCTTGGGCCAACTTAGATATCTCACCTTCAAAATCAAAACAAATTAAATCAGATCCCATAGATGCTTTGACATACAGAACGTAGTTCCCAGGACATCGTTACTCACGTCTACAGACATCTTCCACATTTGACCAAACCAAATTTTCTAAGCAGGTGATAGAGAACATATTCTCAAAATACCCAGGGGAGCATTTGTAGCGCAAAGATGTTCCAATTGGAAACTCAGACTCATCGGTTAGGGTTGTAGGCGTGGCAAATAGAAATCGTTCTGGAGCTTTACAATAACCTGGAGACCAAAGCCACAGGAGTATCAAGTGAGCAATGAGACTTCCACTCAACCCTTCTTTCTCTCCAATTAAGTTGATATATAAGCACATAAACAGTCTTACCATAATGGCAAATATTTTCTTCTTTTTGAAGTTACCTTAGGATGGTGCTTTCCAACAACATCTACTCATCAAAAAATTTTGCCACTTGAAGACTATTTACCTTTCTGAACTTTCTCCTCATAGTTCACCAAAGGAAGACATTTAGCTAATGGTTTTACATGTCAGACCTCCTAACAGAATGCCTAGAGTTAACCTAGAGTTAATCATTCATATCCTCATTTATTGGTGTCAATGTACCTTTGTATTGAATATATCAAGACATATTTTATCATCTCTTTCCATTTATTCCTCCTTGTCTCTTTCCCAGGATGCTCATCATAAGTTGCCCTTCTGGCACTAAAGAGCAGTCACTACTTGTAGTGGGTTGAATGATATTTCCCCCAAAGAACTAATTTGAAATAGGGGTGTTTTCAGATATAATTAAGGTAATGATAGTGAAATGCGATTATCCTATGTTACTAAGATGGTCTTAAATTCAATGACTGGTGATAAAAGAAAAGAAAGGGAGATTGGAGACACAGAGACAGAGTGGAATAGGCCATGTGAAGACAGAGGCAGGGGTCAGAGTGATAAGCCCACAAACCAGGAACCATGAGAAGCTGGAAGAAGCAAAGAAGGATTCTCCTCTAGGGCCGTAGGAAGGATGGGGGCCCTGCTAACACCTTGATTTCAGACTTCTAGCCCCATTATCTATGAAATAATAACTTTTTATTACTTCAAGCCACTTAGTTTGTGGTAATTTGTTATGGCAGTCCTAGGAAACCAATAGAATATTCTTCTTATTCTGATGCTAAACTAGACATTTAAGGACAAAGACAAATAGATTAAGCCATTAAGCAGCATCCTCTCAGAAGTTATGTCTTCTTTATGAGAGGGTATATTGTGTGCTGCACATTTGAAATAGAATTTGAACTCAACTGTCTCTTCCGTGGAGGAGACTGCTTCTGTTTGCCAGTTCAATGGGCCTGGATGGGATCTAGGTATCTGCATTTAAAGAAATATCATTAGATTCAGATATAGAACACCCAGTTGGAAGGCGAGAGAGATCCAAGAAAAGCGAAATGCTTTTCATCATGCATGGCCTTTTCTCATTGGACTGCTCTTCTCTCAGGGCTTCCCTGCAGGGAAAGAGGTACCGAATTTTTCGGACCATAAGACGCACTTTTTCCCCCCCAGAAGTGGGGGGAAAAAGTCCCTGCGTCTTATGGTCCAAATATAGCCTACACATATACTTTAAAAAAAAAGTTTTTTTACTTGCCCGGCTCTGTGTGGTCTCTGTGTGCTTGCCCGGCTCTAAAATGGTTCCAAATGCTGCTGTTTACTTTACAGAGTTGATTACATGTGTTTATGACTGTGATGTTGGGTTTTAATGCACATAAAATATTTTAGGACACTATTTGTTTCAGAATCTTTTTTTCTCCATTTCCCTTCTCTAAAAACTGGTGCGTCTTATGGTCCGAAAAATACGGTATTCCAAGGCTGGCGCTGCATGGAGGCTACTCCATGCTTCATTCTTAGGAAGGCCTCAAGTCCCAGGCCATCCTCTCCAGTCCTTAGAAAGAAACAGTGTCTTCCTTTTTGTACTGTTTTCCTTGAGCTGATCTTTCCTTGGTTCTTCTCACTCCCAGAACAAACAGAAGAGTTCAAGGACAGATTAAGAAGGGCCCTTAGGTGAGAGCTGACAAATGGGCGAACTTTGAGTTGAGGTCTTTAAGCTGTAAAGGTATAGTGCAGTGGTCAGCAAACTGCGGCTCGCGAGGCACATGTTGCTCTTTGGCCCCTTGAGTATGGCTCTTCCACAAAATACCACGTGCGGGCGTGCATGTACAGTGTGATTGAAACTTCGTGGCCCATGGGCAGAAGTCGGTTTTTGGCTCTCAAAAGAAATCTCAATCATTGTACTGTTTCTATTTGGCTCTGTTGACTAATGAGTTTGCTGACCACTGGTATAGTGAGTTTATTTTGTGACTTAACCTATTGAGCATAAGTCTAGCTAAAGCCTTAGCTAAATAATATCTATATTGCCAGTTTTATCCTTTGCATGCCCATGACCTTTTATTTAGAGGGTGCTTTATCAGTTATCGTGATATTGGTTAGTGTGCATAGACAATTGTTTTTCTGTCCTCTCCAAGAAATATAGTTTTCTTCCTGATTTACACAGAAAGTGCTTACTATCTTCTCTTCACCCTGCCCCTTTCTCCTCTTCCCCTACTCTCCTCACCACTTACCCAGCGAGATGAATTATTAGCATCTTCCCTGCTCAGTCATAGCTTGGCACTGCTGGAACCATTTGTTTCAGCGATGGCATGTAATCTGACACTTCCACTTATGACAGTTAAGCTCACAAGCAAACACTGTAATCTTACTATAGAAATATAAAAGTTCTGGTACAGATATTCTGAGCCCTCTTAGGGTATATGCAGGTGGGTACTGACCAAGAGGAACAGAAAGTTCGCAGCGAGGGGCAGGGCCGCTCCAGATGCCTTTCCCTTGACTGTCACTTGTGCAGCGGATGGTGCGCTCCCCAGTGAGATTGAATGTCATCCCTCTGCCTGGGTGGGGGTCACATGTATAAGATATTTCCATTCCATAGGGAATGTCTCTGAGAGAAGTTCCTGTATGGCTTCCATTAAGGATGGCAGGGGGATCTCGACAAAAGATTTCTAGAAAGAAGACAAGAGCCATAAATTATATTAAAATGTTTAATCTGATTTGATTCTACATGTATGATACGATGACTGCATTGCCAATTAAAGAACAAGTAAGCTGAGACCGGTTTGGCTCAATGGATAGAGCGTCGGCTTGGGGACTGAAAGGTCCCGTGTTCGATTCCGGTCAAGGGCATGTACCTTGGTTGCGGGCACATCCCCAGTAGGGGGTGTGCAAGAGGCAGCTGATCGATGACTCTCTCTCATCGATGTTTCTAACTCTCTATCTCTCTCCCTTCCTCTCTGTACAAAATCAATAAAATATATTAAAAAAAAATAAAAAAAATAAAGAACAAGTAAGCTCTTAGGAAGCATATGAACTGTAAAATAAATATATTATCTTGAGGACTAATTATCAAATCCTCTACCGAGATTCAGTTCAATTACAAGACACCTAAATGAACTTGTATGCATTCATATAAGCATAACCAATGGACACAAGACACTGGGGTTGGGATGGGGGTATGAGGTAAGAGAGGCCAGGGGGAGGCCATGGGGGGAAAAAGGAGTCATATATACTACTATTTGTAATACTTTAAACAGTAAAATAAATTTTTTTAAAAGATACCTAAATCAATGCTATTACAGAAGTCCAAAAGAAGTTTTAGCAACCTGAACTCTTCAGAGAGTTAAGACTTCTGGATAATTGAAAGCTTATTCATTTAAAGTAAAAAAAAAAAAAAAAAAAAAAAAAAAAGATGCTGCCTATGACCTTTCTTTCCTCCCCTTCATTCTTCCTTTAACTCATTCCAATCAAGCACATGCTCCCAAAACTCTACTAAAACTGCTTTTGTCAAGGTCACCCATTACCTCCAAGTCATTAAACCTACTGGTAATTTTCTGTCCTCATCTTATTTTTGACTTCTCTGTAGAATTTGAAAGGATTGCTTGGTCTCATCTTCTTAAAATCATTTCTCTGCTTGGCTTCCAAAGATACCCTCATCTTCCTGGTTCTTCTCTTAAAGCACCGGCTGCTTTCTCATCCCTTCTACTGATTCCTCATATTGCTGAGTGCTCAATGTTGGGTTTCGGAGGCACCACCCATGCATCCGCTCTATGGACACATTCGCCTACTATGCGACCTCACTTAGTCTCTACTTTAATCTCTATGTGTAAACCACCAGCACATTCTGTCATTTCTACCTTCTGGATGCATCCAGAATTTGAGTACTTCTTACCACCTTTCCCACTGCTATTCTAGACTAACATTTCTGATTACACTTTAACAGTAGCTTCCTAGTTTGTACTATCAGATTTTCTTGGCTATACCTGACTTTTTGGCCCCTCGGCTATTCACTCTACACCAGCTACATAAGCTTCCAAGAAAATGTTAGAACAGGCTTTTTAAAGGAAATTCCAAGAAAATATCTGCCTTGGGTCTTTCTTTGCACTTCCTGTTCCATCTGAATGGAATGTTCTTCCTCCATGTAATTCACATTGGCATCAGCTAACTGCTGCCAATGCTTAAATGTTACTCCCTTCTTAAGGACTTCCTTAATTGCCTTACTTAAAATAGAAACATTAATCATTTTTTTGGCATTCCTTATTCCCATTCCCATAACTATTCTATTCATTACCTTGTTTTTCCCCTTTAATAACACTTAGTGTTATTTGAACTTACTTATCCATGTGCTTCCTTGTCTATTTTTTTTTAATTCTTTCTTCCTATCCAAGAATATAGACAAAAGGGGGCAGGGACCTAGTGTATCTTGTTTGCAGGCATAGTCCTGGTGTCTAGAAGACTGTTTGGCCATAGCAAGTGCTAAAAAATAATATATGGATGAATAGGCGATTTAGAAAAGGATAGAAAAGCTGAAATGTGACTGTCACTTTTACCAGGGAAAAAAAGGGAGAATTTGACAAAACTTCAGGCCACAAATTTCTCTCCATCTATTATACAAAGCATTTCTCCCCATGTATAGCACATATCGATAGTATGCTACTAAATATTGTTGGATGGTACCCAAAACACATGATGCTCAGGTTCATTTACCCCAAAAGCATTCTTTTTAACTAACACACAAAGAAATATTTCTATCAAAAATGAAGATAAACAGAGAAGCAGACACTTGATAATCTCATGAGGCAAAATCTCGGTAAGAAAATAGAAAGAAAAAGTGAGAAGAAGAAGAAGGAGAAATATTCAGACCTGAGCACTTATCCCTTCTACTCACGTTCGCACACAGGAGCGCTGTTATTCCAAAGGCTCTTCATTCCAACCAGGACACAGTGACTAGTAGGACTTCCCTGTAAGTGAAACCTAAGGGACAAAAGCAGGAGTGACGGAGTGAGCGTACCCTTTCTCTCTTCCCTTCATGGTCAGATCTCAGCTCCTTCCTTTCTCCTAAAATACAGTGTAATTCCTCAGTTAAACCCCCAGTGGAAAAGCTCAGCTCGTTTGGTTTCTTGGGATACAGGCTCAGAAAGCAGAACATTTTGAAAAATGGTAACCTCTACTCACTGAGTAAAAGTCCTGTCCCAAAGAAGGAACAAGAAACAGGCAGGCATTTTCCTGACCCGGCCCCAGGCCTCCAGGAGGCCGTCTTTCCCCGACTGCTCTGATAGCTCGCTTGTTGTCATCAACAAGGAGGAAGTTTTTCCTCTGACACGAAATGTAGCGTTTTCTTTTCTTAATGAACCAGAAGGACACAGCTCCTGATTCAGATGGGCAAATCATAGAACGGGAGGGAAGATATCAGAGACTGTACTTTGCACCAGTATACTGGGAATATTCCTAAATGACATTTATGGCATATGTGGATTATTGAAGAGCAGAGCCAAAATAACAAAACAAAACAAAAGAGGAAAAAAAAGGAAAAGAAGAAGAAGAAGAAGAAGAAGAAGAAGAAGAAGAAGAAGAAGAAGAAGAAGAAGAAGGAGGGAGTTCAGGATTCCTTAGAGCATAATTATCCTAAAACATCTGGTTTCTTTTCAGAATGTTGGTCTCCTGAATGGCCTCCGGATCTTCATGGAATGACTGTTACTTAATGACTGTCCAGGAATCCTTATAATTGTTAACCCCGATAATGAATGCACCTGTTGAAGAGGGGTCTATCCAGGTCACACTCACCCCTCATCACAAACGAAGGACACTCTGGCTCCAAGCTGGAAGTTCAGTGGGAGGAGCACACGGCCATTAGGAAGTTGGTCCCTGAAGGCAGCACATGATCTCACTGGAGAGAAACAAATGAGGAGTGAGACTGCCATGGGAGGTGCAGAGACATTCATCTGCCAAAAGTGGGGGGGGGGGGGGGGGAGGGTGGGCACCTGCGCAGATGGGGGCGGCTGGGCTCCAGGCTCCCTGGGGCGAGCAGCGCAGAGAGGCAGCCCCTCTGAGGTCATAGCCAGGCTCACAGCTGTAGAGCACTTCCTGCCCAGGAGCAAAGCTGTCCTTGTCGCTGGGGCTGTGCTGGCCATGCAGGATCTCTGGAGGCCGCTGACAAACTGGGGAAAGAGCAGGCACAACGCTCCTGTCAGTGATATATTCTTTGCTAAATCTTAACTCTTCCAAGGAGTCAGGAACTCATAAGTAGAGGGTTCCCGTCTAACAAAGGGCCTGACACATGTGCATTCTATTCCTGGCATGCGATTTGGATGATTTCTTCAACCTCTGAAAGACCAAGCTAATGTCACAGTCAGATAGATAATAGCCCTCTTTCTTTCTTTCTTTCTTTCTTTCTTTCTTTCTTTCTTTCTTTCTTTCTTTCTTTCTTCTTTCTTTCTTTTGTTTAGTAAATGTATATTTTATTGATTTTTTACAGAGAGAAAGAGAGAGGGATAGAGAGTTAGAAACTTCGATGAGAGAGTAACATCGACCAGCTGCCTCTTGCACACCCCCTACCGGGGATGTGCCCGCAACCAAGGTACATGCCCTTGACAGGAATCGAACCTGGGACCTTTCAGTCTGCAGGCCGATGCTCTATCCACTGAACCAAACCAGTTTCAGCGAGAATAGCACTCTTTCAAAAAAGGACTGTCAAGGGCTGTTGAAAGGATGCACAGACAGTACTCATTACACAGCTGACCAGAAGGCTCAAACCCTTCTCTCTGACTGAGAGCTGGTGCTTTGCCCTGAGAACTGCTCAGGAGGAGCATCCCAAACGCCCCCTTCCCTGATGAATTATGTTCTTGCTTCTCAGGATGAAGGCACACCCACAGGAGTGCAGGCACCCACACCCCTTCTTCCTTTCATGCTTCCTGCATCACCCCTAGAAAATGTACTCACCCTGCTCCCCACACATCTCCCTCCCAGAACAAACACTGAACTGGGGGTCCTCCCACAGCTCCCGGCACCCACAGCCCCCCACCCCCACCCCCGAGCCTCAGTCAGACTCACCCCGGGAGCAGCTGGGCAGCTCGGGCCCCCATCTGTTCTGGGGCTGGCAGCGCACACGGGATGGACCTTTCATGGCAAAGCCAGGCTGACACCGAAAGCTCACGACTTCATTTAAGAAGAACAAGCTTCTGTTCTCAGACTCCCTGATGGCATTCTCCACGTGCGGAGGCGTGCACTTGTTAGGTATGATGCACTGAGGGGCGGGGCCGCTCCAGTGGCCCACTTGACCTGTGCTGGTGCAATATATGGACCTCCCGCCCACCAGTTCAAACTTTTCTCTTCCAATCCCAGGTTTGCAGCGATAGGTCACCACTATTCCGTAAGGAAAATAGTCTCTGCTGTTGCTGATGAAATCTCCGTTGTCGATGGTTGGTGGTGGCTTACAATGAATACCTGGAGAAGGGATAGCAAGTTAAACAAAACCTCAATTTCTTAAAGTCATATCTTATATAATAAAAGGGTAATATGTAAATTTACCCTAATGGCAGAAGGACCTGGAATGATCAGTTGCGATGATGTGCACTGACCACCAGGGGGCAGACGTTCAATGCAGGAGCTGCCCCCTGGTGGTCAGTGCGCTCCCACAGGGAGAGCTCTGCTCAGCCACAAGCCAGGGTGATGGCTGTGAGCACAGTGGCAGTGGTGGAAGCTTCTCCTGCCTCCTGGACAGCACTAAGGATATCTGACTGTAGGAAGTGGGCCTAAGCTGTCAGTTGGACATCCCTCGAGGGTTCCCAGGTTGCCAGATGGATGTCTGAGCGCCAGTTTAGGCCCTATCCCCTTGGGAGCAGGCCTAAGCCGGCAGGTGGACATTCCCTGTGGGGTCCCGGACTGAGAGTGGACGCAGGTGGGGCGGAGGGACCCCCCCAGAGTGCACAAATTTTCGTGCACTGAGCCTCTAGTTTAATTATAAATGTTAGTAACCAGTTTTTAAAAAGCCCAAATTACCAAATACAAATATTTATAACCCTTGGGCTCTTGTCAAATCTTTTCTAACATACAGACTTTATGTACAATTGTAGATTCTGTAATCACAATACTATGGCTCCTGCTCTTCTCTATGAACATTAGTTTAATAAATGTCGATATACAGTCCACATGCTTCTCATGTTATGTGAGGACTTTTATGTTCCTTCACTATTCTTAATTCAGTTCTCTTGCTATAGAAGTAATTCAGCTATATTCTACTGCTGAGTAATATGATGTAGCATACATATAGCTTCTTTATCAAATAAATAAGCACAAAAAGCTCTTGCCCAGTTAACAAAAATATGCAATATTGCACATGACACAATAATCATGGATTCAGAAGTAATAAAAATAACTGAATATATGTGCTAGTGACTAGTCTATGCTAAAAATTTAGAAAATATAGATATAAGAGATAGAGATATTTTTGTCAATATTGACTCAGGAAATGGTAGAAGATAGAAGTGGGAAAACGTATCAAAAATGCTACTCCTAAAAAGATAGGAAGCACAGATAATTTTATAGACAAATACAGTCTAATATTTAAGTATCAGATAACTCCTAGATATTTAAAAGAATTCCTGAGCATACAAAATCTTTCTACCGTATAGTAGGAACATTTATTTATTTTTACTTTTAAGAAAAGACTTCAGATTATATTTTCCTGCAGAAAATTTATGAAATAAATAAAAAAAACCTTTAAATCTATTATCTATCAAGAAACACTGTTAACTGTTTAATGTATAATTTTAACATACATTTTTTTCTAAAATATCTTTGTTGGCTTAATAATATTTCAGTGTAAGAATGTTCTATCTCATTCCATTTGGAAGAGCTGTCTTTCTTGGCTAATACATTCATTCTGGTATATTTTAAACTTTATTTTTTTCTTGCAGAACACATGCTTTGTTCCTTTAAATTTTTCAATATATGTATATTTATTGAGTTGGAAATAATGTGCATATGCAAAATACTAATGTATTAAGTACTTTAAAAACAGGTAAACAGAAATGTTTAAAGCACAAAATAAAACTAAATATATTCAGAGATTGTATTTTCTTCCTAATTTCCAAAGGATCATCTCACTCCTGTTTGGATAACATTATTTTTGAAACATTGTTTGAAATATGCTCAACATTTATATTGTTTTTGGCTTTTTCACTATCACAAACAATAATGTAGGTAAGAGGGGGAAAACATGGTCATTATTTTTTAAAGGATAAATCAGAAAATGTCAAATGTCTCAATGAAAGGCATGTATACAGTTAAGGGTTTTGACATCTATTGTATATTGGCCTTTTAGAAAGTTTGTTCCCACTTATCCTATTAGCAGTTGTTTGTGAGAGTGTTGATTTCTTCACATTGCCACCAAACACAGGGCTGTATCCCCTTTACATTCTTGGCTAATTTGTGATTGCTCATTGCTCTTCCTACCCAAAGTGTAGGAAGCTCATATTCCAAACAACTCCCAAGAAGACAGCATGCCACTGTTCAAAGAATAGGAAGGAAGGGAGACAGCCACTGCTTCGGTATATGACCCGATGCTAAGAGTGGGCAGAGAGGAAGCTGGGCTACTTTCACTAACTTTGTGTTTGTTTACTTCAGCGAAGAGAGTGATCTTCAAATGGGAAGTGCTCAACCAAGAAAGGAGGAAGTTGGGGGCTGTTTTAAATTATACCCCAAGATAAGGGAAATCCAGGAGGAACTAGAAGTCTGGAACACTGTGAACACTTTTCAGAATAGGACTCTTTTCGGAAGGATACCCTTGCCAAGATGGATGAGATGGAGTCTTCCTAATTCTCGGGGCACACCGCTAGGATGAACTGGTGGGATGGACGGGAAGAGATGTTAACTCACGTTGACAGACTGGTGGCTCCCTATCCCAAATGGCAGTATTGCTTGAGAGGATACATTTGACAGATGAGTGACCTATGAGTTGATACCTAAAAGCAAAAAGTGAAAATTATTCCATCCACCTCCCATGAGCTTCCTCACAGCACGCATACCTGGCAGATTCGCCAGAGTACAATCTGGGTGAAGCCTACGGTATGGCCCAAACTCCACGTATTCTATCTGTGTTTTCTCATTTCTCTTTTCCTACCCTCTGATGATTGAGAGGGATATTTCACCTTTAATTCCTCAGGGCAATACCCTGCTTCTTAATTTTTGGCTTCATTGTGGATTGTATGAGAACCAAAATAAAATAATTCGCTTGTAGAACTGTTTGCTAATTTCTTAAATCCTGTTATATTCTCATATTATTTTTGTCATTTTAAAACTTATTTGCATTTTCCTGATATACACATATAATGAACACTGTTATGTAATTTTAATTTAGGCAAGTTTCTTGTTAATACCATGTTTGATGCTTTTAATCCCATTTAGAAGCCATTGTCTTTCAATAGGAAGATGAAACCATTCAGATCTACTGAATTAAATGGTATTTTTGATCTTGCTTTTGTCTTCATTAGTTAGACTACTGGCTTCATAGTGTCCAAAGATGAAGATGCAGCAATGAATAAAACACATCTGCCTCAGACAGGAGGGACTTGTTTTGGCAGAAGAGACAGATATATCCCTTATTGTTCCCTTTTCCTCTTTCTTATTTTCTGCAGTATAGGAACCAGATAGGTGAACCTCTTTTAGGTATTCTATTAATTGGGAAGTTAATTATTATCCAATTTTATTCCATTAGAAATTTCATTTCATGTGCATATATAGTGTAATTACTCAGCACATATATTAAACCTATTTTCTCAATTTTAATGTCAAAATATATATATACTTTACTCATTCCCTTTGTAATATAAGTCTATTCTGCAAATCTTGACCCAAGAAATGTTATTGTCAACTCACCCTTCATTACAAGAATAATTAATGCTGGACCCAATATGGATGTCTGTGTTAATGTGCACCATGCCATTCTTAGGCTCTGCAGGAGTTTTACATACTTTGCCTGTGGAAAAGAAACAGCATTTTGGAGCCAGGTAGAATAATCTGAATTTTTGTAGTACAGAAGGTCCCAGTGTGACTGTAACTTACTAAAGAGTACATGAAATTCTGATGGTTCCACAAATTTTTGCCTCATCAGACTGTGCAAGTTCAGTCACGATCTAAGTACCACTATAAAAAAGATCTCCCACCTACATCTGTCTTATATGTACCTCAAATTGCTCATCAAAATATAGAGGTTAATTATAACCTTATATCCTACCAGTATAATTTTTTTCCTTCCTGGTTATTAAAACAGTATACACTGAGTAGCCAGATTATTATGATCTCTGAACACATAATAATTTGGCCACTTAATATATATCCTATATAATAAAAGACGAATATGCAAATTGTCCCCTCGACCAGGCGTTCAACCAGCAGGCAGGCTGGCTAACCACCCATGTCCCCTTCCCCTGGCCAGCTGGCCGGACCTCACCCATGCATGAATTCATGCACTGGGCCTTTAACATATATATATATATATATTATACACTGAGTGGCCAGATTATTATGCGTTCAGAGATCATAATAACCTGGCCACTCAGTGTATGACTCCTTACATTTTTTTTCCTGGTCTGAAGTTGTTCATTACTTACTTTCCCATAAATAAAAAAAAGGTCCCCCCCACCCCTGCAAATATTTATTAAAACAGTTCATGAAATAAACATTTCAACTAATAATTAGGGATGACCTACAACACCAACTCTTATGTCCACCTACCTGGACATTTTTGAGAAGCAAGGTTTTCTTATCTCTAAAATTTGTAAAAGTTGAAGAAGATCCCATGGAGAGTTCGATAGATAGGGGAAGCTCCAATACAGGTTTTACTCACGTTTACAGACATTCTGGGCACCTGACCACTCCAAGTTGCCTTGACACCTGATAAGGAATGGCCTCCGGTAGTACTCAGGGCCGCATTCATACTTTAAAGATGTCCCAATACGAAATAAAGATTCATTGGTTTGGGTTTTCAACTCAGCAAACGGAAAATGATCTGGAGCATTACAGTAACCTAAAAACCAAGATATCAATAACAGCAGATTTAACATAAAGATACCCAATTCTTTCCCTCCCTCCTTCCCTCCCTTCCTTCTCTCTCTCTCTCTCTCCTCACACATACTCACTCCCTCTCTCTTTCATTAGATTTGATGCCAGAACAAAAGAAAGTTTTAGTTCTGGAAAGATAATTTCATTGTAATTTTGGGAGGGAAAGTTCCACTAGCACCAGCCCATTAGAAAATATACTATCTGGAAAACTATTCTGCTATCTGGTTATATTGCTCATATAATTTGCTGTCAAAGACAATTTCAATTCAATTTTTCACATTTTTAGGGAGCCAAAAAGAGTTCTTCCGCTCAGGTCCCACCATTTCTGTCTGGATGCACGAGATCGTGGGCCAAAAAGGAAATTTTCTTGTACTTCAGTGAATCAAAGCCCCAATGGAGGTTTCACAAGCATGAAAGGAGAACTCAAGGTATTTCTTGACACTAGGAAGGGGCCACCAATTTTGTAGGTCTGATTCCTAAGTAAGCTGTTTTAACACAAGAAGAAAATAAGTAGCATTTCCTTAAAATGAAACAAACAAAACTACACTTATTATTATAAGAAAACATTTGTTTGTGTAAGTGTGAAATATTAATAAATCAAATTCTAGCTTTAGCTCCATGCTCTTGTGGCCTATTAGATTTAGGGTCAAATAATGTGAATCCAAAACAGCACAAAGCTTGGAAAAAATAGAAATCATATGCACTTGGTTTTGGCAATCCCTTCTATTTTAGCTTCTCTTTCAGCTGCCATCCACCTTCTTTCGCGTTATTTATTAAATAGTTATGGCTAGACGACAGCCAGTTCTGCACCCAGAACATTTTCTGTTGGAGGATTTGCAAACCAATTTCTCATCTCTTAAAAACAATTCACTGATTTTTCTCAATATAAAATGTGGCTTATTTGCAAAGTTTTTTAAATAAGAAATGTATTCATCTATATTACTGTTTAGTTTTATCTTACAGCTTAAATATCAACTCTACTAGCTTCTAGATCAAAAAGGACTGAAATTTACCATGAAGGCCAAAACACACGAAAGTAGCCTGGCAGGTCTCCAGTCTAAAAATCTAGCCGATAAAACTAAAGTTGCCATCTTAGATAGGTTTCTAACGAAACCTCTAAAAATCATAAAACTTAAGAGAAGATTGTGTCTTGTTATTGGTTCAGTAAATATGGACTAGGTTTCTACACTGGTAAACAAGCTTAAATGTGTATCCCAAATGGAAGCTCTGGTGAGAGAGAAGGAGAGTAGGACTGATTGGAATGACTTCTGAGTGATTGGAATGACTTCTGTCTGGCTGGGGATCACATGGTCCTTTTCCTCTTATTTTTAAATATAGTTTTTATTGATTTCAGAGAGGAAAGAAGGAAGATAGAGAGATAGAAACATCCATGATGAAAGAAAATCATTGATTGGCTGCCTCCTGCATGTCCCCGGGGATCGAGCCTCCAACCCAGGCATGGAATCAAACCTGGGACCCTTTAGTCCACAGGTTGATGCTCTATCCACTGAGCAAAACCAGCCAGGACGGTCCTTTTCCTTTTAAAATTGTTATTTTCTCTCAGACTTTCCCAGTGTTCAGTATATAATGCCCCTTCTACAATTTAATTTTTCCTTCCCTTATTCACTCCCTCAATGTTGATATCTCAGGGGGGTTGGGTGTCTTAGGAAACCTTCTCCAGACCTTAGAAACACACACAGTCTTTATTTTTTGAGTTTTCCTTTTCCTTTTCTTTCCACCTCAGTGAGAAGATTTCAAAAACTAAAATAACTGGAGGCAAAGGAGCAAATAAACCTTATTTTAATTTAGAGCTTAGCCCAAATTGGCTGTAGTTCGTCTACAATGCAACTCGGTTTTCACGGAGAATGCACAGGGGTCTTGGGCCAAATGGGTAATAAAAAGTGATTTTGCCTGTCCTTATACTCTACTGACCTGTGCTTCCCTCCAGAAACTGTAGATGGCATAACTTATGCTAATTAAAGGCCATAGGTGTTTGCTTTTACTTTCTATGCTTTGAATACATTTTTCTTACAATGCTAGTTATAATTAGAACTACCGCTCACCATCTTCTCTTTTCACCAACTCTCTAGCAACAAAAGTTATCAGATGCTTACATGTTAACACATCTTAAAATCATTTATAACTGATTTTGCATTTAATTGTTTCAAGTGCACAAATTAGCAGGATGCTATAATTAGAAGATTCTGGAAGTTCTAGATACTTCTAGATTCATTTGGGATGTGGCGTAGTATGTACTAACCTGGATATCGACAGCGAGGACCACGGCCACTCCAGATCCCCTTCCCTTGACTGTCGCTTGTGCAGCGGATGGTGCTCTCCCCAATGAGATGGAAGCCCATCCCTTTGTCTGGACGGGGATCACATGTGTAAGTTACTTCTTTTCCAAAAGAAAAGATTTCTAGAGGTTTCCCTGTGTGTCTTCCATTGGGAATATCTGGAGGACTTGGACATACGATTTCTGGAAAGAACGTAAGAGCTGTTAGTTTCATTGAGGAGTTTTCACTAGAGGTAGTCTACGGGCATAGGTTAGTGCTACCTAGAAAACACCAATGACTGTATCTTTGTTGTCAGCCTTTGATGAGATGGGCTAAATGAAATAAGATTTTGATCTCATTGTTCATGGAAAAAGTATAAAAGAAATTTGCTTATCTTGAATCTTCCTGATAGTTAAGTCTTCTGGATAATAGAAACATACCACCCAAAACTTTGAAAAAAGAATAATAACCCTTTAAACCCTTAGAGGATAACTCATTCAACTACTTAATAAATATTACTTCAGCACAGACTCTGTGTCAGTCACTCATTGGAGCCTTGCAATATAGTGATCAAGAGTAAAAAGTCACTGTCCTCTAAGAAAGGTATTTTCAAGAAATATTTTGACAATGTATTCTATATGTACTAATCACCTTAAAGATGTGAAAATTTTCCTTGATAACTTATTGATACTGGCCACCAGTTTTGATTATGACAGTGTGCTGACACAATGAATTGAAGCCTCTGCAGTCACTATAAAAATTCTAAGCAACTCAGATTGCTTTGTTTTTTTTAAAATGTATGGATCTGTTTATGACTGAATTTTCTTCTTTACTTTCTGTCGGGCTTCAACTTGTTACCTCTTTCTAGTATCTGCTTATCTGTATAAAACGGTCCCCTCCTCACTTCTAATTGGTGTTTCTAACTAGGCTTGGTGTTTTGAGGAAGCTACGTCAATAGTAAGAGTTGTGAAAATAAGAAAGATGTCCAATCAATAACTGAGCTCTTGTGCATGCCAGTAGGACAGCCACTTATCATTCCCATCAAGAAACATTGGATAGTGATAACAGTATGTAAGCTATTTTTTCATAATTTTTTACTATAAATAGCACATTTTGATGTCTGAATAGATTTCTAGCAACATAAACACTGTAGTAAAATGTGATATATCTTTATATATCACATTTAATTTGCTTTATATCTTGGGGCTCCAGTGGCGTAATCGGTTAGCGTGCGGTACTTATAATTTGCTTTATATCTTGACAAAGATTATATATATATATAAATATAATCTTTGTCAAGATATAAAGCAAAATATTTTCTTTATTGGGCAAAATATAATTGGGTAGAACAGGTGAACTTAGTATTGACCCTACATATAGGAAACTCTTATTTTTAAATCCTCATTTGAGGATATGTTTTTATTAGAGAGAGAGAGAGAGAGAGAGAGAGAGAGAGAGAGAGAGAGAGAGAGAGAGAGAGAGAGGGAGAGAACAACAAAGAGAAAAACATCAATGTGTGGGAGAAACATCAATTGATTGCCTCCTATACACACCCTGACCAGAATGGAACCTGAAACCTTGGTATGTGCCTTGACTGGTAATCCAAGGTGCAACTTTTGGTGTATAGGACAATGCTCCAACCAACTGAGCCACCCAGCTGTGGCAGGAGACTCATGTTTTAAACAGATTACTTTTGAATCTTTCAACATAATTTATTTAAGTAAGTGTTTGGAGAGTTTAAGGCATCATAAACTGCTTACCCAATGTTCAGCCTGGCACTATAAGTTATGTGGCCAACTAACCGTCCTCCTTAGTTGGCCACATAACTTATAGTGCCAGGCTGAACTAAGAAGGCAGTAATGTTGCTCCCAACTTCTCCCTCATTCTTTCACTGCTCTGATCTACCACTTCCATAACATTTATTTGTTTATTGTTTTTCCTGACCATCTCCCTACTGGGGTATAAACAACATTGAGACAGGGCATTAACTTCTCCTTTTCACCGCTATAACTCTAGTACTTAGGAAAATACCATGCACATAGTAAATAAACAGTTGTTGGAATGAATGCATGTTTCATATTTACATGTTAGCAGTAGATAGAAAAAAATGTGGAGTGATTACATCCTGATATTAGAAAAAGAAAGAATTAGGAAAGGAAGGAAAGAAGAAAGGAAGAAAATTGTCAGAGCTTCACATCATTTAATCTCTCCTGAACTAGAGGCAAACTATTGCAGGATATATCACCTAGAGTGAAGAATTCAAAATAACAGAGACAGTGAAAATGGTTCCTAAAACACATAATGTACAATAGCATGCATCACAATAAATTGGTCATAAATGAACACTATTTTAAAAAGCAACTATCCCCCAATAATTCAAATTAGAAAATAGAAAAACCATATTGGGGTTGCCATATGTCAAAATACTAAATACATTAAGGGAGGAACTGTCCAAAAGTGTTATTCCTTCTACTCACGTTCACACACCGGGACACTGCTATTCCAGCGGCTCTCCATTCCAAGCAAGACACAATGGCTAGCAGAGCTGCCTTGTAGATGGAATCTAAAGAAGAAAATGGTAGTGCACAGGTGAGCTGTCTCAGTCTGCAAGAATCTGAGGCCCTGCCAAAAACCTCAGCATCCGAAACCACAGGTGGCAGAAGTTTGGAGGCCATATCGATCTGGACAAATCACAGCCTCCAGTTAGGGAGGACGGTTAGTTGGCCACATAACTTATAGTGCCAGGCTGAACTAAGAAGGCAGTCATTGTGTAGCAGCCATCTCCTTGATCCAGGACCCAGATTCTGAGAAGTGAATCTCTAGCTGATGATCCCATGATAAACCTGGTAAATGTCCTCGTCATATGGGATACCCAGTCTTCTAAGCAACGGACTCCTAATTCTCCTAACCCTGATACTGGGACAGCGAGTAAAACAGTTCCCAGTTGGGATGGAAGAAGCAGAGAGTCACTGGCTTTTTGTCTCTCTGGCTGTGAAGAAGGCACATTGGGCTATTGAGTAAGTTTGAGTATTCTAGGGCTGGGGTCAGCAAACCACGGCTTGCAAGCCACATGAAGCTCTTTTGCCCCTTGAGTGTGGTTCTTCCACAAAATACCACGGCCTGGGTGAGTCTATTTTGAAGAAGTGGTATTAGAAGTTTAAGTTTAAAAAATTTGGCTCTCAAAAGAAATTCCAGTCATTGTACTGTTGATATTTGGCTTTTGTTGACTAATGAGTTTGCCGACCACTGCTCTAGGGGAAGGAAAAAGAGGTCAGAAATGACTTTTGTATGTGATCATCCAGAATGGTCAATGCATGTGGGACCCCGATGGCTCCTAAATCTTAGTGGGTGCTGTCACTGGGTGCCTGCCAGGGTTTTTTGAAACAGTCTAAGGTCAGGTGCTTCTTTGCTCACACTGGATCCTTCCCATGCAGAGATGAGTACACTAGGACGAGCACCAGGCTAATGAACAATGTCCTTACCTAAAACGTTCACCAGCCAATGTGACCCATTTCAGAGCCCCAGGCACATCACCAACCAGAAGATACATGCTTAGATTAAAATACCCATTCTTATGCTTTTACTCTTATCACAAATCTTTCTTTTGATGGTGAAAAATGACTTAAATAATCTTAATTATTTTTAGTAAACTTCTTTTCACATATCACATTTTTCGTGGGACTCTCCAAATTACTCTTCTTCTTTTCTGCTTGGAAATATTATTTTATTTAATTAATGCATCACATATATATTCATAAACTGTCCTTGTGCTTGTCTTTATACCTGCCATTTCATCTATGTCCCAATTTTTCCTTCATATCGCATGCTATTTTTTCATCTGTTCCTTACTCTTACTTTTCTTACATGCTTCCAAGATGCAATCCACTGCATTAATTTTTTAGCCACACCAATCCTCCCCTTTTTGAATTAACTTATAACTCCAAATGTAGTGTCCAGGGAGCCAGGCAGGCTCACACTCACCCCTCATCACAAACGAAGGACACTCTGGCTCCAAGCTGGAAGTTCAGTGGGAGGAGCACACGGCCATTAGGAAGTTGGTCCCTGAAGGCAGCACATGATCTCACTGGAGAGAAACAAATGAGGAGTGAGACTGCCATGGGAGGTGCAGAGACATTCATCTGCCAAAAGTGGGGGGGGGAGGGGGAGTGAGGGTGGGCACCTGCGCAGATGGGGGCGGCTGGGCTCCAGGCTCCCTGGGGCGAGCAGCGCAGAGAGGCAGCCCCTCTGAGGTCATAGCCAGGCTCACAGCTGTAGAGCACTTCCTGCCCAGGGGCAAAGCTGTCCTTGTCGCTGGGGCTGTGCTGGCCATGCAGGATCTCTGGAGGCCGCTGACAAACTGGGGAAAGAGCAGGCACAAGGCTCCTGTCAGTGATGGGGAATATTCTTTGCTAAATCTTAATTTATCCAAGGAGTCAGGAACTCATAAGTAGAGGGTTCTGGTCTAGCAAAGGGCCTGACGCACATGCATTCTATTCCTGGCCCATGATTTGGATGATTTCTTCAACCTCTTAGAATTCAGTGTTTCCCAAACTAGCTTGGAATACTACTAGTTAAGTATACAATTTTACCTATATGTTCCCAAAAATTCTAGTTTAGCACAGTTTAGTTGGGATTCAGGAATCTGTAGTTTAACAACTCCACCAGGTGATTCTCATCATGAGAGAAGTTTGGGAAACACTGATAAGAGAATAGCATCTTTCAAAGGAAGATTATCAAGAGCTGATAGAGGATGCACAGACAGTACTCATCACACAGCTGACCAGAAGGATCACAGCCTTTTTCTCTCTGACTGAGGGCTGGTGCTTTGCCCTGAGAACTGCTCAGGAGGAGCATCCCAAACGCCCCCTTCCCTGAAGAATTATGCTCTTGCTTCTCAGGATGAAGGCACACCCACAGGAGTGCCGGCACCCACACCCCTTCTTCCTTTCATGCTTCCTGCGTCATCCCTAAAAGACGTAATCACACTGCTCTCCACACATCTCCCTCCCAGAACAAACACTAAACGGGGTCCTCCCACAGCTCCCGGCACCCGAAGGCCCCCCCGGAGCCTCAGTCAGACTCACCCCGGGAGCAGCTGGGCAGCTCAGGCCCCCATCTGTTCTGGGGCTGGCAGAGCACACGGGATGGACCTTGCATGGCAAAGCCAGGCTGACACCTGAAGCTCACGACTTCATTTAAGAAGAACAAGCTTCTGTTCTCAGACTCCCTGATGGCATTCTCCACGTGCGGAGGCGTGCACTTGTTAGGTATGATGCACTGAGGGGCGGGGCCGCTCCAGTGGCCCACTTGACCTGTGCTGGTGCAATATATGGACCTCCCGCCCACCAGTTCAAACTTTTCCCTTCCAATCCCAGGATTGCAGAGATAGGTCACCACTATTCCGTAAGGAAAATAGTCTCTGCTGTTGCTGATGAAATCTCCGTTGTCGATGGTTGGTGGTGGCTTACATTGAATTTCTGGGAAAAGAGAAAGCCATTGAAATAACAATGAGTTGAAGTAATTACTTAGAGCAATCCAAATGTCACTAAATGGTTATGATTTTTACACTAATTTGCTTTTCATCTTTGTTTACAGGTAGATTAAGTTTTCCAAAGTTGTAATTTATGTGGGCATAATGAAAAGCATAATTCTTCTTTATCTACTTAGATTATTTCCTATGAACATATGCATATAGTAATACAATTCACATTCTTTACATTACAAATAACTCTTTGATAATATTATACCATAGTTTACACAGTTTTCCTCCTACTCTTTTCCAACTGCCTTCTTAATTTTCATTTTTGTTATGAGACCAGTATAGCTTTAAAAAATAAAATCAAAATACCCTTATTAATAATAATTTTTTTAAAAAAATATAAGGAGAAAAAGCTAAATGAGTTAATCACCACCAAACTAGTATAAAATAAAATGTTGAAGGGTGTTCTTTAAGAAGAGGAAGAAGAAGAAGAGGGAAAAGAAAAAAAAAGATAAAAATATGAACAATAAAATGGCAACAAATACATATCTATCAATAGTTAAATCTAAAAATCAAAATAAATGAACTACAAAAGCAATACCTTTTACCATTGCACCAAAAAAATTAAGATACTTAGGGATAAACTTAAAGAGGTAAAAAACCTATACTCAGAAAACTACAGGACTCTGAAAAAAGAGATAGAGGAAGACATAAACAATGGAAGAACATACTGTGTTCATGGGTTGGTAGAATCAACATCATTAAAATGTCCATACTACCCAAAGTGTTCTACAGATTCAATGCACTCCCCTTTAAAATATCAATGGCATTTTTCACAGACCTAGAACAAACTCTCCAAAAATTCATCTGGAATAAAAAAGGACCCTGAATAGTTGCAGCAATTCTGAGAAAGAAGAACAAAGTAGGAGGGATCTCAATACCAGATTTCAAGCTGTATTACAAAGCCACTGTTCTCAAAACTGCCTGGTACTGGCACAAGAACAGACACATAGATCAATGGAATAGAATAGAGAGCCCAGAAATCAACCCAAACCACTTTGCTCAATTAATATTTTACAAAAGAGGCAAGAACATATAATGGCATCAATATAGTCTCTTCAATAAGTGGTTTTGAGAAAATTGGACAGATACATGCAAAAAACAAAAACAAAACAAAAAAACACATGAAACTAGACTACCAACTTACACCATATACAAAAATAAGCTCCAAATGGATAAATGACCTAAACATAAGACAGGAAACCATAAAAATACTAGAGGAATCTACAGGCAACAAAATCTCAGACATATGCTGAAGCAATTTTTTCACCAATACAGCTCCTAGAACAATGGAAGCTAAAGAGAAAATAAACAAATGGGACTAAATCAAAATAAAAAGCTTCTGCACAGTAAAATGAACCATCAGCAAAACAACATGAAAGCCCACTGCATGGGAGAACATATTTACCAATCTTAGCACCAATAAGAGTTTAATCTCCAACATTTACAGGGAACTCAAACAACTTAACAAAAGAAAAATAAACAATCCAATAAAAAAAATGGGCAATGGACCTAAATAGATATTTTCCAAAAGAAGATATAAGGAAGGCCAAGAGATAGATGAAAACAGGCTCAGAGTCACTAATCATCCAAGAGATGCAAATCAAAATAACAATGTGGTACCATCTCACACCTGTCAGAATGGCTATCATCAACAAATCAGCAAACAACCACTGCTGACAAGGATGTGGAGAAAAAGAAACTCACATGCACTGCTGGTGGGGATGCAGACTGGGGCAGCCACTGTGGAGAACAGTATAGAGTTTCCTCAAAAACTAAAAATGGAACTCCCATTTGACCCAGTGATCCCACTTCTAGGAATATATCCCAAGAAACTAGAAAGGATATTGGTATCAGAAAGGATATATGCAGCCCTATGTTCATAGCAACACAATTCACCACATCTAAGATTTGGAAACAGCCTAAGTGCCCATCAGAAGGTGAATAGATTAAAAAACCGTGGTACATCTACACAATAGAATACTATGCTACAGTAAAAAAGAAGGAATCCTTAACCATTGGCATGGATGGAACTGGAGAGCGTTATGCTCAGTGAAATAAGCCACTCAGAGAAAGATAAATATCACATGACCTCACTCATTTATGGAATATAATGAACAACATAAACTGATGAACAAAAACAGATCCAGAGACAGAGAAGCATCTATCAGACCATCAAACCTCAGAGGGAAGGTAGGGGAGGGTAGGAGTAAGAGGGAGAGACCAACCAAAGGACTTGTATGCATGCATATAAGCCTAACCAATGGACACAGACACCAGGGGGTGAGGGCATGAGTGGCGATGGGGAGGGGGTGGGCACTGGGGGGATAAGGACACATATGTAATACCTTGATCAATAAAGAAAAAAATAAAATAAATAAACGAAGAAGGAATCTAATGAACAAAATAAACTGATGAATAAAATAGAATCAGAGGCATGAGGACATGGAACATACAGAGGAAGGGGAGGAAAGAGATTAAACAAAGATCTTATATGCATTCTGCATTACCTATGGACACAGGCAATAGGGTGGTGAAAGTCTGGGTGGGGCAGGAACTGGGTGAAGGGGGGCAACAGGGTTAGAAAGGGGGACATCTGTAATACTCTCAATAATAAAGTTTAAAAAATCAATTTAAAAAAATATAAGGAGAGACAACACAGATATACAGCAGTAAGAAATAAAATTTGAATATATTACATATACATGAGGCTATTTATGAAACTGTAGACAAATGTATGTTAAACATTTTGAAAATCTAAATGACATAAATAAAAACATAAGTTACTAATAATAATTTAACAAGACAGAGAAAGCTACAAAGGGGGATAGAGATGGGCCAGGAGGGAGGGGGGAAAGGGGGAAGAAAAAAATAAAAGTTTTATTTATCTAGTGCAGTGGTTCTCAACCTTCCTAATGCCATGACCCTTTAATACAGTTCTCATGTTGTGGTGACCCCCAGCCATAAAACTATTTTCGTTGCTACTTCATAACTGTGATCTTGCTACTGTTATGAATCACATCTGTGTTTTCCGATGGTCTTCGGCGACCCCTGTGAAAGGGTTGTTCGACCCCCAAAGGCATTGTGACCCACAGGTTGAGAACTGCTGATCCAGTGGTTTTGTACAGTGTCACCCAGGCTAATTGGAACCAGGTTCCCCAGAAGTACTTTGCCTGCATGGTTCTAGGTTAGGGTTGGAGCTTGAGAAATGGGCCTGAAATTTGAGAGGCAGAAGTGAAGCAACAGCCATTCTCCTCTGAAGGTCATTCTCCGTTGGAGGTGACGAGGGGACAGATGCAGAGGAGCCAGGGGTCCCCCGTTTGTTCTCGCTCTCCCTGTGTTTGCATCCAGCTCTCTGCAAATGCTGGTCCCGCTCACCTGCTCTGATTCTTCCCCAAGGTCACATGCATCCCCGTTAAACTGACAGCAGCAGCAGCTGTGAAAAGCCAACAAGACAGCTCCCTGCATGAGCCCTTCCCAGCTCCAGGCCAGCAGCCAGGTGAGCTTAGCTAGCTTCCTGAAAGTGCCAACTCCTGGCACCTGATGAGAGGTGTTTCTCAGCTTTTAGAGCAGCTCCTCAGACAAGGTCTAATTTCATAACAAATCTCTCATTTCCTAACACTGATAGTAGTTCCGCTTCCATATTTGTTCCAATATTTGTCCCAGAGTACAAATGCACCCAAGAAGTGAGATTCTTAATTCAGTGTGATGGTTTGAGTGTGGACCATGCCCGGTGAAGTGGAAAGACCAGAACTTTTGCTAACATCCCTCAGAAGACATCCTATTCACAGAGGAGAGGGGCAGGAAAATGATATAAATGAACTGAAGCCAAACAAAGTGAAGCCAGGGGGCTGCTCCGTGCTGCTTGACATGAAGATGCAAGCAGACCATAAGGGAGGGACCCCGGAACCAAGGATATTCCTGCAAAGTCTGATGACTAGCCACTTAGCCATACCTATCACTTACCTATACCATAAAAGGGAAACAGACCACAAAATATACCTTGTAAACGTTAATCCAGACTTTCCCCACTCTGTTTCCCCATCCCAGCAATTTTCCATGGAAACTACAAACAGGTATAAGCTCAATGTCCCAGAGATGGGAGTTTGGATCTTCTTGAGGAAGCATCCTGCTACACAGCCAAAAGGTATAGGAAACTACCTCCCCTTACCCCCTCAGCCTTCACCAAAGAGGCTCAAAACCAGTTACCAGGGTTGAGATATAAAAATGGTTACAGAATAGAGATAAAGATGAAAATATAAAAATACGCATATTTTTATATGCGTATAAAAGAGCTATTGCCATACAAACTGTTTTGTCATCTGATCTCCCCCCCACCATCAGATAGATATAATAAACATTTTTATATGTCATTAAGTGCTTCTCCAATGTATTTTTCTTTTATGGCTGAATAGAATTCCAGTGTACAGATTATTTCTTCTAATGCTGCATGGCTATTTTATGTTCCTTAGGAAATCCTATGTAGTCATTTTATCATGTTTCTTTCCTTCTGGTAGATTCTTTCTATTGTAAATCATGTTTTGAAACATGTAGTACATTTAGGTCACTGGAACAATTTCATTAGTATAAAGAATGCAGCAATGACGAATTTACAGTGAATTCCTTACAGAAAGCTGTGTTTATTTCTTCAGTGTGAATTCTAAGAAGTAGGTCTTGTATGTACCCACTTTTGAGTCTTGTAGTACACTAGAAGCCCGGTGTATGAAAATTCTTGCTAAGGGGTGGGGCTAAGGGGACTGGGTGCTGCCATCTTGTGGCTGTGGGCTCTACCATCTTAGAGGGCATTATATTCCCTCCTTATTGGCTCTGGGTGCTGCCATCTTTGAAGGTGTGGCATTCAGTTAGCATATTCCCTCTTTATTGGCTGTGGGCGCTGCCATCTTTGAGGATGTGGCAACCAATTAGCATATTCCCTTATTGGCTGTGGGCACCATCATATTTGAGGGTGTGGCCATAAATTAGCATATTCCCTCCTTATTGGCTGTGGGTACCACCACCTTTGCGATGGCTCGAGGGTTAATTAGCATATTCCCTCTTTATTAGATAGGATGGTGCCTTTCAAGAGGGTTTGTTGAACCCTCGAACATGAGGGTGTTGATTCTTCCATAGCTTCATGAATCTTGGAGAGCATCGCTTTATCATTCTATATTTATTTGCCAAGCAGAATGGTTATTATACTGGGGAAGGTAGAACCAACACCATTCCAAATTAACTGAAGTAGAAATACATTTTAGAGGTTTTTATGCCTTTAAATCCTCAGATTCACAGAAAGGCACATCCCGAGATAAGGAAGAACAGTTGCCGGGAAACCCACAAGTACTTTGAGGATAGCAGCGCTGTCTTTATCTGAAGGACTGAATGCACAAAAGGAATTCAATTCAAATTTTTATAAATTCAGGTGGAAACTTAGACTCCACTGGTAAAGATAGAAAAGAAGATTCCAACTCACCCTGACAAACAGGTACTCGATTTTCCCAGGCGACAGTATTGCCTACGATGCTGCAATAATTAGAAGTTTCACCAATGAGTTGGTATCTAGAGGCAAAGAAAAATAATGTTACATTCTAGTGTCCCTGCTTAGATTGTTATTTACAAGCGACCACCATCTTAAAGAATACATATCAATAATTTCCTTCTGTCAAACTATCAATTTCTCTAAAAATCTATCAATTTTATGTCTTGTATTGGGATTTGTAAATTTTCTCCTTTATACCTTCTCAACCGGATGGAATCTCTCTTCTTTATCAACTTCAGTTACATTTTTATGTAAATCTAAGGTAAATAAGATTCATCAAAGTAGAACCAAAGGAAATCCAAACAAAACAAAGATAGTTGAACACTAATCTCATATTTTAAATATTAAAGACAGAAATTCTTAATTAGTATGCCCCAAACTGTTTAAAGTGTGCCATAAAATTTGGAAATTTTAATGACATTTATATTTCCTTCAAGAGAAGCTCTGTATAGAGAGAGAATGCTGGGCTGGGCCATTCACGAGAGTTGGTATAGCTAGGGCCAAACTTGATACTATTACAAATTAAGACAAATATCAAATAATTGTCAAGTGTTATTTGGTATAGTTGGAACAATGCCATCTCTCTATATAAAAGCCTAAGCAACCATCTGATTGTTCTACCAGTAGCTATGACACACACTGACCACCAGGGGGCAGATGCTCAGTGTACTGGCATAGAAACATGGAACAGACTGATGAATCTCAGAGGAAAGGAGGAAGGCAGGAGGGTGGGAAGAGATTAGCCAAAGATCTTATATGCATACTAGAGGCCTGGTGCACGGATTTATGTACTAGTGGGGTTCCTTGACCTGGCTTGTGGGGATCAGGACAAAACCAACTCTCTCACATCTCCTGAAGGATCCTGAATTGCAAGAATGAGCAGGCCAGGCCAAGGGACCCCCACCAGTGCACAAATCTATGTACCAGACGAATCCATGCACTGGGCCTCTAGTATGTTTATACATACATATATACATACATATATACATACATACACACACACACACACACACACACACACACACACATATGGCAATGCAAGCTTTATTCAAACAGCAAAATAAGCCAATCAGAGATAAATGTAAAGTGTGACAGCAGTGGATGTCATAGTTGTTGGGTAGATTCTGTCCTCCTTTTGTGAGCTTTAGTTCCAATGAAACCTCAGCCTTCTGAGCCTTGTAATACCATTTGCTTCATTCTTCTGGCTCTGCTAAGTTCTGGATGTATCCCTGCTGCTGGTGGGAGTGAAGGTGCTCTGCTGGGCTGCCTGATGCCACTAGATGGGAAATGGGGGATGACCAACCCTCGAGATGGAGAATAAACTCTCTGGCCTGTTCTCTGGCTTTCTGGTGAGGATGAGCTTCTCACTTCATATGTGTTGGTGCCAACAGGAGGAGACATTTATCTAGACTGTCTTTCGCTGTTGGATAGAGGACCAGGAGACATGGGCATGGGAGGTTTCTTTAAGAAACCACTCAGAATAATCTGCTATGGACACAGCTATTCTTTTCTGTGGACCTGCTGCCTTCGTGGTTGTGGGACATGGGTGTGGGACGTGGGAAGGACAGCCTCCCTCCATCCCTGATTTCTGCTTATGCTGCTAACATGTGCAGATTGCACCACCATTGCCACTAAGCATGGGCCTCACTACTATGTCCTGCCTGGCTTCCTCTTTCCCAGTCCTATGACCAGAGAGCTGTTCTTCTATCTCTCCCTCTCTCCTTCTCTCTCTCTCTCTCTCTCTCTCTCTCTCTCTCTCTCTCTCTGGATCTCTCTCTCTGGATCTCTCTCTCTCTGGATCTCTCTCTCTACCTATTGCTATTTCCAGCTTATACTCCTTTCCAGCACAGCACCCAGTATGAGAGAAAGCCCACGAAATCACAAGTTATATCATTCTTTAAGTTCTTTGGTCCTTAGACCATCCACCTCTTTCCAAATTTTGTGTTCCTGTTAATGGTTGGATTTGAAGTATTTCCAGGTTATTATTTAATTATATGTACAGAGACAGGCAGGGAAAAGTGAATCTTCCCGTCTTGTCCTGAAACTGGAGGCTGTAGTATTAACTCTTTAGAAACTGGTTATAAAAGTCAATAGCTTTTCATTGTAGAAAAAAATGAGAAAGGTACAGAAAAATGACCAGGATGTCACAGTTCGATTTCCAGTCAGGGCACATGAGTAGATTGGGGGCTGGATTCCCAGTAGGGGACTTGCAGAGGGCAGCTGTCAATGGGTCTCTCTCATCATTGATGTTTCTCTCTCTCCCTTCCTCTCTGAAATCAATAAAAATGTATTTTAAAAATACATATAGGATTATGCATAGGAAAAGATAAAAAAAAAAAAAGAAAGAAAGAAACTCCAGGGAATGAAAAACATAAAATTCAGAATCGTGCTTACTTCTGGAGAGGTTTGTGGTGGTGGAGGAATGAGAATTGGGAAGGGCACACAGGAGGCTCCAAAGGTACTAGTAATATTTCTTAAGGTGAATAGTTTATACATTGGAGCTCATTTTATTGTTACCGCTATTTTAATTGTTCACTTATATTATTTTGTATGTATTTTAAGTAAGCAAAAAAACAAAAACAAAAAACAAAAAAACAAACAACAACAAAAAAAAAGCAAAAGTTAATATAAGGTGAAGCAATCTCCCTACTTCTTTCTTAAATGGAATGCCTCCCCCAAGGGTACGCCAAGAATATGTCCACAGCATGATGCTTGCACTGTGAGCACTTCTGGAGAGGAGCTATTGCAATTCAGATCTGCCCATTCCTCACACTTGCTCCATCCTCCAAACAAGTCACTCCCACTTCCCCCTGAATCCACCATCCCCAGCTCTTATTGCTTTGTGGGGAGAACATATTTGTGGGTCAACCAGTGTTTGTTGCATTTGCTTCTGTAGGGAGCTGGTCCTCCCACTAATGAATGCTTCACTTGGTTTCATGTGCATTAATATGGTGTGCAACAGGCACCTCCCTCCCCACCCCACCCCCATTTTCTAGATTTTTTTTTCTATTTTTTAATATATGCTTAATTCTTTCGAGGGTATTTCCACTTAGAAATCCTATTGGTTTGTGTGAACAGATAGGTAGTTTGACTCTCCTCTCTAATGCTATTGTTTGGAAATTGGTGTTACAATTTTTGGACTGTCACCCTTCCCCCAACCCCCAAATGCTACTGCAAACTCACCCTTCATTACAAGAATAATGAATAACTGCTCCAAACTTGGCTTCTCCATTTATTTCCATTTTGCCATTTAAGGGTTCTGAAGGAGTTTCACATGATTTACCTATGGGAAAGAAGCAGAAGTTGAGGACTGGGGTAGAATTCCTTGAACTTCTCTTAGTAAAGACCCAATGGGGCTGTAGCTTACTGAAGAACATTTGTAGTCCTACAGATTGTGCCACATTGGGGAATTTTATAAGACCATCTCAAAATCAGCCACCTACTAAGCACCACTTTCTTTTTTCTTTTTTTAATTAAGGTATTATATGTGTACATATCTTACCATTGCCACCCCCCACTCCCATACATGCTCTCACCTCCCATAGTTTTGCATCTACTGGTTATGCTTATATGCATGCATATAAGTCCTTAGGTTGATCTCTTGCCTCCCCCATATCTCCCTAACCTTCCCGCTGTAATTTGACAGTCTGTTTGTTGCTTTACTGACTGTATCTTGCTTTACTGACTGTATCTATCTTTTTGTTCATTGGTTTATAATGTTCTTTATTACCTAAGCACCACTTTTAAAAAGACCTCCCCTCCAGTTCTATCTAATCCTCATCTCATGCCTTCCAGGAAAATGTAAACTTTATTTGTTACCAAAGTGTTTACTCTGATTAAATCAGTGTAATGGTCTCAGAGTCAGGGCTTTTGTTCTTACTTGCACTTTTTTTTTTTTTTTCCTTTCCTGAGTCATATATCAGTTTCAGTTGTGAAAATGGCAGGTGCCTAAAGCAGTGGTCAGCAAACTGCAGCTGGTGAGCCACATGAGGCTCTTTGGCCCCTTGAGTGTGGCTCTTCCACAAAATACCACGGGCGGGCACACATGAACAGTGCGATTGAAACTTCGTGGCCCATGCACAGATGTCGGTTTTCGGCTCTCAAAAGAAATTTCAATCGTTGTACTGTGGATATTTGTACTGTTGACTAATGAGTTTGCCGACCACTGGCCTAGTGAATGGAGATTTCCCCTCTCATGCCCTATAATGACAGTTTCTTATGAAATGAACTTTTAATGAAGGTGCCAGGAATTCAAAGCAGTAGGAAGATATGACCTAACCACTCTCTCACCTACTAATGAGGCAAACTTATAAGTCATAGAGGTTTTCATTCCCAAACTTGAACAATTGCATCAGTTCTTAGGGGTGTTTCACTGATACAGAGGAGTTCTCAGTCCAGTTACTTACGTGGACAATCTTGAGGGCTTGACCAGTGTGAGTTTCTTAGGCAGGTGATATAGAAAACTCTTTTCTGGTAACCAGGGCGGCATTTATACTGCAAAGATGTTCCAATGGGAAACTCTACCTCATCAGTCAGTTTTGTAGGCATGGCAGATTCTAAACGTTTCGGAGCTTGACATTGACCTGAAGACCAAGATCACAGGGACATCAAAGTCAAGGAGGGAACTTCGATTCCACCTCCTCTTTTTCTCCAATATGTTTCATAGATGTGATTGAAGAAGAAAATGAACACTTTAATACTGGTAAAAAGGATTGCTTCCCTTAGCAGGAACTTTAGAAATGAGTTTTTTTTAAAACAGCATCTATGCAGTTTAAAAGTTCCTGCTATTTTGAAGGCCATTAGGATATATTTATATCTATACCAATACACATTTATATCTAATCTATATCTATATCTCTGATCTATTTGTTCTTTCTCTGAAGGAAAAACTAATTCATAGCTTCACATTTTAGTCAATCAGAACATTCTGGCTTCATTTATCCCATCCTCTTGTATAATAAGCAGCATGCTTGCATTTCACCATCTATCTTCATTCGCAGTAGACCACCCAGACCTAAAGAACAACAGCCTCTTCTTTGGCCTTCAGTAGTGTCACAACTGTTAAAAGATGTTGCCAACCAAGCTCAACAACTAAGCTTTATAAGGGCCTATATTTTATAATGCATATCTTGAATTGCATATTAGACTCAGTCACTTCTTAAGATCTAAAGGTTTAATTTAAACTAATAAAAATACCATTTAGAGTTAAACAATCCTATATAAAATAAAAGGTTAATATGCAAATAGACTGAATGGTGGAACGACTGGTTGCTATTATGTGCAATGACCACCAGGGGGCAGATGCTCAATGCAGGACCTGCACCCTGGTGGTCAGTGAGCTCCCCTGGGGAAGTGATGTTCAGCCAAAAGCCCTGAGCTGGGCTCATGACTGGTGAGCACAGTGGCGGAGGCAGTAGCCTCTTCCTCCTCCACGGCAGAGCTAAGGATTTCCGACAGCTGGCTTAGGCCCAGACTGTGAGAGGAATGTCTGACTGTTGCCCTGGAGATTAGGCCTAAGCCATCAATTGACATCACATGAGGGCTCCTGGACTGTGAGGGGGGCAGGCTGGGCTGAGGGACACCTCCCCACACACACATGCATGAATTTCATGCACTGGGCCTCTAATGTTATTACATTAGAAATAGAAGAAATATCTATTAGAAAAGTCTTTTACATTAGAAATAGGTTCTCTTCTGTTTTGGTTAATCTTCTATTTCTTTCTACACACCTTATTACTTAATTTAAATAATGGAGGGTAGATTGAGACCAATAAATCAATTACTCATTTTTACTAGGTTTTAAGTAATCAACTTTTAAATGTATTGATTTGTACTTATTTTTATTTTACCTTTCAAAAAGTTTATTGAGGAAAAATCAAGATGGTGGTGTAGGTAAATAACTAATCTGCTGTCTCACACAACAATTTCAAAACTACAACTAAAAGACAAAACGTCTATCACCCAGAACCATAGGAAAGCTGGCTGAAAGAGAAAGGAGCACAAGCTCTGAAAAGCTGAAAAGCCTAGGTACAGAGGCACGCAAATTGGGCTGGTGGTGGGCAACTGGGTGTGTGGTTTTTTTTTTCAACCCAAAGGGAAACAAGCTCCCAATCACTTTGAAATCCAGTTTCTGGGGTCACACAGGAGATCCAGACGTCTATGGGGAGAAGCTGGTCTGTCGGCCATTGGGTCTGAAAATGAGGGTGACTTTTTTGCAGAGGTGTGCGCAACAATCATTGTTTACTGCGCTGGAGTGCGGGGACACGGGGACTTGGAAACTCAGGGACATGGAAACGTGGAAAGGCAGAGATGGCTGATGGCAGCCATTGCTGTTTGCCACATCCCAGCCTATTGAAGTCCTGAAACCCATCCCGCCCTGAGGCCCTGGCCCCGCCCCACACGTTCTACAAACCCACCCAGGCTCGCACAGCTGCTTTTGCATATAAATGGCCTATATTGTGGCAGCTTAACAAAATAAACTGCAGCTCCTGCTCCAAAACTGCCAAATCCCAAGCAAAGAGGAGAAAACTGTAGTTCTTGTGGTAGCTCCTGTTGGGTGGCCTCAGACAGTAGCTGAACTGCACCCCATTGGAGATCTGAAAACTAGTGTATCTAGTGGTTGGTGTGAGATGACAACAGATTTCAACTAATCTCATAAGGGATACATTCAAGAGACAGACTCAGTGAGCACCAAAGCGCTATGGGAACAAGTCCTCCCCCATAAATGTGTCTCCAGCATAGCAATTCTCCCATTATAGACACAGCAGATCCTCACAGCCAATTGGCCTGGAGGTCAATTCCTCCCAGTGACACAAACAACGATCAAGACTTAACTACAACAAAGGTGTACACATAGTCCACAAAGGGGTGCACCAAGAGTGTCTACCTCAGATAACTGGGAGGCAGACCCACTGAACCATATAGGACACCTTAACACATAAAGCCACCCTACCAACTCAGGGAAGCAGAGGAAATGCCAGAAAAGGAAGGAGATCTCAAAAAAAAAAAAGAAAAAAAAAAGAAATGGAGAACAAAAGACTGGATATAGAGTTCAAAACCATGGTTATAAGGTTTTTTGATAATTTCCTAGAAAAGGCTGATAAACTTAACGAGACCCTCGAGGATATGAAAAAGAAATTAAACCAACTAGAAATAAAACAAATACTGATTGAAATTAAAAACAAATATACAGAGACCCAACAGCAGACTAGAAGAATGCAAGAATCAAGTCAAAGATTTGAATACAGAGAGACAAAGGACACTCTTCTAGAGAAGCAAGAAGAGAAGAGAATCCCAAAAGTTGAAGATAGCAAAGACCCCTCTAAAAGTAGAAAATTTTTAAGAAATAATGAGTTCTTGTAGTTCTTTTCCTTGTCTGTCATATAACCCCAAAAGACCATATGTTTATATTTAAGGATCAGTTTAAAATTCTAAATAACTGAATACATGGTTGGCTGTCTGACTAAATTGTCAATGGTGGTGGTCAATATGCAAAAGAATCACTGAGACCCTATAAAATAATATTCTGATTCAGAAAGAAAGGGGGCAGGGACAGGAATCTGCATTTAAACAGGCTTCCCAGGTGATTCTGATGCCGGTAGTCCACAAGCCACTTTGAGACCTACTGAGTTTTAAGGAAATGGCTGGCACAGAGATGCTGTTTGTTTGATACTGGAAATGGATGAGATAATGGAATGAGTGCTGCCAGTACATGTTATCAGGGCCTCAAATTCTCTGGCACCAGCTGAAAAAGGCATCATTGAATTAACACAGTCTTGTACGATGGAAAACCTCAGTCACATGTGGTCCTGAATCCATTACATTCACTCTGAGGTCTTCAGGTAAATTCCAGAGAAAGGGATAACTGAATCGCATTTAAGAATTATTTACAGCTCTTTCAAACAAGAACAAGGAGGCTATTATTTTACTCTTATGGAGACGAGGGTTTCCTTGCTTGAGAAATGAACCCTCAGTAATCCAGATTTGGAAAGCATACTCAAAGAGGCATTGCAGCCTAAGTCTGTTTGGCTCAGTGGATAGAGCGTCGGTCTGTGGACTGAAGGGTCCCGGGTTTGATTCCGGTCAAGGGCATGTACCTTGGTTGCAGGCACATCCCCGGTAGGGGGTGTGCAGAAGGCAGCTGATCGATGTCTCTCTCGTCGATGTTTCTAACTCTCTGTCCCTCTCTCTTCCTCTCTGTCAAAGATCAATAAAATATATTTTTTAAAAAGAAAGAAAGAAAGAAAAAAAAGAGGCGTTGCAGCTGAGCCTGGAAGATGAAGTGAACTTTGCACACTAACCAGTGGGCCTCCTAGTTCCTCTCACACTATGTTCCCAGAAAGCCAACCTTTTAGCCTATATTTAGCTCCAAATTAGAAGATGGAAAACTCAGCAGTCCAGAGAAAACACAGACAGAAGCTGCCAGTTGGTGATCTTGCACTGACATGTCTTTTGTCACCTGAGTGATCTACATTCCTTTCAAAAAGTATTTAACATCTAACAAACACCAGACACTCCCAGATGCTTTTGATATTGCTAAAATCAAAACAGATCTACAAGACATTTCAGACATACAAAAACTTGAGCTCATGGAGTTTGTCTTCTATGAAAGAGTGACAGACAATAAAAAAAGAAGTAAACAATAACTTTGAAGGATGTTGATAAAAGTTCTGGGGGAGAGAAGGAGAGCAGTATGGTGAGGAATAGAAAGTGTCAGAGTTTCTACGTTAAACAGTTATCAGGGAAATCCTCACTGAGAAGGTGACCTTTGAACAGGAGATTGGGACCACAGAATATATTTTTTGCATCCTACATATATCATATCATGACTATATTTCATTTAACTAAATATTGACAATATTACTTAATTCTTATATTGCATGCACAGTTTAAATAATGTTAATGTAACCATCATTCAGATAAAAAATTAAACATTGACAATAAAAAAATAAAAATAAAAAGTGTATTGAGCTTATTTGCTGAGTTTAAAAATAAATTTCTGAAGATGGTAACTTAGATTTTTTTTATTTTCAGCTTTACATAATTTCTGAAATAAGCATTCATATTATTTTATTCTGAGCATAGACTTAGTTGTATTCTCAAAGTTTTGATGTGCCATATTTTCAGGTTTCTTAAGTTTAGCTTTCTTAAATGTATTGGGGTGTCATTGGTTAATAAAATTATATAGGTTTCCAGTGTACAAATGCATTTTTCCAGCTCAAAATGTTTGGTAATGGCCATGGTGATTTCTTCATTGACCCATGGCTTAGTTAGCAATGTTTTGCATAATTTATAAACATTTGAGGAAATTTTTAGCTGCAGATTTATTATCAAGTTTTGAAATTGATTGACAATTGTATGTCTCAGCATATTGTCAACTGATGTAACTGTATCAGATGTATTTTTTTTAAAGGTGTATCTGTGGTAGTGGGTCTAGTGTCTTTGGTATGCCAGGGAGGCCCAATTAACAATTAATCATATTTGCTCAAATATTCTAGATACTTACATTGTATATTATATATAAATAGAATTTTAAAGAAATGGAATAGAGATGAAATAAACATTATCAATGCTTTACTAATCATAATATAATGTGATCATTTACTAACATTTAAAGAGACAAAAATACAGTTACACTGAGTTTCTCTGTTAGTAATGGTGGATATAAAACTATCTATCACCTAGTTGCTTAATAATTTCTACATTTTTCCTTTTATCAACCTTTGGTCAGTTGTGATGAGACTGACAGTGTTTCTCTGACAACAAACTTGTATAAGTGTTTGTGTGCCTGTGTGTGTGGGAGTGTTGTCAGGTGTGCTATTTCCTTACTTGCTTGAGTTCACTGTATTAGAATTATTTCACTCAGTGTTTCTGTGCAAGACAATTCTGAAGTTACCTGTCCAATGGTGAAGGTTACATTAGGTAAAACTAGGCAATGGACACCATACAGACCTTCTCATCTGAGCATCTATGTGTGTAAACTAAAATATGTCACAAAACACAGAAGCAAACTGGAACGCCCTCCTTTTGACCTTGCATCTCCACACAGCAGGGGACAAGAGTGAGAGCCAGGAGAGGGCAACAGAGACTGCTCTACTGAACACTAGTAATGCTCCTGAGTGTGCTCCTTGGTACATAAATCAAATATCACTGTGAGTCATCCTGTACAGCTGATTTTTTGGATTCCCTCCTTATGTGCTGCTTAAGCTGTGCTCCTTCCACTCAGCCTTTTCTGATCATTGAAGCTGAGATAGCTCCATTTCAGACCTCCTGTGGCTTTGAGGTTTTGTGTGGCTTTCTAGACAAGGTTTCTTAGATCTGCAGAGGGATTTCTAGATTCTAAAACATTACCACATGCACTACCTCATGCAATTTTTGCAAGAGCCTTCTCAGATAACAACATGTCAAATATGCTCATTTTATAGTCATGGATGCTGAAAGTTAGGGATGTTAATTGACCTGCTGGATCCAAGACCGCCATTTGGTATGTAGCAGACACTGGACAAACCAGAAGCCGGGTCTCCTAATGATAAAGATTTCATCAAACCTCCCCCATAGGTCTATATGCATCCACCTTGGAGGCATGGCTCTCTCAGACTTCTTTTCAGCTCCAAAGTGCTGTGACATTCAGCATCCCACCAACAGTCTCTATCTAAATTACTTTGGCAAGTAAATCACTACTTAGCTTACAACTCATTAGTCAACAGAGCCAAATATCAACGGAACAACGATTGAAATTTCTTTTGAGAGCCAAATTTCTAAAACTTAATCTATATAGGTAGGTACATTGTTATTAATTAGGGTACTCCTGAGCTGGCCTTTGCTAAACACTCAAGGGGCCAAAGAGCCACAGTTTGCAGACCACTGGTTTAGGCTGTTTCACAGCTGGTGTGATCACCTTAGTAAAATAACGTGGGGGCAGTTAATAGTGTCTGAGTTTGTTAACAGGGGGAGGCTATAACAACATTCCAGAAAGAAGGGAGCCGGGTGGTCACGAGGTCCACAGCAATAGCTAAGCACTGACAACAGCTGCCTTCACTTAACTGGGGACGCTTCTCTTCTGAAAAGAAAACCTTAGGTTCCATTACATTTCCTCCCCAACGGGTACTTTCTGATTAACTCAATTTCTCTAAGGAGAGAACACAGGACTACCAACTTTTCTAAAAACCTGTTTTTTTCTTTTCCCGTGGGAGAGGGTGCCACCCAATAACTAACGCAAAGTGTCTACTAACAGGGAAGAGTCAAGCTCAGCTGTCCAGCAGACGCACGGCCAACAACCCAGACTGTCACTCCAACAGAGATGTGGCCCACGGGCCCCAGCCCCTAGGTCTTCGGGGAAAGCCAGAAATAAGAAGCGAAGGGCCCTCATTGAAGTTGTTTACCTAAAGCCAAGAAAGGGAGGAAGGAAGGAAGGGGAGGCATGACCTCAAAATGTTCATAATAGTTATCATGGGCTTATTTTTTCCCAAACACACAGCTAAAACGGACCCACACTTCCAAGGTGCCTTCTAGGGAAGGCCAGCTGGGCCTCATGGGGCGTCTCCTAACCCTAAGTGCCCTGCCAGGAATATGACCTCCTGTAGCCGCTCAGTGCCTTCTTGTTGATGATGGAGGTGCTGTGGGCTGAATATTGGCGGAATGCAGGGCAGATTTTGGGTGAAAACTGCACCTCCAGGTACTGCTGATCCCAACACCCCCATGAGCAACGTGCAGAGCTAATGGCTGGAGAACAGAAATTGAGTGACCTGCTCTGGGTTGGACCCCTAGCATGCTTTATGCCATTTAGATAGCAATGCCCCGAGATAGGGCTATGGTGTTCCCATTTCACACAAGAGGAAGGGGACGCGGGCTGGGGTAGTCACTTCCCTCACAGTTAAGAAGTTCCCAGGAGTAGAACCCAGGCTGGTGGGATTCCCAGACCTCTCCCTGGCACCAGGATCCGCGCCCCTTCTCACCCAGCCAGGCTTGGCTAACAAGGAGGGCAGAGACCTCATGCTTAAGGTGACCAGACGTCCCGCTTTTGGCGGGACAGCCCCGACTTTTAATAATTTGTCAGCGTTTTAAAAAATTTTGGAAAATCGAGACTTTTTTTTTTTTTTTAAACGCCGATGGACGCGGGACAAATTGTTAAAAGTCGGGACTGTCCCGCCAAAAGCGGACGTCTGGTCACCTTCGCGGCACCACCTGCGCATCTGCGCTCTCCCTCCCCTGCGCTGGGGACCGCGTAGGACCCTGCAGAGGGGAACCCGGCTCTAGCCCGAGGCCAGGCAGGTCTGAGGTCACAGAGGGCATCGCCCTCTCGCAAGATGAGCCCCCCCGAAACGAAACCCCAGGATCCGTGGACCCCGCGGGAGCCGCTCCCCACGCCCGCCCGCCCGCATCTCACCCCAGGCAGCCGGCAGCGCGAGCAGCACCAGCACCGCCGGGAGGGCTCCTCCGGAGCCGGAGAGGGAGGGCGCTGGCGGCCGGAGAGGCTGCTCCCTGCTCCTCCGAGTTCGGGCTCCCATCTTCCCCGAGCTCCCGAGCTGTCACCGATGTTCCTTCTCGGGGAGCAAATCCAAGTCACTAGAAAGCGCAGCTCAGAGGCCGGAGACCGGAGTTCAGGCTGCGCGCCCAGGATCTGGGGAGCGCAGCTCGGGTTGCGGAACCAAAAGCTTTTGACCACAGCTTCCCCTTAAAGGGTGTGGGCGGCCATGCCCGCTCCCAATTTGCATTGTTTCTGGCGAGTTTGGCCTCCAAAGTCCACCTTCAGGTTCCGTATGAACACCGGATTGCCTGCCGTCCAGCAGAACTTCCGTGGCTCTGGGAGGGTAAGTCCAGGCGGCGGTTTCTCCCGGTTCCACTCCCTCCTGCTCCTGCCTGACCTGTGCCCGTTGCAAAAATGGGCGTGGGTGGGTCAGCTCCTTAAATGCCATTTGTGTGTGTGGACAGCTGCAGACAACAGGCACAAGGTACAGGGGTGATGAAGAACCGATTTCTCTGTGTGGAATTGAGATATACCAACCCGCTGAAAGATTTTTTTTAAAAAAGAGTGACTGAATCAGATATGAATTTTTTTAAAATATAATTCCGGCCGAAACCGCTTTGACTCAGTGGATAGAGGTCGGTCTGCGGACTGAAGGGTCCCAGGTTCGATTTCGGTCAAGGGCATGTACCTTGGTTGCGGGCACATCCCCAGTGGGGTGTGTGTGTGTGTGTGTGTGTGCAAGAGGCAGCTGATTGATGATTCTTGCTCATCGATGTTTCTAACTATCCCTCTCTCCTCTCAGTAAAAAAAAATCAATAAAATATATATAACTATATATATAATTTCATCTGTAATAGGGAGACTGGACTGGGTAGTTTTGGTGGTGGCCGTGGCTAGATAAAGTGGGCAATTACACGATATTGGAGGAGAAATGAACACCACTTTTGCGTTGCACTTTGGTTACTTCCTTTCTGAAAGTGAGTGGCGAGAAAAGCAAAATCAAATAATTCGCCCCAGGATTCTAAAGGAATGGTTTTGCCATTTGTTGGAGTGAAAAAATCAGGGGTGGGACATATTTGGAGCATGGGGCTAAGAGTTCAAGGGTGAGAGAAACGGATGTGTGTGGCAGACTGAATAACAGCTCCTCAAAGATGCCCAGGTCCTCATTCCCAGAACCTGAAAATCTGTTACCTGATGTGATGGGAGGTTCTATAGCTGTGATCACGCTAAGGAATTTGAGATGGGAGATTCCCCTGGGTCAGTGGTCTGCAAACTGCGGCTCATGAGCCACGTGCCGTTTGTGAGCTTGGTTTGCCACTCTGTTGACTAATGAGTTTGCTGACCACTGCCCAGACCAATGCCCAGGGTTATTTGGGTAATGTAATCACGGGGTCCTTGTTAGAGGGAGGTAGAGGGAGCCTGGGAGAGGGTAATGACTGAAGCAGAGGTTAGATGCTGCCAAAATCAAGGAATGACAGCCAACTCCAGAAGCTGGTAAAGGCAGGTCAGGAATTCCCTGCCTGCGGAAGGCACCAGTTCTGGCAACACCAGGGATTTAACCCTGTTAGACTCTGTATGGACTTCTGCGCAGAACTGTGAAAGAATAAACCTGTGTCATTTTAACCAGCAAGGTACATGTGACAGCAGTGACAGGAAACTAATATGGAGGGGAGAGAGGGTAGCCTGGATGAAAAAAAAAAGTATAAAATATTTTTGTTTTGTTTTGACTGAGAAAGCCTTGGGTATGGGATAGGTGGAGTATATTGAGGTCCTGGGGATGTGGGAATGTTCTAGGAAAAGCTTGGCAATATAGGTAGGGTGTTGATTATGAAGCTAGATTTCCAGAAAGACCCAAGAAGAGGCCTTTTAAAAAGAAAACATTTAACATTTTTGTGTATATCATTGCACTAAGGACCCCTTGGGGGATGTCTGCCTGTCAGCTTAGGCCTGCTCCCAGCTAAGCCAGCAGGTGGACATCTCCTGAGGGGGTCTGGCTGCAGGCTGAGGACCTTCTCCCCCCAACTCCAGTGCAAAAATGTCATGCAGTGGACCTTTAGCTAAAAAAATAATTTGAGAAAGGTTTCATAGGTTTTACCAAACAGGCAAAGAGAAAAACCAGTATCCAGGATACCTACTCTTACTTTAAAGATGGCTCCTTTCAAATGGACCACTGTGATGCTGCTAGGAATCCCTACTATATTTGCCTAGTCCATTTATCATACTCCCAAGTGGCTTTTTCATATTTTTCATATTGACACTGACTGGAGACGTCTCCTATATCATTCCCAATCTCTGTTTGTACGATTGCTGCTTTTCTTCTGCAAAAAATAGAAGCAATCCAAGAGAATTTCCACAAACTTCTCTCATCACTTCCCTCCAAGGCCTGTATCTGGCCTATGTAGCTTCCTTCTCTCCTATTAGCATGGTTATCCTGTTCACATGGTTATCTAAGGCTCACCTCTATAGCAGTATAGATCATCCACTCTCACTTTTTCAAAAACCATCACTCCAGGAATTCTCCTCTCTTCATACCACTGCTTCCCCCTTTTCTAACAGAGCTTACCTTAAGCATGCAGATATGTCATTTCTCTAAAAGAGCACTCACAGTCCTTTGTTTTCCTCCTAATGGTCCTTTTGCTTGGAATACTTTCTGACTAGATATCTGTCTGTCTGGTTACCTCCCTCAATCTTTAGCTCAAGTGTGACTCTTTAAGGAAGCCTTCATTGGCCTGTCCATTGAACTTTCTTTCCTCTTTCACTGATTTAGATCATTTAAAATATTGTACTTTTGTTTGGTTTTATTACTATTGTATTTGGAAATCTGCTTATTGTCTCTCTCCTCAGTAGAATAAAGGCTACACGGGGACTGTCATTTTATCGCTGCTATATCCCATGACCTAAAACATTCCTTAGCACGCCAAAGGATGCACATGATTATTTGTTGAATGAGTGAGTGAAGTGATTGAGGGAGCTATGGTTAACTATTTTCTTAGGTAAAGCAGTTGTAAAGAGAAGGGTCCATCAATCCTACCCCAGCTCCAACTGTGGGCAGGCAGCTCAGGCCTCGCCATCTGCTAGTTCACTGCCCTGGCCCTAGGAAGTGGTACAGTTGGAGACATGTGACTTTTTTTTTTTTTTTTTTTGACAAATTAGAGCTAATGAAGGGACTTTTGAAGTTATTAGAGAGAAGCTCTCTGTGCTAGAATGCTAAGCTGACAAAGTGTGTGTTTGACCTTCTCAGCAAATACTTTTCCTGACTGTTAAATGGAGCCCAGACCACCCATGAGGCAGAGCCCCCTTACCCGGGAATTAACTCCAACTAGCCAATTGCAGAGTCTAATTACAAATTTTATTACAGATTTTATTACAGATTCGAATCTGGGCTGCCACCGCCAGGATAGAGCAGGCAGCAAACAGCAGCCCCTGCTTCCAAATCCAGCTTCTTATACATTTCAAAGAAAGGGGGTGGAGGTTGTAAAAAAGGGGGTTGGAGGTAATTTCTATGGTTGCATGCATCCGCCAGATGGCCTAATCTCCCTTCTTGGTTTGTCCTGTCTGTTTAGCCTAAACTAACAGTCTGCTGATTTGGCCTTCAGGCCCAGGAGGGGTTAGTAGCAACTTTCTACCCTCCAGGCAAAGTCAGTTATTTTCCATTCCTCATTCCCCACTGCTTTTAGTTCCTTAGCAGAGGTCAAATCCTTGGCCTCTTTTCTTTGTAAGCAAGCAAGCAAGTTTACAAAAGCAAGAAAACAGCAGTTAGCTAAACAGCTGTGTCTTCAGTTTGCAGGATTCGGCTGTATTGGGTGGTTAGGGCCAACAGCTTAACAGCCTGAACACGCTCTCTAACAAAAGCTACTAACCTATTAATTATGATGGGCCCACAGGTCAGGCCTAGAAGTAAGAGTAGGAGGGGTCCCGCCAAGGCTGATATCAGGGTGGTCAGCCAAGGGGACCAATTGAACAGCCCTTCAAACCAGCCCTCTTGACTTTCTTTCTCCTTTTCCCTTTCTCTCAGTCGCTTCTGTAGGGTTTTAATGCTCTCCATTATCACGCCTGAGTGGTTGGCATAGAAGCAACAAGCCTCTCCAAGCGCTGCACAGAGGCCTCCCTGTTGGAGAAATAACAAGTCTAGCCCTCGCCGGTTCTGGAGGACTACCTTCGCCAGGGAGTCCAGGGCCTTCTCTAGGTGGCTGATTTGATCTTGAATGAGCCTGATATCTTCTGAGAACTGGACTGATAGTTTCTGAGTAGTCAGGGCCGCAGCACTAACGGCTGCTGAACCGGCAATTCCTAGCCCAGCAAGTAATGGGACTAAGAGGGGGGTTCTTTTCTGAAGGCGGAGATGGGCTTCTGGGGATAGGAAATGCTCCATTCCGGAGGGGCCAGCATATATATAGACCTGGGGGATTACATATACTAAAATGCAAAACCAAGGCTCTCGGCTCCTTTCAGCTACCAGACACCGAGTCATTCCATAAGTGCAAGCAAACCAAACCCCTTCAGGGGCAATCAATACCTGGGTGTTGCGGGAAATTTTCATGCTGCTATTACAATTCTGGGAGTAAGGGGAAGCTGACAAGGAGTATTCTCCTCCTATGAAACAGGACCCTTCCCCTTGGAGGTCCCCCAGGGTTAATGAGGCCGCCCCTCCTTCCAGGCAAGTTGCTAGATCAGCGAGATGCTGATCATCAAGGGTGGTGTTTTCCACTTCCCCGTCCCCTGTTCCTATGTTTAGGCTGGCGGCCAGACCTACATAGTAAGGGGGTGAGGGATTTAAGTATAACCAGCAACTATCGGTGGTTGCTGGGTTGGAGCTATTCAGGAGAGTGAAAACTGAATCTAGAGTCCTCATGAGTCTGGCCTGTGGGACAGGAACAGGAGGGATAGCGGTTCTTGGTTTCCCCCCAGTGGATACAATTGTTGAGGAATTGTGGCCCCAATCAGGTTGACCTGCGGTGGTGGTGGTCCGCGAGGGGCTCCTTGTGGGCTGATGTGGAGGGCTGGGTCTGGGCCTGGGCAATGCTTGGGGGTTTAACACTCCATTTGGGCCTATGGGAAGCCGGGGCCCTCTGGCTCTCATCTTTTGGATAGTGAACAGGGTTCCTGCTATATTTAAGCGGAGGCCCCAAGTCTTTCCTGTAGGCCAAAATGGGCTTCCTCCATCTCGGACAGTCACAACCGTTGGATTACACTGGGTAGAGACTGGACATCTCTCAGGCCTTGGGTCAATTAGCCTGGCAAATTTAATGTCCGGGTCTCCTTGTTTCCAGTACGCAAAAGTCTCACAACCCCATTGGCGACAATAAAAATCCTCAATGTTTCCACACTGGTGCCGCCCTTTTCTCTCTGGACATCCATAATGCTGAGTGTACCATAGCTGCCGAGCTACGTACATATTCCCATCTCCATATGAGGAACACGCCACCCTTCCCAGTCCTGACATAACCATGCTCCCCCCTCGGCCCCTAAGGCCCAGTGCATCACAAGGTTCATCCCCAAAGAACTGGCTCAGGTCCACTCGGAAACTGGGGGTTCCAGAGTAGGTGGTATTCTCAGCTAACGTGGTTCCATCGGTTGTGCGAACCAACACCCACCTAGATTGGAGGGGAACTGTTGCTCCTCCCCAGCCTACAATCAAAATCAGGGGTACTGTCCTGACCCACCATCCCGAGTCAATTTGACTTTTAAGGGGTCTGAAGTAGTCTCTACCCGCCATGTCCCGTTGTCGTCCTGAGGCGGTGCTTTCTTCAACCGGGTGTGGTGAATCCAGGCAGTCTTTCCCGCCACTCGAGCTGCTGTCGGTGTGCTGATGATAACCTGGTAGGGTCCCTCCCAGCGGGGTGTCAACTGCGCTGGGTTGATCTTCTTCACGTAGACCAGGTCACCAGGAGTAAAAAGCTGCTTCTTCGCTGTGGCTGAGTCTGGATTTGGTCGAGTCTCGTTCAATGCTGCTTGACTCTGGGCTCGGGATGCCTGCAAAGCCTGCAGACTTAAGCAAAGTTCGCTGTTTAATGCCAGACAGGTGCTCTAGCCCCAGGCGGGGTACAATGGGTGGCTTCAGCCCGTATGAAACTTCAAAAGGGGAGTACCCTTCCCTGCCCGGAGTGCATCTTACCCAGAGGAGGGCTTGAGGAAGCAAACTCACCCAGTCGCCACCTGTCTCTACTTTCATTTTGGTAATTGCTTCCTTTATAGTCCTGTTTACTCTCTCTACCTGTCCTGAACTCTGAGGGCGATAGGCACAGTGGAGTTTCCACGTTATTCTTAATGCCTCAGCCAACATCTGAGTTAATTTAGCTATAAAGGCAGGACCATTATCTGAGCCTAATCGGAGGGGTAGTCCGAATCTGGGAATTATTTCATTAACTAAGTGCTTTAAGACTACCTGGGCCGTCTCTCCCCTCGTAGGGAAAGCCTCTACCCATCCTGAGAAGGTGTCAATGAATACCAGGAGGTACTTGTAACCTCCTCTGGCTGGAGTCATTTCAGTGAAGTCAACTTCCCAGTGTTCTCCTGGCTGCTCACCCCTCAGGCGGGCACCGCCTCCTTCAATCCGAGGGCTAGGGTTCGCATTCACTGTGGCACAAACGGTACACCTCTCGGTCACGTCTTGTGCCATTTTGTATATACCTCGGATCAAGTAGTGCTTCCTTATCAATTCAGCCAGCTTGTTCTCTCCTAAGTGGGTGGCATGATGCGTTTGCTCCACTATCTGCCTCCCCACTGCTTTTGGGAGTAGCACTCTCCCTTTTGGCAACTGATACCAGCCGTTTGAGGACTTAGTCCCCCCTAGCTTCCTAGCCAGTTCATCATCTTCCTTTGAATATGAAGGGACTATGGCTGGCTGGTCTTCCTTGACCGGGGAGGGGGTGACCGATAATGCATGTGCCTGCCCCTCCCGGGCCACAGCTCTCGCTGTTTCATCTGCAAACTGGTTCTCTTTTGCCTCCAAGGAATCACCTCGTTGGTGGCCCTCACAGTGTATAACGGCCACCTTGCGGGGTTTCCACACGGCCGCTAGGAGGGATAATATTTCTGCTGCATGTTTAATGTCCTTCCCTCCGGCCGTGAGGAGGCCTCTCTCCTTATAGATGGCCCCGTGCACGTGAAGAGTGGCAAAAGCATACCTGCTGTCAGTGTAGATGTTGAGAGCTTTTCCTTCTCCCCACTCCAAGGCTTGAGTGAGGGCTATTAACTCGGCCTTCTGGGCGGAGGTACCTCGTGGTAGTGCCTGAGCCCAGATCACAGTGTCCAAAGTGACAACGGCTGCACCGGCCACTCTCTCTCCGTCCAGGAGGTAGCTGCTGCCATCTGTGAAAAGAGTTACCTCGGCATCCGCTAGGGGTTGGTCCTTCAGGTCCGGGCGGGTAGTGGTTAAAGTGTCCAGATAATCTCCACAGTGGTGGAGAGGCAACGTCCCGTCTGTCTCCGGCAACAAGGTGGCAGGATTGAGCACCGATGTCTGGTGGAATTGAATGCGGGGAGGGTCTAACAACAGTACCTGATACTGTGTGATCCGGGCATTCGTCATCCACCTGTCCGGAGGGGTGCGGAGCAGCCCCTCAAGGTTGTGGGCTGAAGTCACCTCCAGGTTCTGGCCAAACGTCAGCTTGGTGGCTTCTCGCACAAGGAGGGCGGCTGCTGCAACAGTTCGTAGGCATCCCGGCCAGCCAGCGGCAACAGGATCCAGTCTCTTAGACAAGTAAGCCACTGGCCTCTTCCAGGGTCCTAGAGTTTGGGTGAGCACCCCCTTTGCCACTCCCTGTCCTTCGGCCACAAAAAGCTGAAAGGGCTTCTCCAGGTCAGGTAGGCTGAGGGCCGGGGCTTGAAGGAGGGCCTGCTTAAGAGTTTGGAAGGCCTCTTCCTCCTTCTCTGTCCAAATTAAAGGTCCTGCTCCCCCAGCCGTAGCTGTGTGGAGGGGCTTAGCCATTTCTGCAAAGCCTGGTATCCACAGGCGACAATAGCCCACAGTCCCTAGGAATTCCCAGACCTGCCGCTTAGTCTTCGGGACTGGTATCTGGAGGACTGCTTGGACTCTACTCTCTGCTAAGGACCGAGCCCCTTCCTTTATTCGAAAACCCAGATAAGTAACTTCCTTGCTGCACAATTGGGCCTTGCGGGAGGAGACACGGTATCCTTGTTCACCCAAGGTCCTTAACAAATCCTCAGTCGCCCTAATGCACTCGCTTTCTTCCTTGGTTGCCACTAGGAGGTCATCTACATACTGAAGGAGTGTGGCTTCAGGGTGCCTGGCACAGAACTCTTGCAAATCTCGACTCAGAGCCTCATCAAACAAAGTGGGGGAGTTCTTGAACCCTTGGGGCAGTCGGGTCCAGGTCAGTTGGCCCGAGTCCCCTTCCTCAGGGTCTGTCCACTCAAAAGCAAATAGCAACTGACTCTGAGGGTTCAAAGGAAGGCAGAAAAAGGCATCCTTCAGGTCCAGGACACTGTACCACGTACGGTCTGGTGGTAAAAGGCTTAAGAGAGTGTACGGGTTAGGCACAGTGGGATGGATGGTTTCCACTCTCTTATTTACTTCTCTTAAGTCCTGAACCATCCTGTACTCTCCTGTACCCGGCTTCTTAACGGGCAGGAGAGGGGTATTCCAGGGGGACTGTACTGGCACCAGTATCCCTGCTGCTTTAAACTTCTGGATGTTTTTCTTCACTCCTCTCCTTGCTTCCAGGGACATGGGGTACTGTTTAACCCTCACTGGCTGGGCGGTGCTGATAAGCTGGACCTGAATGGGGGGCTGGCCCTTGGCCAACCCGGGGGGGTTCGTCTCTGCCCAGACCTCTGATATTTCTTTTTGCCATCGGGCTAAGAGGTTTCTCCCCCAGGGGGCTTCTTCCTCAAACAGAAGGTATTCCTCCTCTGCAGGAACAGTAATTAGGAGTTTGCCCCCGTTCAGCTCCACCTGAGGCTCGTTCCTCTCATCAAAGGTGATAGTGGCCCTTAATTTGTGGAGAAGGTCTCTTCCAAGAAGGGGGTCCGGGCACTCTGGTATTACAAGGAAGGGATGGGTTACTAGGCCCTTTCCCAAGTCCATAACTCTTCCCTCCGACAAGGGATAACTCTTGGTAGTGCCAGTAGCCCCCACTACCCGCACTTTCTTGGAGGTGTAGGGGCCCACTGGGGCCTGTACTACAGAATGCATGGCCCCGGTATCCACAAGAAAGTCAATGAGTTGCCCTCCTACCGAGAGTTTTAGCCTGGGCTCCCGGAGGGCAGAGGGGCCCCGGGACCCCTAGTCCACCTCCTCCACTAGGACGGGGACAGGGCCTTTTGTCTTCTTTTCCTTTCGCCGGGGGCAGTCTTTCCTCAAATGTCCCTCTTCCTTGCAATAGGCACATTGGTTCTTGCCTAACGATTTTTTCCCGTAGCCCTTGCCTTTTCTAGGTCCCCCTTTCCGGTCCTTGCCTTCTTTGGCAAGTAGGACCTTGGCCATTTTCTAAGATAACTCTTGGGTAGTTTTCACCGGGTCTTCCCTCTGATCGTATACCTTCTGGGCTATGGCCACCAACTCAGAGAGAGACTTGCCCTGGAAGCCATCTAACTTCTGTAACTTCTTCCTAATATCTGGTGCTGACTGGGAAACAAACTGGAGTACCACAGCAGGTTGGTTCTCCGGAGCCCGAGGGTCAATGGGCGTCCAGGTCCGGTAGGCCTGGAGGAGCCTCTCAAGATAAGCCGTTGGGCTCTCATCAGGGCCCTGCCGTATGTCAGTTACTTTAGTAAGATTCGTGGGCTTGCGAGCTGCCGCCCAGAGCCCCCTCAAGAAAACCTGGCGATACTGGTGGAGAGCTTCCTCTCCTCCCCGGGTATTTGGATCCCACGCGGGCCTGTTTGAGGGAAATTGTCTCTCAATTTCCAGCTCATTCGCGGTGACCTCCCCCCTCTGGTCCCGCACCTGTTTTCTAGCTTCAACTCGAATTCTCTCTCTCTCCTCCGTGGTGAAGAGGGTGCGGAGGAGTTGTTGGCAGTCATCCCAAGTGGGCTGATGTGTATAAAACACGGATTCCAGGAGGGTGATAACTTCCTCTGGAGCCTCAGAGAAGGATGGATTCTGATTTTTCCAATTATAGAGGTCTGAGGTGGTGAAGGGCACATAGGTGCGAATTGGCCATCCTATCTCATCTCTCTCACCAGTCTCCCTCAGCGGGAACACTCCCACGGGAGGTTCAGGAGCCCCGAACCCTACCCTACTCCGCGTGTGGTGGGGACTGCTGATAGTGGAATCGGGGCTCTCTCTCTTCTCCCGTGGGGCCTCCCGGGGAGGAGCTGTTGGCACTTTCTCCTCCCGCGGGGCTTCCCGCGGGGCCTCCCGGGGAGGGGCTGTTGGCACTCTCTCCTCTCTCGGGGCCCCCCGGGGAGCCCTCCGGGGAGGGGCTGTTGGGACTGGGGGCGCCCGATATGGCGGGGGGTTCTCACCCCTTCTGACCCGCCGGGGACTCTCAGGGGGCGGCTGAAGGACCGGGACTTTCTTTCCTCCACCAGCTCCCTTTGCCAAAAACACCCGGGCAGTCTCTCTCTCCTCTCTTTTCCTTCGGCAACCACAGTCCTTCAGGTACGAGGGCTGATCCACAATGATGCCTATCCAGGTGTCTATGTACAAGATCTGGTCAGGGTGCCCGGGGTTTCCATAGCACACTGTCCGGACCCTCGCTGCAATTGACATTTCAAATGTCCCTACATCTGGCCATCCAACACCAAAAG